GGTACAAAATCTAGAAGCAAAACATACAAACCTTATCGGCGTCTTTCGTATAAAAGAAACGGCACATCTTGAACTTGAACGCTAACTGAACTAAAACTAAACTTGCAAGGTGCAAAATGTGCATAATGAAGGATGTTTAAGTGTGGAAGAGTCTCTTGTGACCTAACGCTTGGTAGTTCATGCATACAACGAAAACAAAGAAAAAAAAAACCACCGAGTAAAGATGCTAATGCACATACCGCAGCAACAACCAAGCTGAGATAAGATCGTGTGTATCGACTACTTTGCTCAAACTGTTGTTATTCAAATTGAAATGTGCGTGCAACGCGCGCACAGGCATCCTTCACGAATCATACCACTGTGTGGAGACTTTTTCGGTCACATCAAAATTGAAGAAGCCGTTTAGACTTGATCCTGTTCTCAGTTGTTATGGATCTAGTTTTTTAATATCATCATATTTAGTAAAATCTTGCCAATGGAACAAAAGTTAAATCAACAACACGTGCGTATCAACAATCGCCTAGCAAACTATAAAAGCCCCCACGCTTGATAAGTCATCAGGTTGTGCCTGGCAGGTAACATTCAACTTATTAAAAATAACAGGATTATTTGACTGGCTTAGTTTACTCAGATTTTAATTTTTTCTGTTTGTGGCTCCATGCTCATTAGGACTCTTAGAGCGTAGTAGAGACGTGCTGATAGGGACTGTAACGAAAACGACTGAACTGGTGTGGCAGGCGCAGTGAAATGATGTGGCAAAGCGCGCGCACATCCACGGTTTTGAGTTTGTAAACTTTATCAAGTGGCGAATACGATTATTACGTGAGCCAATTGGAGTTTGCAGTTGAACGGTCGTATTATGTGGATTTTTGTGTCTGTGATGCTATTTCAGTGGGGGTTTTTGTGATTTCATTGTGAGCCACAGAAACAGGCCATTACTAGGTTCATTTATGACACGTCCTGAGAATTGCTAAGATATCCATATCGAAAGTGTAATGTGAGGAAACAGATTAAGAAATTTATGTCAGTCATTTTCAGCTAGTTGATGAAATAAAGAAGCAGATTGATCACAGAGCTGCTCAAGCGAGAGAGAGTTCGGGTTATCAGTCAATTATACTCAATTTCCCGCCATAACAATCAGCTGATCAATGACGTCAGCACCAGCTTGCTTCATTACCTTTTGTGATATCATAATCACTTCTCGCTTTGGTTTCCATCAGCAAGGAAGCAGATTCGTTTGGATGTGAGCTTGAATTTAGGAAGCTGATCTATATCATAACGTAAGAAGTTGAACAAATGACCAATAACGTCCAAACCTGTTGTTATAAAAGTGGGCGAAAGCTCCGATGCGAGCCATGATGAGAAGCGCGAGAAATGGACCTCGAAAAATTATTTCACAGTGTCATGTATCGGTTATGCTGTCGGCGTGAGGAATATTTGGCGTTTTCCGTATCTTTGTTACAAGAACGGCGGAGGTAACTTCCTTAAGTGTGGATATCTATTACAACCCTTTTCTAGGAGTGTAGGTTAGGTTAACAAGACCACACTTTTTAGAGTTCCAAAATTTTTGCAACTCAAAGAAGTTGTATTGTGACATGCAGTGTCTTCATCGTCCGCCTGTTTTAAATGGCTCTTTTACGATGTTCTGCTCTGAACTGCTCTCCGCTTTCCTTGTTGGAGAGTACGACATTGTACCATCTCTTGTTGACCAAGTTCTCTCGTTCTGTCTGATCTTCGTCAAAGTATTGTAGCACTTGAAACACTTTATTTACTTGAAGAATAAATGCCTCTTACTAACCGAGTTCGAGGGCCGTACCGTAATTTACGGACTGAGCTTTTTTCGTTCGGATTATGGCCTAAGCCCTAGGCGCGCGGGCCATTAAAAACAAAGTACTTTAACTTGCAGTACGGACCGAAAAAAATGAGGTTGGCAAGATATTTATTATATCTCTCGATTCAAATGGAGGGATTAACGATTTCAATTCCAACGGAACTGTCATTAATGATTGACGCGCGTCAAATCCTAAGTACAAGAGCATTTTATTGGTTTCCAACAAAAACTGGACATAGAGTCCTCAAATGCCCGAAATCTGCAAGGTACAACATGTTTCTTCGTAGAAAGTGCGTAGAAAGAGTGAAGAGCTAACTTTGTTCAATTTTAACGTCAAATGAATGAATGAATTTGATCAATGCGATCGAAAAAAAACACAAAGATCTTTTAAACGATTAGTATCCAATTTTTGGTGTTTTGCGGCGTTTTGATGGAAGCTTCCTGGTGAATCTCTCAGTGCAGACTGAACAAGATTAAAGACACTGATGGAAATTTAGCCGATGTTTGTTGACGCGAAGAAAGAGGAGTGTGGTATGACTCGTTGCAGAGGAAAGAGGGATGTGGCATCGTTCCGAAGCTGAACCCACTTGGTAGGTTCAACTCCCAAAGTTGTCTGGTTCGTACTCGCCGCCATTTTGCTTGGAAACATCTTTAAGAACTTGCCAAGGACCTTGTCGAGAGCAGCAGCAGCTATGTTCATTACATAAAAATTTACATCGACCTGCTGTTCCCCAATACCCTTCAAACATTTTCTACTCGTATTTCGTATTTTCGCCTTTCGTGTTTGACGACCTTTCGGCGGCGATGAAATCATCTAGTTCTCGAGTCGAGTTGTCTTCGTCGTGCTCATCTTTCTCCATTCGTCGTTTGTCTTCCTCCAGAATCTCGAAGAAACCAACTTGAAAGTTTGGGATATCTGCCTCCGAGTTTTGTTCTTTCTCTTGAAATGTGCTTCAAATTTTTCCTTGGGAGACATTTTGGCGATCCAAAAAAAAACTTTTGAATTTTGTGGGCCGTACAGTGAAATGCGGCCCGCTTACAATGTTCACAGTGACCTAGTAATGGAATATTTGAGTCGAAATCGTTTTACTTCAAAGAGACCTTTTCCGCTTCTTTTGTCATACTATTCAAATGTTGTAAATTTAGAGAACAATGGAACCTCACACCAGTTCATATTTGAGCAAGTACATTGTAAAGCTTTTTCTATTACATAGACGACTGCGTACCGCTTACATTGATTACGAAGTTGTGTACGCTCGAGGTCAGTTGTTGGCCTGACCTATTAATAAAGTCTACTGTGGAACAAAAACGCTGTCTTATCCTTGACGTCCGTAAAAGCTCGCTTGTAGAAGATCGCCGTGTACCAGAAAATCGTGACGAGTTTCCGTTCTCACTGCTGAGTTGTCCTTTTTCCCCCATTGTTGTTGTGCCTCCCACGAGAGTTCAGTTCAAATGTGCGCGAAAACCTATCGTAACACAAGCTCTCAGCCTCTCGAATGTCAAAAGTGGTAGATTGATTTAACAAGTCAGCCTATCAAAGCTTCAAGGAAGTAGAGAGCCATAGAAACAACAGATAAACAGCAAAGCAACCCAAGTAGACAATCATTCTTTGAGAAGATAAGCAAGACTGTCAAAACATCTACAACTTGAAAGCCATAATCAATGCGAAAACGTTAGAGAAAGAAAGAAAGAAAGTAAGATTTCAAGAAGATGTTCAAGAAAACTCCTCTTTTCGAAAATGACACAGGAGAGAGTATGACCTGTTTCAAAGCTTGGAGAGAAATGTTTCAGGGCTCACAGAAGAGGATGAAGAATTTCAGGATGTATAAAAAATAACAGAGACTCATAACAACTAGGGCAAGAGAAAAATAAGTGTACAAGGGGAAAAAAATTTCTTGCATATCTAAGTGAAAGGCAAAGACTGTAGCATAAAGCAACTCGTAGACAAAAGAAAATAGCTGGAGTTCTCTTGCATGTCTTTGAAAAATGTAGGATTGTGGCAGAAAAAAAAGACATTTGTTTTTCAGTAAGCCGATCTCATGGCGAGAATAAGTCCTTGTAAACAAGTTTACTTTAAGCCTATTGCTTGTGTAAATATCTTATCCTATTTTAACCTGCAAAGATAGAAACTCCTTCATTAAACATTGCAGTACTTAGGAAGTTAGGCGTTGTTCTGCCGTATGTACGTGATAGAAAGTTTGCCATTTTGCCACTTTTGAGCGTATAAGCTTCGCCTCATTTCATATCATTGACGTACGTGCATGTGTGAAGTACGTGTGTGAAGTACCTCTGCAGTTTAATAGGCTTTGAAATACCTCTAGGCTGACAAGGGGTACAAACCTCTGATAAAGTACACACATACAAACCTCTTTCGTCTTATAAATATGAGTGTGATCGGGTCGGCTCTTGCAATGACTGTGATCTCTTAGTTGTGCGAAGCCTTCCTTATCGTTAACCCACCTGCTAAGCGGGAATGTTTCGACTGCATTTCCCCTGGTTTGCGAGCTAAAATCAGTCCACACTTCTCTCTCCTTCTTCATATTACTCAAGCATATACATATATGTTATTCACCAGACGGGAGGTCTGTAGTGGGAAAAACTGTGCCCAAGGCCTAGGGCGGTATTCAAGACCTCGGGCACAGTTTTTCCCAATACGGACCGACCTTAGCTGGTGAATAACATTTTTATTTTTTTCTAAAACCTAACAAATGGTTGCGAAAAGAACCTGAATGATAAAGGGCTGTAATAACGACAAGATTCTTCATAAACGGAACAATTTATGAGCGAGTAGATAGTAGAGAAAACAAGGGCAATGCAAATGAAAGAGAGAGGTTTCATCCAAACATCTATATGCGTAATGATATTAAAAGGTGATTTAAAAGGCTTCCAAGAAAACTTCGAAACTTTTTTTGAAAGGATCGGATACCGCCTGCTGTGAGCGGGCCGGATGGGGAGAATACTGCCCGCTCTCGGAACCAATCATATCGCAGGATTTGTAGAATACCGCCCGCTCACGAACTGAGAAAAAAATAACCACGAATACTGAGTTTTGACTTTTTTTTACCTCAAGCGTCTACTCTGGGCTCGCTGACCAAGAGATTCGGGGGCTCTAAAACTATAAAGCTACGTACTGCACATGCGCAACGTAGCGATCAAGTCAAAAACAAATATGACGACGGTCCTACGAGATGGCTTGGCTGTTTCAAGGAATGCTGCTAAGCTGTGGTTTAGAAGAAGTATTCAAAATATCAGACCAACACAGAGATTTTACAGTGGAGCTATTCCAGCGTTGACGTTTCCTCGAAGTAACTGGTCTTCTTCTAGGATTCCGTTTGTTGGAGGTACCTCAAAAAAATTATTACAACGATAACTCTTGTAGCCTGAGTTAAAGGGTTTCAATTTTTATTTTAAAGAGTTGAACAGAGCGATCCAGAACAGCTATAATAAGTACTATGTACTTTTTTAATGACGATTTCGCTTTACGTGCATTGTTTAAGTCTTTATCTCGCGCAATCTTACGAAATTAGCACGTAAGGTTACGTGGTTCTTTACATTCATTTTGAACTCACTGGCGATCCTTGCAATCTGAATGGCTCTCACTGGTACGATCTACTCACGAATTACACCAGTTTTAACTCTAAGTCACATATTTTCCTTGTCAATGAGAGGCCTTTACTAAAACACAACAACCAATCAGATTTCCAAGCTTGTTTAAAGATATCAATAAAGTTACAAGAAAATTAAAGACAACTTTTTCCATTTATTTTACAAATCAGCTAAATAAACTATTGATTCTGTATTTGATTGACTGAATTTTCAATTTCAAAATGGATGTAATACAGTGGTAATTCAAACTTCCTCTCTCTCCCCCGTCCCAAATGCATGAAATGTCAAATTCATCCCTGTCTTTCCTAGTGGGAATCTTTGAAGATTGCATCTAAGGGGGTGAAAATTGTACAAATCAGCTAAATAAACTATTGATTCTGTATTTGATTGACTGAATTTTGCAATTTCAAAATGGATGTAATACTGTGGTAATTCAAACTCCCTCTCTCCCCCGTCCCAAATGCATGAAATGTCAAATTTGTACCTGTCTTTCACAGTGGGAATCTTTGAAAATTGCATCTAAGGGGGTGAAAATTGTACAAATCAGCTAAATAAACTATTGATTCTGTATTTGATTGACTGAATTTTGCAATTTCAAAATGGATGTAATAAAGTGGTAATTCAAACTCCCTCTCTCCCCCGTCCCAAATGCATGAAATGCCAAATTCATCCCTCTCTTTCATTGTGGGGAAACTTTGAAGATTGCATTTAAGGGGGTGAAAATTGTGTTGGCTTGTATGAATAAATGTTCTGAAGGACATGCCATCATTATTCAAGAGTGTGTGTAAACATCTACAGTCACCTTGTCCCTTCAAATTTCATGTTTATGCAAGTGTCAGACCTTACTAGTGCTTTAATTGATGGGATCAAAAAAACAGGCATCAAAACAGTTCAGTTTCATGAGCCTGTGGGAAAAAAAGAAAAAAAAAAAGCCTGTGGAAAAAAAAAAAATCCTATCAGGAGATGAACATGATGGCTTATTCATTACACACAATTGTTATATTCTGACAGGTGGTGTGAGAACAATGTTCATTCAGGTACAAGAAACACCAAATCCTAACAGTATGAAGTTTGTTCCTGGGGTGCAGGTCTTAGAGCATGGTACAGTTAACTTTGCCAGTGCACAGTCTGCATATCCTTCACCTTTAGCAAGGTAATAGTTATGTCTTATTGGAACCTTTGCTCTAATTGTTTCTAATTACATTTAACAATTAATTGTCTGTGGCAAATTATTGTTCTGACATAATTGCATAAGTGCTTTCAAATTCTGTCAAAAATTTGTTTTTGTCGCAGAAACTGTTCTCTTACCATTGTTTTGATCACTTTTATCAAAATAAGCAGCCAATTTTCCACAGGTCTAATTCAATCAGCAAAAACTTCACATCTGTAAGTTTCTTTTAAAAAGTGTTCTTCCAAACTTTGGTGGCATTTTTTTGTGCTCAAAGGAATTGGCTAGAGCATATGCTTCTCTATAATTACCAGAGCAATTACAACAAAAATGAATGTAGATTTTAAATTGAGTTTGAAATTTATTACACAAGCTCTGCTTTACTTCTTTTTGTGACTGATTTGTTAACTCCACTCACCCTTTTTTTGAATGAGAAACAAACTGAAACTTTTGGCTGCTCATCAGTTCCTTGCAATTGTCTCATGTTATGTTTTTTGTTGTGATAACAATGGTTTGGGTTTTACGATGCTCAGAGTGAATGAAATCAACACTCGTGAAGGTAATCCCCATCTTTTGAAAACAGTGAAATCTAGAAAAGGTACAAATTGAAGTAAGGGAATAGCTGCACATGGTATTGAACCTTCTTATATCAAATTTGAAAGTAGACACTTACTGGCTCTTCTATGCTTATACTTTATGAATACCTCTTGTACTTCATGGTTCAATTTTCTTGCTGGGGTTGCTCTGAACTCTGTCTGTGTGATAAATAGATTCTTCCCTGCTGTGTTATTTCAGCAGTGGACTGCATGTGGTGTATAATGTGGTGCAACAACTAAGGGAGAGTTTTAGCCAGGTGACAGTGATAAGCATCCAATTTCTCCTAATAATGGAACCCCTGAATCACACATTAAAGTTACAAGGGTAAAGGAAGTGATCAGCTACTAAAGTTGTTGCTTGTTAAAGAAACTCTCAATGTCAGCCTCTAAGGAAATATGCAGGGAACAATTTGGAGAATGTTTATATTGATGTTAGGTTGAAGAGGGTTTATGATGTTCTTTCTGTTACTCATCATCTGATATAATCCATCATTAAACAGATACATTTTAACATGACTGTATACCTTAATGTGATTTAGTGACCGAATTGCTGTGGAACTTTTGATCTTCATGTGAATGTAGAAATGTGTCAGGAATGTCATAATGGACATTTCCATTTCATTTTTTTGCAGAAATTTATTTAGGATAGATGGTGTGACTGGAGTCATGTTAGGACCAGATTTCATCACAGTTACAAAGGTTGGTGGGATAATAATTATTCTTTTTAGGACTTAAATAAGACTCAAAAATGAGATTGGAAGAAAAATGGTGAAAATGTCCTGTCTGCCTAAGTCATGCAATAGTGATGAAAGACATTAAACTCAATCCTTGTACATGAAAAAAAAAACAACAACAGCAACTACAACAATTCCTTAACATAAGCTGTGAAATTCTGCCTGAACTCCTTTCAAAATGTTTGAACGTGTCCTTTAGTAGCATGTTGTAATGATGTGGGATATTGATCAAATGAAACCTTTAAGTGCTACTGTGGTTCTTTCTTTATTTATTCCAAAATGTTTATGCAACAATTTGAAATGAATCCAGTCACCTGATGTAAGAATTATTGTGTTCTGTCATCTGTTTACATTTTTTAGTCTTTAATTCCAGAAAAATGATGATGATGTTAACTGGCCTGTCTTAAAACCTGATATATTTGCCTCCATAATGGACTTCTTTGCAAGCAATATTCCCATTCTTACTGAAAACCAGCCAGCAAGTGATACAGGTAGGCTGTTACACGAACATCAAAAATCTTATTTTTCTGTAATAATGAACTTGGATTTAAACATTTTGACCCCTTAGAGTGACCAGCACCTAATTTCTCCCTACAATATCAACACATTTATCCCTTTAACTCCCAGAAGTGACTAACATGTAACTTCTCCCTATAATACCTATATGTTTTCTAGCAAACAGTTAATGAGAATACTCAAACATCAAGACATTTTTATCTTAATCTTACACCAAATTCTCATAACTAGTTTGCAAGGAATTGATCAGCAGCAAGAAGAGAGAATTGACAGTCAAGATCTTGGGAGTTAAAGGGTTATGTTTCGAGAAGGAAGGAAGAATCTGTCACTTGATTTGCAAATTCTTCTTGTCGGTACCTCAGGAAATTTGTAGCAAACAGTAAGGAGAATATGCATGATGATGATAGGGTGTAAAGGGTTAAAAGTTAGACTGCTCTTGAAAGAGAAAATTCTACATGTTCACTAGTACACATGCCTTGCAAGCCTTGTTAAATACTGTGTACATTTGAAAAGCCTTAAACCTGTCAGAATTACAGGCAATCCTAATAGTTTTACCAACAAGTGCCAAACTATGTGTAGACCAGATGTAGTCCTGAAAGTTTGTCAGTGCTCAGTACCACATGTTATTATTTTTCAGCTATTGATGAAGATGATGATGAAACTGTTGCTATGATCAAAGAGTTGTTAGACACAAGAATAAGGTAAATGCACCAGACCTTTTCAAGATTTTCCATGTTGAAATGGCCACCTGAAAACAAATTGCAGTCAAACCTTGATTATCCACACTTGTGGAGACTGGGCTTAACAGCCCAGATAGTTGAGATTCTGGATAATCAAAAATATTAAATAAATATAAATGTTTGTAGATAATTGGACCAGACAGGCAAGTCCAGATAATCAAAAAATTTTGGATAATCAAAGTTTGGATAGGGAAGGTTTGACCGTAGGCAATAGCTGTTTCATCATGATACAAGGTATTTACTAAGACTTAATTCTGGGGTGATGGCCCATTTCTTGTTTTCTTTGTTTTGTTTTTTTCTTGTGCTACATTTGATTCATCAAAATTCATTGTATTTTCTTGTCACTGACTTCTAACAGACCAACCGTTCAAGAAGATGGAGGGGACATCATTTTCAAGGTATGTCAACAGATGTGTATGTATGTGGTTCATAGTGGGGGGTGAGATTAATTTTTAAAAGGCCTGTGGTTGGAAACAGTGCCTAGCTCTTTTACAATCTTACCTAGGGGTCTCTAGTTAGGACCCTTTGGCAGGCCAACTATAATATGCTGGGGTTGGGAACCCTGTAATGAATTTTCTAGCATGGTAACTTGTATGTTGTGTTCTCCACAGGGATTCCAGGATGGCATTGTAAAGCTTAAACTACAGGTCAGTGTGATGTGAAGTTAAGATTTTTTCCTATTTAGATGGAAACGGTGATTGCTGCATTAACTGACATGTATTCAATCCTGTTACATGATAATTATATTCCATGCACATATATAATTTTCATATATCTACAATCATTATTCATCACTTGGATGGTTTATTTGGACTCAACTTAATGACCAGCTCCCAGTTGGCTTGCTAGCTCAGTTGGTAGAGTGCGGCACCAGTATCGCAGAGGTCATGGGTTCAAATCCTGTAAGGGCCTGAATTTTTTTCAGGTCTTGTTTCAACTACTAGTTCAGTAGAGTTTATAGCTGCGAGGATCTCTTATATTCGTTTCTTCACTGCAGTGCACATATATGATTTTCATATATCTACAATCATTATCCATCACTTGGATGGTTTATTTGGACCCAACTTAATGACCAGCTCCCAGTTGGCTTGTTAGCTCAGTTGGTAGAGTGCTGAAACCCGGTATGGCAGAGGTCATAGGTTCAAATCCGTGCGGGCCTAAAAATTTTCCTTTTTTTATTTTATTAACAAATTAATGTTGGTATTCTACTAGGGAGCATGCTCCAGCTGTCCAAGTTCAGTGGTTACTTTGAAGAATGGCATCGAAAATATGATGCAGTTTTATGTCCCGGAGGTGGTTGCAGTCGAGCAGGTAACCAAAATTACATTTTGTCTTATTTTAAGGTTAGTAAATGGTCTGGAAAACCACTGTGAGGCCAGGGAGCACTTTGCAGTCTCAGCCTGCGGGACACACCCGAGTTTTAGCTTACCCCTGTCCCGCCTACCATGTCGGACCAGATAGCTCCGGCCGGTGTTAATTGCTACACCAAATTTTTCTTTGAGCCTTTGCTATTTGACAGCTCGCTCAGCTCCTTTTTTGGTGCACAGATAGCGCTTTTGAAACACTATTAGTCTTGACAGGGCTGGAAACAGGAGGAAGTGTACCTAGATTAATTTGTTCATCTCTGGTAGAGTTAAGTGAGTTCTCCTCTCCGTGGTTGTCGTTAGTGAGGTCAGGACTTTTTGGGCAACATACTCTCACTCCGTTCCCCCACCTCCCTTCATCAGCAACAACAACAAGTAAATAAATATATGGACAAGCGAATGATATCAATGAAAAAATATACGTACAGTATGAGACAGAATCACATCGGTAGAAAGGACATTTTTTTTTTTCTTTTTACTTGCTGCTCTTTGACGGGTGTTCATATTCCCATATGAGCTCTTGTCTTTGTCCATACAGGTCGAGGATGAAGTGGATGAAATAAATAAAACGGAATTTAGTAAACTTGAAGCAAGACTTGGAGAAACAAGTCCACCAGTGGAGGGGAACCCGGACACTACAGCGGAAAAAGACTGACATTTCAGGCCAAGGTCATCTTGTCAAGTCACTCAAGGAGAACAGTTCGCAATACTCTGTTAGCTCGGTGTTTATCGGCATTACTCTCCTCCTGAGAACCGTTACATAGGGAGTTCTAGCTTTCATGTGGCTCGTCGCTATCTTTGATAAGACTGGATTCTCCAGAGGTTAATCTTTTCTATTTTTTTCTTCTTTTTATGGGAATAGGGGGAGGAAAGACGTTGACGAGTAGAAATTCAAAGCAGATGTCAGGTTCAGTTTGATGTTTGTGCGAGGTTTCCTAGAAAACCGTTTCTTGCACCTTTAGAGGAGTATCTGCATTTATCAAGGGAATGGCGCCCTAACATATTCTTGGAAAATTGAATGTTTCAATTCTTTGTTTTAAGTTAAAATAAGCGGAGAGAACTGTCGCAGAGTACCTTGACCAAGAGGAGTTAAAATAATTTTGGTCTCTTCATGTTGCGTAACCCTTTAATTCTTATGAGTGACCAAGACAGAATTTCTCCTTACAATACCAGTAGAATATCAGGCAGACAAGAGATGAGAATATAGAAAATATTAAGTAGGGGATTGTTAGTTGATCCAATACCAAATTCTCTAAACTCATCACAATGATTGCATGGCAGACAGTAAAGAGAATTACTAGTGAGATCTTAGGAGTGAAAGGTTAACCCCTTTTTCCTCTTCAAGAGAACACGAAACTTGACGGGTTCAGCAGCGAGATGCTGATAAGAGAAGGTTATAGCTTTCATTGTGATTTCCTCGCGCGTAACGTCTCACCCTCACCCTCCCCTCCCCCCCCCTAACAAGTTTCCCACCCACTCAATCCCCCATTTGATGTTGGACTCAAAGCCACACCGATCAGGCACTAATATAAACTTGTTGTAACCAAATGAGACAGACAGAAAAATTGCATTGTAACCATGAATATAATGGTCGAAGTCTTAAAATTAACGTTATAAGAAAGGAGCAAACAATCCGGCGGAATTGTTAGCATTAAAAAGTCCCTTCACTAGTTTCACTTTAGTTCATCAATACGTCTCAGTTAATCACTATGAGCTATCATGGCAGAAGCGTGGATATGTAACAGTTTGGAGCAAAACTTCTCTTTTGGGAATTGTCACTAGGAAAACTAACTGTCGTGGATCTTAAATTTAGCCACTAGCTCAATATTGACCGTTAAATTTTATAGTTCAGCGCGCCTCCATAATTGCTGAATTCTAATGAGTACTGCTGTTAATTATTGATTGTTCCTCACAAGCTGTAGCGGAGAACATGGGCAATTAAAGTGATTTTCAACTCGGACACGGTGTAGCCATGCACAGTGTCTGGCACAAAGGTGAAATAAATTTCATTTAGTTCCTTAAATTTTTATATTTTCGATATTGATCGTTAAATTTTATAGTTCAGCGCGCCTCCATAATTGCTGAATTCTAATGAGTACTGCTGTTAATTATTGATTGTTCCTCACAAGCTGTAGGAGTGAACATGGGTAATTAAAGTGATTTTCAACTCAGACATGGTGTAGCCATGCACAGTATCTTGCGCAAAGGTGAAATAAATTTCATTTAGTTCCTTGAATTCAATATCTCCGATGTTGATCGTAAAAATTTTATAGTTCAGCGTGCCTCCCTAATCGCCGAATTCTAATGAGTACTGTTATATATTCTTACTGATTGTTCCTCTCAAGCTGTAGAAGAGAACGTGGGCAATCAAAGTGATTTTCAACTCATACAGGTGTAGCCAACCATAGTGTTTGGCACAAAGGTGAAATAAATTTCAACCAGTTCGTTGAATTCAACATTTTCGTGCACCGCTCTTCGTGCCGCAAACGCTTCAGATAATCCAATATTTATCGAACCCTTCAAACTGATGTAAAGATGAGTAACATTTCAATTAATGACTAATTTTGAGAACTTTCTCATACATAGTAGTTCAAAATTCCACAAATTTGGACGAGTTTAGGCGTTAGCAATAATCATGCATGAGTTGTGAATTAGGTCCAAAGCTATCATGATTGTTTGTTTTTCTAGACAAAGCTAATCTGTTATTTACTGAACCGTAGCTATGTGCCCTGAGTGCATTATCTTGCTGCAGCGAATCAGCAAAGAGTCATAACTGTAAAGAACCACCCCTTTTTTGCTTATTTAGAGGTTTGCAAATTAAGAACCGTGTCATTCATCCATCGCTTTGGAAAGAGATCTTTGAACCTGAAACGATTTGTACAAAACTCCTTAAATTCATTTGCCGGAGATGTGGAAAATCGGTTTTTTTGTCACCCTGCTTCTGATCGCGGTTGTATCTGCTAAACCTAACCTGGGTCACGTTCGAGATTTATCAGGTAGGTGTTTTTCCTTACTGCGCGCGCGCGCTTTCAGGACCTAACTATTTTCAAGCAGCACGGTCAATTATGTTTTTAAGAGAGATCAACTGGTAGGTGGAAGTGCGCGAGACTGAAAAAAACATCAAATGAAACTTTTCTTTACAGTAAAATTTAACTCACTTCCACTTATTTGATACTTACCTTTACGATGTGAATCTCCCAGTGCACCTTTTAGATCAAACTAAACAGTCAACGACATCACAGATAAATTTTCGTTTAATTGGATTGGGTCAAAAAGCTTTCATCTGGTCAGACTCTTACAGCTACAGTGTAAATTGACTAACACTGCTTCGTTTGATCCAGTCGGACAGAAAGCTTACTGCAATAACAATCAGTTTTAGAGAATTTATGGGACCTTGAGCTCCAAAGAGTCGTCTAGACTACGCGCCAATTTATTTTTTATTTGTTGTTTTTTTGGACAAAGCTAAAGGTCAATTGCTGAGCAAGTAAGTCTCCATAGTTCTCTTTTATTTACCTCAAAAAGGCAAAGAAAAAAGAATAATAGGACAAGAAAACTTCGCGATCAAACCAAAATCTCACACTTCCCAAACTAAGGCAATTACGGCTTCCGCTCAAAGAAGGTTTAATTTGATACCTTCAAACAATCCTGATGGTTAAGTAAGTACTTTTCTTTTCCCTTCAAAGACACCACAAGGCGAGGTTATAAATATGGCGTGGAAAATCCAGAGTCCCTGATGTGGGAAAGAGGATTGATTCCACAGTATGAAGGTGCGTACCATTTTAGAATACAAAAACAAAACCGTTGTAAATTAACATTTCTCATTCGTTGCGCGCCTGAGCAAACTTCTACAATTTATGTAAAGTTGGGCGCCAAACCCTGCAATAATTATGCTAGAAATGAAGAATAATATTCGCCCTGCTTCTTACGGGTGAATGAATATCCGGCGGGGCCAAGATGACCGCGTAAAAGTAATTAAAATATATAAAACAATGTTAATACCTTTAAAAATATATATTCAATTATGTATTAATTTAAGTCTTCTCAAAAAGGCGCCAAAACCTGTTGATTTTGAAACGCCAAATTCGTCAGTGCTAAGTCATGCAAACAAACCAGTTGAGTTTCTAAGATTGTGCCACTCCTTCTCGATCCTTCCTCTCAGGACGTTTTGATAAGCTTTTGGAGAAAAGATGTAGAACAGACCGCTTCATTTCATAACCACAACTGGTCATAACTGGAAACCGTGGACAAGTAGAGTCACCTCGTGGAATGTCCACTGCTAAATCCTTTCATTTATTGCCGGTTTTCATTGTCACACCCTCATCAAAACCATTAAACAAATAAATTCAAGATGAATATTCAAATAGTCTAGCAACGATTCAGATCTGTGCGATGTTTTGTGCGGGAGATATTCGAAGAAATGTTTCATTCAAATTTACAAAGCTTTGTATGCAGATGACATGTTTGTGTTCCTCTCAGTGTCACAAATGCGGCGGCCAGAAGCTATCAGAAACATGTTATCGATTTTTGCGATAAAAAGCCTGTAGTCGTCTTCTGAGGGCTCATGAACATCTATATAAGTATTTTTTCCCATACAAGGACCGTTCAGATTTCGTAATCTCTGCGGATAAGTCACTTCGTTCAACGTATATGACAACATTCTCGGCCACCATTGTCATGTCGTGTCACGCAAAAGCCTAGAAATTCAATCTTGCCTTATCACAAGACGAAAATCCCTATCAAACTGAAATTGTGGAAAAAAGATAAGTCTTTAGCTGTTCTAATGATTAACTAAACTAATATCTCAAAAGGATTGATAATTCCTTATTTTTTTAATTTTGATGACTTCACGTGAAAAACAAGACTTGTTTATTTTATAACCTACTGCAAAACACTGAGGGTGGCAAAGGCGATCCTGATGTCATTTCACATACGAATGTTTTAGAAAAAGAAGAAAAGTATTGAATTTGGATGGAGAGATGTGAATAATGAAAAATATTCCCAGAACTTTCAAAGACTATTCTTACGTGAGATGGAGAGTTTTTTTCCCGATATTTTGCCGACTCCATTCCATACAACTGATACAAGAAACGCGCGGGAAGACTTATAAGTCACATGATTCCAGTAAGTAATCCGATAACAAGAAGGTACAAAACGCGTTTAAAATCCAATTTTCAACACTAAATAACGGATTCTTCACACTCTATTGTAGACGATCCAGATGTGTACAGGGACACCGCTTGGTTTTTGGACAAAATCATCATGGATGAAGGTAAGTAAGTGCATGAGATTCAATTTAAACCCTCACCCGACATACACTTCCTTAGATATCTTTCAGTCACCTTCGTCAATTTTCTTTTCCTCATATCACGAATTTTACTTCGATTTTGCAGCTGAAGTAGTTCACGAGCCTGTTCCACCAGAGGTGAAGTACCGCTTTGGATCAGGAAAAAAGCAAGAGGTAAATTTGTTTGGGACGGGTTCATCTTTATTTCACCGTAACAAATGCAAATAGAGTTTAAAGAAAAGCAATAACAGGTTATTAGTGTATTTACAGTCGTGTGCTTTGTGACCAAGCCATCGAACAGAAGTGGTACAAAAAATGACCATGCTGTTGTTCTTATTTTGTCATTACTGCTGTTTGCTTTTTGTTGTTGTTGTTGTTGTTGTTGTGGTTTTCTTTTTTCGTGTTCTGTACTTGTCCCAGGGACACATTACCCAACATGCTAAGTAGTCTTTCCTTTATTAACCAAGCGGTAGATATAGTACTAAGAAGGGTTACTATGAGGGCGTGGCTCCTTTTTTCGTCTACTCTCTTTCGCTTCATGAAATTCCCTCATCTCTAAACCTTCGATAGCTTTAAGGAAGCGAAAACAACTGCTCCGCAGGGAACACATTCCAATCAACATTTATGATTCACCGTGCAATTTTTATTTCTATGTGAAACCCAGTGCGTCGAGGGAGTAAAGGTCATACCACCACAGTGCCAGTGGAAGGGCATGGTGATAATGAAAGAGAAGGTCGAGGAGTCAGCTGAACCTGCTGAAGTTAAAGAGATTACTCTTACAGTTTCGGCAAAATACTGCAATCAAGCTGGGATGAAAAAGCCTAAGCCCAAAGTGGTTGACTGTGAAGAATAAATGTTTTAATGGCCTACGGAAAGTTCATAGTTTTACCGAAACAAAAGGTCTAGGAACATTCTAATTTTTTTTCCTTTTTTTCCTTTAAAAGATAAACGGTGGTTACGATTAAGGGAAAGTTGAGAGGATATGGTGTGGTGTGTCTGTATAATCGTAAATTTTCGGAGTTTTTGAGTGGGAAATTCAGTTTTCTGTCTTTACCCCCATTCGTTTCTTTTTCGTTGCTGTTGTTATGACCTCGACTCAGCTAAAGCCTTCACGCTTTTAATGGTTTGGTAAATCTTGCCTAGTTTTGATTACTGTATTTGCAGAGAAAAACGATCAGAACTACTTAGGGCTTTGTAAATTGTTACAAAATTGTAGACGAGCCCCTGAACAAGCTAAGGTGATTGTGATAATAAATGACTCAACAACTGTTCCTAATTTCAAGTTGTTTTGCCGTTTTTTACGTCTTATTCAAAGAAAATCGTTCTCCAATTGAATTGAGCTTCTTCAGCTTCACTACATAACAGACAGCTCAAACATTGAACCAATCACTGATCAGAATGGAAACCAGAAATTAAAACAAAAGAGGGGAAATCTGGGTGGGAACCAGGCCTAAGCTACTACAGCCATCCTACCGTCTTCCGAGTCCTCGTACGCACCAAAAAATTGAAACTTTAATTATTATTACACTAAACCTTCCTTAGCGATTTTACCATGTCCCTTATGACTCTCAGTCGGCTTTAAGGATCAGTGACATTTTCGATTTATCTTCACATTTCACACAAACAGTAGCATCCACGTAAATAGCCCCAGGCGTCTTGTTGTCAGAAAGGTTGGGTCACACGTGCGGTGCAAGTGAAAACTCAAGGAAATACACGTGTTAACTACCCTAAAATAAGTGAAAAAATAACTACCGATTCAAAGTGAAACATGCAAAACGCCTTAAGCGCGGGAAACTTGAGTGGCCAAATAGCGGTTGTTTTTAGTTTTGCATTTATTTACTTACGACAATCAACTGAAAAATATAGAAGTGATTGAAATTTCTTCTTTAAGCATTTCATCTAAATGAACATTTTTCTGCCAAAAGAAAGGCTTGGAACAAAAAAAGGCCTTGACGGGGCTCAAGCCTAAGCCCTCCTGGCTCAGCTCCCCGAAAGAAGAGTGGATGTAAAAATTGAGCCCGCGAGGCTTTGTGCACTGAAGGCTTGTGCGCGGTTTCCAAGCAACAACGGCCAAATCTAATATGGACGAAGAGGCAGTAGGAGCGACCGATAACATTGTCACCGAATTTGCCACATATGAAGACTTTCTAGACAGTCAAATAACCCCATTAGATCTCTACTACCTTGAGGTATTTCAAGGTTTATTTTGGTCGAATTTTTACGGAAATCTCTTCAGTGTAACTTGTCTTCACGATCATCGAACCCTTTAGTTTGATCAATATGTTGTCCTCGATCCTGTAAACCTTTACTTCTAGTCAGTCTTTTGAAAGAAGCTTATTCATTCATCAGAGTTGAGAGAAACTTATTAATTCGTCAGAGTTAAAAGAAACTTACTCATTCATCAGATTGTGTTGAGATTGTAACGAAATCAAGCCGCGATGTACAATTCGATAAGGTCCATCTAAAACTTGGTACAATTGTATTTACATTTGAATACCTTATTTAATGTTGAATTCTTGTTTTGTGTTCTCCCATAGGATGAGGAATTGGCACGACAGCTGGTTGAGTTAGGCTACAGGGGAAGCGGAGAGGTCAGGATTGAAAATTATTTAATGGAGAAAGAATTGTAAAACTACTAATACGTACTTATAGACTGAGTGAAAGATAAAAGAGTTGTAAGAGAGAAAATATTTATCATCTTATTATCTCTTTTGCTGTATTTTAAGTTAAAGTTCAAAATTTAATTTAAGTTCTTTGAATTTCAAAAGAGCTGTGTGAGTGCAAAGGTTTTTTTCAGATTAGCTCACTTCAACAATGTGGGCCTACAGATGTTAGCTTTCACCATCACATGGTTTTGTATAGGATTGCAAATGTGAGGCTATGTGGGTCATTTGGTGAAAATACACCACATAACTAAATCTTTCCAACAGCTTGATTTCTAAACTTCACTTCTATCACCAAGCTTAAAATATGCCATTTACATGTAGAACTGCTATTTACTTTGTTGGTTTGTTACTAATTTAGAAATTAGATAATGCTGAATGATTATTAACTGGTCCTGACTTATCTTTTTATGTATCTATAAATTATTTTAATAGAAAGCCTTAAACATTCTGAGTATTTCAAATAATCTGTCATGTGTAGTAAGATTAACAAACAGTGCAAATTTAATTAGCTATACTAATTTGCAACTTAAAAATTATTTATTGTTTCCTGCATAATTGTCTTTGTTTTAAGGTTCTGAAAAGGGAAGAATTTGAGGCCAGAAAACAAGCTGCTGAGGCAAGCAGACTGTCAAAAAGAAGTCAGCAAAAGTATGATATACATGTGTAATGTTTTGTGTTTAATTCCACTGAGTAATGCATGACTAGGTACATATCAAACCCCTTGAAATGAAATCCAAGTCTTACCTTAGAGTGTATGGAAAAATGTCTTTCTACTGAAAAGTTATCAGTGTGCAAGACTGTATTTTTTCTGTTATTTCCCCTGCCTCTCTCCACCAGTATCAAAAAGCAGGGTTGTCACCTAAAGCACCAGAGGAGAGGTCTTATTTGAAGTAAAACCGGCAACCTAAAAATTCCTCTGCAAACAAATTCCCAATGCCATCCAATAACTAGTAGTTTTGAATAATTGTTTTCTAGAACTTTGGCCAGCTCTGGCAAAGATCTTAAAGATGCATTCTTGAGGGCATTAGCCCAGCGGGAAGAAGCAAACAGGAGTGGGAAAATGACAGTGAGTTTTTACTTTTGGCTGTTTTTCAACTCTTTACTGAAGCCAGTTTAATCTCAAAACTAGACAAATATTTAGTGCTTTTCTATCTAAAGTATCGCGATGTCAACTACAGTGTAATACTATTTAGTTTATGTTTGACCTTATGTTATGTGTTGATACAACTCATGCTTGAAATTTTCCCAAATGCACAGTTTAAAATTTAATAAATAGGAATGAGTAACTAAGGTTGATTTTCATTGATAATCTTTAATGATTCTTCTTTGTTGTTGCTTTTTTTGTTGTTGTGAAAATCAAGTCCATTATCTTTATCAGAGACAAGAATGCCAGAGGGCAGGTAAGATTTTGATACCATTCATTCATTGGTTAAAATTGCAGTGAGCTAATGGCAACTACATCACAAGAATGTACTTTACTGAAACCATCATCTTGTTGCTAATTTTTGTCTTTATTCTTTCCAGGAAATATCAGGCTATATTGACTATGCGCATCGCCTAAAAGTAAGTTCTATACATTGACATAGATTCTCATGGCTCAACAGCTTTTGTAGAAATTATTTAAATTATGTTATTAATTAAATTATCAAAGGCATTTTTAGTCATTAATTATTGAGGCAAAAGTTTCAATTTCGTTTTATCAATGAAACAAAGGTATTAGTTCCCACTGAAAGGAAACTCTTGTCCTGCATTAGAGGGAAAGTAAGATGATATTAATATGTAGTTTGCTAAATTGACCTCTAAGAATTTGTTAAAATATTTTCTACCTAATTTATAGATTTTTATATGCAACTGAGTGGTTTCTTTGTTCAGAGTATTTTTAACCCTTCAAATGACCTTTCTTGTTACAATTACATCACCCCTGAATTACAACTAGAGTCATTAAGGTCACAAGAATAAAGGAAATGATCAACAATTAATGAAGTTCTTGATTGTTACACAAATTCTCCTTGGCAGCACCTCATAGGTACTGATGTTAGGGAAGGGTTAACTCCTTATACCCTAACATCAGTATGCATATTCTCTTTACTTTCTCTGTACATTTCTCAAACTTCTGGAAAGGAGAATTTGTTTAACAATCAAGAAGCTTCTTTAAGTGTTGATCATTTCCATTGTTCTTGTGACCCTAATGTTTTATTTAGGGGTGATCTTGTAAGGAGAAAATAGATGCCAGTCAGCCTTAAGGGTTCAAGGGCTAAACCAATGTATATTTGATTTGATTATCTATGTACTTCAATTTCATCATGTTTTCCATTTAGACAGAGGACTTTGAACCTTACTTTAATGGAAGGAAAAGACTACTTCCCAGACCATCAGATTTGAGTTTTTACAACTGGGAAACACAAACTGCAACTTCAAATCCCACTCCAAACTATCAGGTAACAAACTGCAATTTATAATTGTAAGTTGTCTCATTTTTGTACCAACAATCTTCTCCAGGAGTCTCTAATGTTGTTGTTAAAGCTAGCCAACTGTCTCCATACAAAATACTCCACTTAAAAGAATACTTGATCTTTGCTTCCCCCATTCCTGACCCTGAGACCTGTAGGAGATGACTAATGACCTATCAAATGATTTGTTGTACTATGACACACCAGACTTAGGATTTAACAATGGTCAGGTAACATTAAACCAAGGGAAGGCTGAATTTTTTTTATGGCACAATTATGCCCCTCCACCATGTAAATTACAGAGCTGCAAGTTAAAATGTTCTTAAACATACATTAGTAAGCCAGTACTTCTGTTGGTGTGCTGATCATTAGGCAAATCAGTCTTCGATCTGATTTTTCACAACCACCTTTTGTCACCCTATACTTAGTTGCAAAATAAAGAGGAATGAAATGACGACCAGGTAATTACTTTCCAGGTCATTGCTGAAAATTCCTCAGGTTTGCTTTTCAAGAACAAGAGAGACAGAAAAATATTGAATGTGGATCCAAAGGTAAAAATTAAACTGACATTTTGCCACAAAAAGTTATTGTCTTCCCTACCCTATACTGACTGATTGTCTGACTGATTGACTGACTCTCTGACTGTTTGACGGACTGGTAATTGGTAACCAGTCAACTCGCCGACGGACCAACTCGCCGACGCCAACTCGCCGACGTATAAAATCGAGTAGAGACGTCGGCGAGTTGGTCGTCAATCCAATACAACTTATTAGAAGTTAAACATACAGAATATTAAACGATATTTAGTAAAAAAAACACTGGTGAACATTGGTGAACATCTAACAGAAGCTTAAACATTGGTGAACATCACCAATGACTATAACAGCTTAAGACGCGAACGAGTTATTGTGCGACAACAACACCGTAAAGACTCATCATTCATCACTCATCAGCCGACGTCTCTACTCGATTTTATACGTCGGCGAGTTGGCGCGGCGAGTTGGTCCGTCGGCGAGTTGACCGTAATTCGACGGACTGACTGATTGTCCTAGTGACTCTCTGACTGACTGACTGACTGACTGACTGACTAACTGATTGTGTGACTAACTAATGGACTCTGAATAACTAACTGACTGACTGATGAGTGACTGGGTAATTTAGTGTTATCAGCTGAGTTGAAAATGTAAATTGGCCACCACAAAGAGTTTATAGGCTAAAGGCTGAAGTGACTGACTGACTGATAACTGACCATCTGACTAATTGGCTGACTGTCTGACTGATTGACTGTCTGACTGACTGACTGATTTATTTTCTGAACAACTGACTGACTGATGACTTATTGAACGACTGATAACTGACTGTCTGATGGATTAATTGTCTGACTGACTGACTGTTTTAATGTCTAATAGTCTGACTGAATGACTGACTGTCTGTCTAAAAAACTGACTGACTGACTGACTGACTTTCTTACTATTGTGATTAACTATCTTAATAACTGAAAGTCTGACTGACTGATGACTGATTGTTTGACTAACTGATTGACTGTCTTAATACCTAACACTCCTACTGACTGACTAACAGTCTGATTAACTGACTTACTGACTGTCTGAATTACTGATGACTGACTCACTAAATGATTAGAGTCTGACTGACTGAGTTATTGATTGATTGACTGATTGATTGATTGATTGATTGATTGATTGATAGGCACTAACACCTGGCGACAACTCGGCAAGGATTCCCATTGAAACTGCAAAATATATTCAAGTGGTAATCTACGATCACATTACTCGGAGAAAGACGTAATGCACAATCTGCAAGGTTGTTTATGATATGGACACATTGAAATGTAAATATTTGATCCTGTTATATAGGCGTTATATGAAATCACATTATTGTAATTGATATAACCCATTTTTTTCTTTGTGTTGTGAGATTCTGCTGGTTACCATGTTTATTTTGAGTACTAAACTCCATAGCGGATTAAATGTGAACCTCAAAAATTGAGGTTGTTAAGTATTCATATATTCAGGCTATTGTTCTTTCTCATTACTTATTCATTCCGATGAGTTTGCCGACATGCCGGCATGCTTCCGAAGATCGTGAAGAACGCAACTTCTTTGATGTAGGTGAGATATTTTTCTTTTGTTAACAGATGAACGGGAAAATTTACAACAATTGCGTTGTCCGATTTGCTGACAACTTTCGCTTTTGTCCAAATTCCTAACTGATCGACAGCTTCGACAGAATCGCCAACACTAAACTCCATCGCGACAATAAACAACACGGTCAGATCACAACAAGTTCATTCGAACAAGACGAAAGTTGTGAAAGAATGAACCGCCAGCGCGCGAACACGAGCACTATTTATGACACGCAATATTTACATAGTAAAGAAGTAGTTTAATTCAAGTGCACTCATTCGGATCAAAACAAAATTATCGGCGCTCGAAATGATAAACTATTTTCGCTTTTGCTCTTCGCAGTGATTACAACAACTCGTCCAAGATCCATCTTTAAATCTTTTGCGACGCTCTTTAATCTTAAAAAAACATATTAAGGCTAAAAATACACCGTGAATAGAAACTAAATCCATTCAAATGATTGCAGTTTATCGATCTTGAGTTCATTCATCTCAAGACAATGTAAACAAAAGGATACAAGATCACAAGTCTGTTCGCGCAAGGTAGCTTAATTACACTATTGTCCAAGTCTTTTGAAGTACCTTCCGCAGTTCCTTTGGTCTTCCAAAATATCTCACCTTTTTCGAAACGAATAAAACCGAAACCTATCGCTCTGACGAAGGGCTAACGCTCGAAACGTCAGCTTTTTTACCCTTTACGGTGGCTAATTTACGTTTTCAACCCAGTTGTTAACACTAAATTACCTGCTATACTCTCCCACCGACGCAGCACCACAGTTTCTTTAGAAACTTACCCCCTTAAAACCGAAATCATTCGACATATTTTCGGCAGCCACCGAAAGCAATGCCCAAAGGAATAAACCGAGCCTTCGAGGTAAAAAATCCAGCGGTGTCACCCATTTCAGTAAGTCACAAATAATCCGGGCTGGAGTCGTAATGAGAAGTTTTGTGTCATAGAAAGAACAAAAATGAAGACACGTTTTTTATCACCGGAGAGCTGATAAATAAAAAATCGTTTGTAAATTTAAAATGGACTCTATTGACGCTGCTCTGAGCGCGGGCTCTGTTCACGACATTAGCTGGTTATCTAGAGTTTTTCCAGGCGAAAGAACATTACCATTCTACTTGCATCTGATCAAATACTTTGGAGCCAAAACCACGAGTATCAATCCAATCAATCCAAGAGCGAAACTGACGAAGATCTAACAGTATATTTTCATCCTCTTTTTGTCCAAAAAAGGGCTAAATTGTGACCATAAAAATTCGGGTATGCCCAAAATTCTTCCCTGCCTTTTTACCATGGGATAATCCTTCCGCGCCTCTGCGTAGATGAGTGCTTTAATATCTCGTGTGCTGCAGCACCTATACGTGTGTGAAGCGTCGCTTGTTCGTGGGAATCACACGCCTTTTCCACGCGAGTATTTGACGGACTTCTCAGTTATCCGCCACGTATGGTAAGGGGCTACGTTCGTTTAAGTTTATCCGGGATGCAAAAAGACTTTATGTACTTTTCATCCTTAAACTCCCATGAGTGACCAAGACAGAATTTCTCCTAACAATATCAATACAATATCAACCAGATAAGTGATGAGAATAAAGAAAAATATCAATTTGGGGATAATTAGTTGATCCAGTACTAAATTCTCTGAACTAAAATTATAAGAATTATATGGTTGAAAGTAAGGAGAATTACAAATTTGATCTGGGAGTTTTAGTGTTAAAATATGGACGTCGAAATGACACATTACTCTTAGGGCTACATTATTTCCCATTCTGGGTCCAATAAATTAATAAAAGGTGCGAAATAAAACGAGGAGCTGGGGAGAGAAGCTGTGATCTTCTACTGTAAGTCTTTTTTTTTTTGTTGGTTTTTTTTTCGCTCAGGGTTTTTCACTTTGATTTGCCGTAATCTGTGACGCTTTTGATGCCCAATGGTGGCTTATTAGAACGTTTGGCTGCACATCAGGCGAGTTTGGTCAAACCAGGGATCGTCTCGGTATTTTGAAAGCGAAGTTGTTACCGAGCGATATTAGTTCATTGACTTGATTTCAAAGCATATCGGGCGATCAGAGTGAGCTTCTGATTGGCTAAGTTCAAATTTGGTAAATGCTAGCAACATAGGCACAATGTTGCAATACGCAATGAGTGCAAAACTAAATAAAGAATCTTTAGAAAACTCTGCTACGAACTAATTTATCAAAGAAAGCCACGAGACTCACTAGTTGGTTGCAACCTAAGCAGTTGCACATAAAAGCCTTTGATGGGATTCCGTCTTATCTTGAATCTGTTTTGCAATTGCCTAAATCACTGCCCGCTTGCGAGGATCATGGCTTAATTTGATTTTTTTATCCACACGTTAAATGAACTTTATTTCATTAAAAAATTGTGTCCTAATTTATGTTGAAACTCTGTCTTTTTAAGGCGAACGATCTTTCAAAAAGCACTCTCCACCTTTTTAAAGTAACGTGGAATCTGTTACTCAGTTCACTTGTGCATATCTGTCCATTACTATCGCAAGCAATCAGGAATGAAATCCGTCTAAATATTCTTGGTCATCTTTATCCTTAGTACTAGGCTCTTCAAAGCGGGTGGGGGGCTCAGCCTCACTTCCAACGGAAGGTCTGGTACTCAGAAAAGCTTCAGCCCCTAGCAACAGTTACCTATCCCTGTTTTTCTTATAATGGTATTGGTTAATTTTGCTGAGTGATCTTGATAACTAAATACCTAATTACATTTGTATTTTCGAAGGCTGTCAGATATTATCTACGTTCAAAACAAGAGATGAAATAATCTCCACAAGATGACGGACGCGTTGAAATCAGCTTTTTAACTTGTTTTGGTAATTTGTTTCCTGCAACTCAATTGCTGAAATTTTCCGCGAAGCTATTAACATAATTAGTTGATTCAATTTCCCAGCCCGCATTTCAATATTACAAGATGTAACTCTTTGCATTTTTTTTGTTCTCATTGTTGATTGAAAAATGAACAAAAACTAATGAAAACGTTTAAAAGGGAACTTAGAATGAAATAGTAATTGAAAAAGGAAAAGCCTATTACCCTAAAAGAAATAAAAGTACCGAAAAAAAAAGTGTATTTCTTTAATGTATCCGTCAGACACTAATGGTTCTATCAGTAGTCAAACTTCCCGTTTATAGAACTTCAGGTTTGAAAAAAGGGAAAAAAGTTTATTTCATGTCTCTAATGGAACTAAAGGTTTGTCACAATATCTACTTATAATTGACACCCGAGCTAGCAAATTGTGGCGCCAAAATCTATTATCGTGACGGAAAAAATATGAATATTTGCTCATAAAAAAAAGGGCCCCAAATGATGCTCAGTCGGTCGTCAAAATTAAGGATGTGAAAAGCTAGTAGAGAATAGAAAGAGGCAGATATACTGCTTCAATAATGCGATGTTTCAAGGTGGTATTGATATTGTTGCTTCGGAAAAAAACAGTTCGAAAAATGTGAAAAAGCGACGTGCGGGTCGAATTTCTCTTTGGGAAAGTGTTGTTTACCATTGCTTCAGCACAGTTCCTGCTGCACACGGATATATGTCCATCAACTCACGGTGAACTCATCCTTAAACCTAAAACACCGATGGCTCGGCGAAGGTTTGTCGAGCCATAGATAACAATATTTTACCAGACGCTTAGTATAGTATTTCGCTCACCCTGCCCTGGGGCTCAGTAAATTTAACCCCCTTATGAAGAGCACTTTTCAAACGCCCGCAGCCTTTAGCTTACAAGATCAATTTGCACTTAGCATTGTAGAACAAAGTATTCTTTTGTTGTTTATTTTATTATATTGTTCTTTAAGGTACTAGGAGACCTTTGAATGCGACACTCAATCGGCATTGTAGAAATCTTTTCCACAAAAACGCCAAATTCTTGTCACCAGTAGAGCTGAAAAAAATTGAAACGTGGCAAAATTTTAAATAACTTCCTGGCGCTAGCTGCTTTCTTGCGAATGGTCTCATATACCTTTTAGCTAGAGCTGTTTCCGTGTGAACGTTCCGCCTAAAGTGCAGGTTTTATCACGTACATGTTTATGTACCTTCCGGCAATCTTCCCGGAGTCGCTGCCTTAATTGACCTGCCATACGATAGGTCGCAAATACAATTCTAATTAAGATCAGTTATAACTCCTGCATTAATGTCGCCTTAGGAAAGCAGCTGTAAGCACATTTTACTTGGAAAGCAAATAATTAGCGACCAAGTCTTCAGAGTTCATACACGCTTGATTTGACAGCAAGTGTTAATTCCAGTCACAACCTTGTGGTGTTGTGTAAATGGAACTATTTTCGTTCGAACAGAATCGAAGAATGCAACGATATCTTGTATAGTAAGATTAGAGAGTTTAGACTAAGCAACGACTCTGCTACTTGCGGTTGAATTACAGTGCTCTTAATTTACGACAGTAAAGGTAAGTTGCTTCGACAAACTTCGGAGCAAAATGTTTAAATCAGACAGCCAAGTGAACGAGACCTCAATTTATCACAGCTACTGTTTTGATGTCATTTGATGGTAGTGAAGATCTACTGCGAATCAGTTAAAATGAGAAGCGTATTCAAATTCGTGGTCTGTTTTACAATCCTTAATTCAAGTAGATAGCTCTTGCATATAAACTAATCTTTCACGGACGCTCTTTATTTGATTTCAATTTATTTTTTTTGCGCGCTATTTAGACGTCTTTTGACCAAAATATACTATATCTACAAAATCGATCAAATTTAATTCGGTAAGCTTGCGGAAAAACTTATTAATTTTTTTTCAACCATTGATTGAGAAATAAAACTACACGACATTGTTTTGAGCTCTTTTAACATTGGAAATTTTACATGCGCATCTGGTTGAAAGTGATATCCATTTGATAAATTAAAAACCCCATTTACTAAAATATATTTCATTTGCATATTTCTGTCTGTCAAATATGAAAGAAATGACAAGTTGGATGAAAAATTTGGGACACGTATCCCGATGCGTGGCTTATCATTACAGTGCTTCTCTCAGCAAACGTCCATCACTTGCGAATTAGATCACCTTTACAACGCCTACTTTGAGAGACAATGAACTATTAATTTTGAAATGTCATGTTTATAGAGACTTCAATTCGTATTATTGCTTACATACAAAGAAGTAGGTAAACTTTAATCTTATAAAACAAAAGATTAGACAGATCTGCAAAAATTTGCCCTCAAATCTTAGAAATGTCATCTCCGTGAGGATATATATTCATCCGTATAAAACCTTTATAACGAACACGTTAGGCAAATATTAATTTCCTAAAGGTAAATGATATGTCAGATTTTGGAGAAATTGTTTACAAGCTCAGAATCACTTCCGACAAAATTACGACTATCAGGCAGCCAATGAAAGTCGTGCAATTTAGACTTTAATATAAAATTACATATACTCTTTTGTATTAAATATTCAAAAGCAGCTTTTTCAGTTATTTTTACATCGTATGAGGTCATTAAGATGCAGGTTTTCACGACCAAATTTGCTTTTAAAAGGGTTCTGCAAACCAGATGTCTTCCGATCTACTTGATTTTTTATAAAAACCGGAAAAGACTTCCTGGAGCTCTCTCTGGCTTTACAAAATTAGGCCCACGCTAAATACACTCGGTCTCGGTGAACCAAATTATTCTAGTCAAATAAAAATTCGGACAAATATCGTCTTTGAGTTCATTTGTTTTTCACCAGTTTACGAAGTCATATCGCCAATCCGACTTTTACATAACAATATATATATATATTGAGATAGGGAAAAAATAAAGAGACTTTACTTTCATCCCCACAAGCCTGTTTCGTTATTACTCACTCATCAGGGGATTTTTAAATTTCCCCTGATGAGTGTGTAATCACGAAGAAGGCCTGTAGGGATGAAAATAAAGTCTCTTTGTTTTTTTTTCATATCTTAATATATATCGCGCTCTACTTCTACGTATCGAGCACTCTACTACGGAAAAATCGAAACACAGACTTCCTACATTGAAAACACAGACTTCTATATCGAAATATATATATATACATACATATATATATATATATATATATATATATATATATATATATATATATATATATATAGTGGATAGTGGTAATCAATCAATTTGAAAGAAAAGCCAAACAAAAGCAGAAAATATTATCCGTTTTAAGCAGCTTTGTTGATATTTTTCACGAGGATTTCATTGGCGCTCATCCACACTTAACAAACAACGGCTTTACTTTGAGTAATCTTTAAACGCATCAAAGTTTTCAAAAATCAATATTTTAACTATACCATCGACTTGTAAGCACGGAAATCAGAACGTCACTGACTAGCTGTATGCTTTAGCGGGGCAAGTTCGCGAGTTAATATTTCCATGATTATAACTAACCCTAACCGTAACCCTAAAACACAAACAAGATTTCTCTTTGGACTAACGGGCATTCTGTTCTTACGGTATCTCTTTGCTAGTCTCGCAGACAGGTGTAAAGGACTGGAATTGAACAAAAGGTCCTAATATAGACATGACCTGATTTCTGAGTTTTCATACCATCCTGTGGAAAACAAAGACTTTAAAATTTCAAGAACCTACAAGTTTTTGAAAATGAAGACGGGACGGAATAAGAATGTTTTGCTTCTGTTTTTTTCTTTTGTTCTTGTTGTTTGTGTTTTGTTCTTTTTCTGTCTTGTCTCTCGAAGTATATCATAGCTTTTATTTTTGTTCAAAAAATTTGAACCTCGCATTCTCTTTCATAGGAAGACTTCGAAGAAATGGAGAACAATCCAACCCTGATGCGCATGTGTGTTGCACTTGCATTTCTCTTGAGTTTCACTAGTGCGTCTGAAGAAACTTCATGTGGTCCCATGAAAACTTCCACCTGTCACAGAAACAGTAACTCAGGTAATTGAAAACTTCCAACCTCAAAACAATCGATCGTTCAATAGCTGAATACCTACAAGTATTCCCTGTACATCACATTTTGGCTCTGAGCATCTATGTCTCTTGCTATAAATGTAGTGAAACCACTTTTCAAAAGGCAACTTCAGGATCGGAAGAAAGTGTCCTCTTCAGTGACTGTAGCTCTAGCAATGTTTTAAAGGAACATGTTTCAGATTAGATCTAAGTTCGCATCACTTTAATGGAGAGAGACGTACTTTAAATAAATCATGAATCAAAATGTATTCATCATATACGCGCTCTTTTTTTTCTCTACATTCATAGGATAGGTGATCCTCTTTTTATTTCCTCAGGAGCTGATGTCCACTGTGAAAGTGACTCAGCGCCTCATAGCTGCAGTAATAGAAATGAAGAAAAAGAGAAACTTAAATACCATTTCCACGTGAATGAGCCGCCTAAGTTCCGTGGCGTGTATCCATTTCCAGTGGATCCTATTCCGCGAAGAAACTGCTTCGACGAGGAAGCAATGGAATTTCTACAAAAGGGGGTAAAACACATCGCAATAATTTTCATTTGGATATGATTCACAATCACATTGGTATTAGGAAAATCTTCCATTATGTGTAAAAAGTAATCCGGGATTGCCGTGTTTTAGCTTTACTTCGTTACGTGATTGGTCCAGGAAACCTTGCACTACTTTCTCAACCAATCAGATTGATAACCAAAGTCAATCTGGACGTGGTCAGCCGCGTTTTCCCGCCTTTTAGGCAGTGGGCCTTTTTTTGAATTCGAATTCTCGTTGGCTCCTCTTGATATTTTACCAGCTGTGATTGTTTTGGTTTCTCAGTCGAGAAGCACCCTTATGCCCGAAGCCACGTGATTGGTCCAGATATCTGGCACCACCCTCTCAACCAATCAGAAACTATGGGCGACTTAATCAATGACTATCCTGTGTTTACAGCTATTTCAATGTGTTATTTTAATTTGAAATCTCATTGCCGACGTTTGATATTTGCTGCTCGTTATTCTAATCAGCTAAGGTGGTTATCACAAGAAAATTTGTTTTAATCACCTAAGTTGATATTGTAAATTGGTCACCGTAAAGAGTTTTTAAAGCTGACGTTTCGAGCATTGTGTGTAGTTTACATACGGAGCGATGGAGCTACGCTATTGAAAGCAACATGGACAAAAACACAGGAATAAATTAGATGAAAGAAATGTTCTTTTGAACTTTGGGGATTAAGGTTGTGACCAAATGGATGGGAAAGGGCTCCACTATGTTGTCGTCTTCACCTAAGATTTCACAATTCTTCTTCACAGCTCTACTTCTATACTACGTTTTACGAAAATCTGAACCCCATGCCTAGAAATTATCTCATGAAACAGGCAGAGGGGTCAAAAAGAGGTTACAACTACACGCTGGGAAAATCGTATCCGACGATTTGATTTCATTTTACGTCTTGTAACTGAGAAGAATTTATCTAACATTCTTTTTTAATGTCTTAATCATCCTACATTGTTTTGTTGTTTTTGTTTCTGTTGTTGTGGTCTTTGCTTTTGATAATTGTAAATCATGATCTATTACCATTTATTGCAGCTTCCAGTGGTACTCGAACAATGCACGTTCCAGAAGCCTGCCCTAAAATGGACCATAGAATACCTAAAAGAGAATCTGAAAGATGAAGACCACACGGCATACTTTTCACAAACCAGACAGTTTCTTTATTACGACGACGATCACATGAAAGGCACGTACAAAGAATGGAAACCGCCGATCACCAAAAAATTCTTATATTTTAGCAATTTTACGAAATCGATGAAGGAAATAGAGGAGGCGGACAATGGTAGCCGAGCGTACTTTCAGGTACTGCATTGAAATCTGTCACGTTAGTTGGGGTGGTTTCTTTGAGTGATCAGAGCTAGACTTTGGAAATTTTCATCCCTGTAGAGTTCAGTTATTGAAGTGGTTTGTTTTTCCTGATCTTTTGAGGATTTCGTTGGACAGGAAAAAGGGAGCAGATGGAATTCCTTGAGTTAGTGTCTTTTCTTTGTGTGTGTGTGTGTGCAAATATGATTTATACGCTGCCACAACAACAACAATAATATCAACAACTATTTTTGTTTTCTTCGCTTTTGTTTTTGTTTTTTCATTGTTTTTATTTTGTTTTGTTTTGCCCTATAGCCAGTGTGGTCATCCTTTAACCCCTAATCCTTGCTTGCCAGGACTCTCTTAATTTTCGTAACGATTTTCTATTTTTAGTCACTGATATATCTTCAAGAAGGCGTCAGTGCAGCCATGCAGAACGATGTTGATTCTTTTAACTACACCTGGCTACTTGACCTCGTGACGCGCTTCAGCTGGGGCGAGGATGTTACCAACCTGCTATTGGTTGGTATGCCTGATGTCGTCACGCCTGCGCACTTTGATGTCCTGGAGAATCTTTACGTGCAGGTTAGTTTTATAAATTATTTATAACATTACTGCAAAATAATCAACTTCATTAAGGCCAAGATTAAGCTGTTTTTTGTCGCAGATCTTATGGGCGCTTATAATATCCAAGATATCTATGCCACAGGCATGGAATTATTCCGTCAGTCAAAGCATTGGAAGATATCGGTGTTTCTAACACCCTGTCAGCATACATATCATATGAAATGCCATAAAAATGATGTCGCAGAATAAAAACCTCCCCTTTCTTAGATCCGACTTACTGTATTTGAATCATCTCAATAACAATAATAATAATGATAATGATAGTAATAATCATTTTTTATTGAACTGTTTAAATAACAAATTAATTTATTACTGTACAATCCGGATTTTATTAAGCACATTTAACAATAAATTAGAAGTGAAATGACAGTGCAAACTGCGAAGCTAAATTAACCGATTAGATTTTTGTTGACTCCTCGTGACATGGCTAACTTGTCTCAAGTTAGCCATGTCCGAAAGTCATTTGAATTCCCTGTCATGGTATTTCACGATACATGGGGAATTTACCACATTTGTTTCTTATTTTCTCACTTCAATCTTAATAGCTTTAATAGTTTCATTTTTTTCTCTGTCTAATAGTATTTTTAGCAGAAGAGATATCTTGTATTATTCATTATTAGTAAGGACATATGCAGCAGTTTTCAGTTGAGTTTCGAAAGACCAAGACCAAAATAATGGCGACAGCCAATCGAAGTGAAGGCGACACCATAGTTAGCCAATGAGTGCTTGGAATAAAAACGTGCGAACTGCATGAAAAGCACATAAACTCGTGTGATTAATTCATGAGCTTTGAATCTGATTGGTGAAGCCAAAATATGTAAAACCAAAGTAACCATGGATTACTTTCGACTTGCAATTGACAACCGTTCCATAACTGGATTAACTTGCTCTTTGCTTTCTTGTATCCAATTGGCAGATTTTTGGCCGGAAGCGAGTCATCTTGTTTAGTCCAGATTACTTCCGTTGTTTGTACCCGCATCCTGTGGGACATCCTCATGACCGACAAACACAGGTAACATTTTCTATTTCCTTCTGTAAAGAAAGCAACAAGCTTGGCTTGATTTAGGGCCTAATCTTTAGATCATTCCTCTCAAACTCTTTCAAAAACTATCCCGTTTTGAAGATCTCAGGGAATCTAGGAAAAGTCCATCTTTGTCACACATTTTGCGAACGTGATTATCCTACGCTGTGTGTTCGTTCTCTACTAAGACAGTCAAGCAAGCCGTAAGGTGCATAAAAAATGTTATCCAGAGACAGAATACCCTTTGAGGAAGGGAGTTTTCTGCTCCACCACCCAAATCTCTTGTTCTTAATTTTTATGGAAGATAATTATCAAACTATCAATGAGGTGACAAAGATATAATTAGTCTTACCTACGACTCCCATCTCGAGCAGAACATCTTGATCCCAGTCCCTGTCGGCCTCATGATAATTATCAACACTTTTACGTTAAAGGTGGACTTCGACAAACCTAATTTTGACTGGTTTCCCAGATTCCGTGAGATTAGAGGTATGGAGGTCGCTTTGGAGCCTGGAGAGGTGTTATATATTCCAAACCTCTGGTGGCATTATATTGAAAGTGAGATGCACAGGTGAGAACGTAATAAAGGCTAATGTCTCAGTTTAAGCATGTTGAAAATCTAGAATTCCGGAACGAAATATTCCTCTCATGGCCATGTGTGTGGAGACACACTCAGAGCGATTTTTGTAGAGATGTGCAGAAGACATCCTTTATCTGACTACAGAACGATAGTTGTATGCCATATCTTTTTTAATTTATCATTTTTGGACATTCTATTTTCGTTTAGCAACACCATATCCATTAATTTTTGGTTTGAGGCGAAAAATGCAAGCAAGGTAGATGACGCAAGGAAAAAGAAGACGAACGCCAAAGATATAGAAGCAGAAAACAACAAAGAATCTCACCAAGAGTATGATAACCCGCGGGAAAATAAGGAACAGCCTGAAGACTATGAAGAAACCTTAAAGGAGCACTCCGAAGAAACTGGAACTAGCAATTCTGAGCAGATCAGCGAACATAGTGATGAATCAAAGGCAGATGAAACCATGGCGAAGGGAACCGAGGAAGAGAAGGATGGAAAAGAATTTGAAGAAATAGATTTAAATCAAGAAGAAGAAGATGTGAAAGAAATTGAGTTGTCGGCCGCTGAATACTTAATCCTTCTGAGAGAAACAGAAATATCGCTTTACAAAGCTACACTAAGCCACGCAAAGGTAGGTTGTACAAAAAATGCCAAGATAAAGCTATTTACAAACAAACAAAAGAGTATTAAACAAACAAACGAACATCTGAAATAAAAAAAATTAAAAAAAACAAACAAACAAGAAATGAATACAGAGTATGATTTCCGATATTTCTTTCACACTTACATGGATATAAATTTCACGTGGTAAAACTGACCCGAGTTTATCAAGAGAGTAGACTTAAATACATTCTATTACAACTTCTAACAAATAAAAAAGTGCCTTTTAGCGATGGGTGGGGATGGCATATTGATGAGAACGCTCACCTCCCACCGCTCCGGCCCGGGTACGATTCCAGGACCCAGTGTCACTTGAGTTTTTTGTCGGCTTGAGTTTGCTATTGGTTCTCGTCCTTACCCCGAGAGTTTCTCCCCGAGTCTTTCAGTTTTTCTTCTTCCTCAAAAATTAACACTCTAAATTCCAATTCAACCTGGAAACTGTGGACTGGAAGAGCCACCGCGTGAAATGTCCCCTGTTATAATTATATTATTATTGTTATTATTATTATTATTGTAAAATTCGGTCCAAAAATAGATTTAAAGTGAGAACTTGACAAAGGGAACAACGAAAGCAATACCATGTCGAGATTGGATGAAGTTTATTTTGAATTCGAGCAAAAGGAAATATTTATCCGATTCGAGGTAGTCGATCTGGATGGGTTTTCAATAAACTTTAAATTTATTTTCCTGTCAAGGGCGTGCGACAATATTTTAAAACTCACCTTTTTTTTTCTTTTTTCAGGTGAAGAAAATATTGGATGAATTGCTATCGGGAAGATTTGATCACATATAACGCTTAATGATATCAGAAAGACTATGACAATAATGAAATTATAATGACAGAATTTAAGAAATGCCATAACACGGTGACCTGATCGCAAAAAAAAAATTATCGTTTTAGAGAATTACTTAGGAATTTATAAGTAATTATATCAGAATAAAAAATCTAACAAATTTTAAGAAGAGCAGCGATGATAGATACACGTAGATTGAACAATAAAAGTGAGGAAATGAACAAAAAACCGTTTTTTGTAATAACTAATTGATTATTCATTATCATGAAGTACGAGAAATATTCGAATGTTCTCCGTGAAGGAAGTCATTGAGCACTTGTCAATTCAACCTGACAGATAGAGACATATTTTTTTCATTTGCAGGAAAATTTGGAGTAAATGGTAGCGAAGCGAGCGAAGTAATGTTGTTTAGTTGGACATCAAAAGCTCCTGACCTAGGATTGTCGGATGAGATTCAAGAGACTTTGATAAAAAATTATCGGTAGAAATCATTCGTTCGCTTTTTATAAGGTAGCAGGAAAGTAAAAAAGTTTGCGGTATGTAATTCTTTTTCATAATCTGTGATCTAACCGATTGTCAAACCCGATTCAAAGGCAGTCCAAGTTGAGCCACCGAAATCAGACCTTCCGAGATCAAGGCAATTCGTATGTTTAGTTGGTAATGCGTTTGGGTAATTCTCGCCTTACTGGAACGGAGACATTGGAGGCGGACGGCAAAGCATATTCGGATAGCATTTGGCGGCAATAGACTTATTTCAATCAGTGGTTCACGATTACTCGGTAAAAACACTCCTCTCTGGGGAAGCATCAGTGTGGCATATTCCCAAGGGCAATTTTTATGTACAACTCTCGTATCTATCTCGTTAAACTCGAGTTTTGCAGCCTGAACTGTTGGCCCTCATTCTGGTTCAAGAATCAAGGGTTCAAAGAGTATCTAAAGAAACTATGGTGCTTCATGGGTGAAGGGTATATATTACAATACAATTTTGTTTCATCAACTGAGTTGATAATGTAAAATGGCCTCTATAGACAGTTTCTAAAGTTGACGTTTCGAAGGGTAACCCTTCAGTCAGAACGAGCCTTTATATCTTCGCTCCAATGAAGGGCAAGCGATCGAAACATCAGCTTTATCGACTCAGCAGATAAAATTAAGTAATCTTGATTCAAAAATTGTTTGGTAACGAATTTCATGTCTAAATATTGATCACAGGTTCGATTTACGGAAGGTAGACAATTTGTACGAAGTAGAACCCATTCATCACGCGTGCACGCGAGAGAAACTTTGTAGTGCGGTCTACATTGACAGGGAAAGCATCGCTTTGAAATCACGCGAACGGTTCTGAACTTCCGAATGTTCACAAACTGAAAGTCAGTTCGATATCTCCTCTTGACCTTGTATTAAACACAGGTTAGACTCTATGCGATCGATACGGTGGTTAAGCAAGCAACAGTGCTAGAAAAAAAACTGGCAGAATTGAATAGTTGTTTGCGCCATAAAGATAAAGTTTATAGATAAAATCAGTTTCCAATCCATTGTCATGAATTTTCCGCATACTTTTCCTTGTGGGGTACTTAAAGTTCCTTCCGCGTGTCTGTGGAATGACTGTTAGACATGCAAATGATTGAAAACCGCAAGTGCATCGCTGTTTAAATTTAGCCTGAGCTTGAAGACTAGAAACACCGGTTCGATAGGTATCAAGAATTAAGTAAAATAACCTAGAATATACACAAGGGACTTAACTTTTAAGTGATCGCCGGGCGACGACTTAAGCGCCGCCAAAACAAATCATCAGTTCAAGTTTGCCCAATGACCGCATTGTCAAAGTTACATATTTTGTCATCCTTATTGACAGCCATGTCACGAAGCGCAACCCAACCGTAGAAATCTTTTGTATTTTGTCACAATTATTTAGTTTAGACACACAACGCGTTTGAACCGGTATATCTTGAGGTGAGTGTCTAATTGAGCTAAAGGAAGTATAAGTGCTCGAAGAGGAAGCTTGTTGAGGCATCTGAATTGATATAAAGCCTAGCTGATATTATAAAGTGAATCAATTTTTTTTCGACGGTTCTGGTATAGCTGATACGAAATGGGAGCTTCGAAGATTTTTCTGGTGGCTGCAATTTTGCTCATTAACTTAGTGGGGACAATGATCTCTGGTGGTGGTAGGTGTTTACAAACTCAATTTTGTAAAAATTATAAATGATGACTTATTTGCAAATGCTATTACGCACCAAACAACTCTTTTCTTTCGGCCTGCGCATTCAGTTGCTTACTTGTTATTTGTGTGTAAATAATTTGACAGGAAGTTTGTATAAACAAGGGTGTTTTTGGAGAGAGCTTCGAACGTGCTGGGGTCCAAGTTACCGTCCATCATAAGACAATGAATATTTTCTCTCGCAAAATCAGTCTGTTCAGGAAACTTTGGGAATTTATACTAACCACTTATCGAAAAGCACCAGTGAAACTTCAGTTTGATTCGTTTTGTTTACTCCCCAGCTTAAGTTCTGTCTTAGCATTGGAAATCTTGGTGAAAACTGAATTTGAAATAACCCGCCCCAAAACTATTTTGCAAGGCCACTTATGCGACAACCAAGAGCGATTGAGAACAACAATATTTTTCGGTGATTTAGACTGAGTATAATGTAAAACAAAACACCACTGATATTCGTTTGTTTCAGCACCGCACCATCGGCAGAAGTTACAGAGAACCGGAAAATTTGAAGACATCCGTTTGGAGGATGTAAAAATTCCGTTTGAGGACGATCAGTCAGACAGGAACAGAGAACGCCAACGGCTTATTGATCCGCCCGGTGTTTACCACAGCAAGGACCGTCCTGGTCGGTCTTTGAAACTGCCAAAGAATTAAAGAATTGTGCTTGGGTTAACTCACCTTAAAGTTTTCAAGTGCAGTGTGAAGTGTGATTGCTACGGTCCAAAGTTTTCAATACGAGTGTTGGAATATAATCAAGCCCGCAAGTTGTTTTGACTAGAATCAAAAGGCATGAAACAATGCATGTATCGAGTTTTTAGACTGTAGTTTCATGTATTTCGATTAAACAGCCCTATGATTAAGCTTATTTTACTTAATTGCCCAGGTCATCAGTGAACCATTTTTTTGCGAAACTTTTGCGTGAAAGAATTAGTTTGTAATTAATTGCTCCTTCGAATGAATTTTAAAACGTGAAAAATGTACGCATTTACTCATAAACATTAATAGCAAAATAATGTTGTCCTGTTAAAGAGATGTAAAAATTTGCTCAGAGCAAAATCATTATCAACATGAATAAAGAGTGTGAACTTGAGGCAAACGTCTGCTGTTTTGTTTGACAGATGTGTAAGTTAGGGTCAGTTCAAGAAAAATAGTACGGCCTCTGTCACAAGTAAACGTTGTCAAACCAGGAAGAGGAAAAGTTGCTTTACAAGTGAAATCTCAGCGAGTAATTAATGGTCTTCCTCAAAATAAGGAACGTTAATTCAGAGTGGAACAACTCAGCTGGCTGGGGCTCCAGTGGCAAACTATTCATTTACAGTGCTATGCGAACTTCACACTGCCTTCATATGTTCTATTGCAGACGACGTTTCGCACCGTTAGTAAAGTTAAAGTTGCGGTAATTGCGAAATTCTCTTAAGAATTTTATGTAGAGAATTTGATCGGTCTGGTTTGTTTGAAGATGGCCACTCTAACGTTTGATGCAAACTGACAGTTCCGAATCCAAACTGAAATCACTCTTCATCCTTTAACCTTATTTTCACTCATTTTTTTTTCCCTCGGTGAACTCACTTTAAACAGAAGTTAATGAGAAAAAATTAAATTCACTGTCCCCTTAAATTAAGGGACAGAAAAAACTAATAGATAAATTAGAAATTTCAAACAAATTTGATTTTTTCGGGTATGAGAAGAATCACGCGTGTCACGCAATAAAGGCTGTAACAGCGATGTCCTTAAAAAGCGGTCGACAATGGTCTCCATAGTAACTCATTGCTCTACGATTCCGTTCGCCGCAGGGAAGCAGTAGTTGGTAGACATGGACTTTTTCTGACGCCGAATTGTCTCTCTAATGGGGATAAAATGGTTCTTCCATTCGAACGGCAGCCTCTCTTACACAAGAGATACGCTTCTCTCTCTTCTCCAGAGCTCACACGGTTCTCTCAAGGCGAAAGCGGCGATGCGTCGAGAGGAGACGAGTATGCGAATTTTCTCAAGTGAGCGAATCTTTGTTTACGCTAGAATAGTAAGAATTTTTTATAACGTGTAACCAAATAATATGTATGACGAGTCTATTTTAAATGAATAAGTTAGTTTGCGGTGGTTTGAGGCAGATTCTATTAAATTCTAGCTCGTTTTGATTAAATGTTAGCGCCTTGAATTGGATGTCCGCCTGCGATCGATAGCAGAATAAGAAGTTAGCGAGATATCAAGTGGTTTCATATTTCGAACTAATGAGCATAAAGAATATTGTTTTGACTTTTAATTTCAACTTAAATAGATAGTATGATTTTATTAGTGGTATAGATTTTGTAGCTTAAGTGCTCTAAAACAATTTAAGAAAAAGCCAAACGTGCGTGATAATTGTAACATACTTGTGGCTCTAATCTCTTTGTGATCGATCACTCGCAAATATTAACACCGCATTTCATTTGCTGTCATTTCAATTACGCTCCAATGCCAATGGATGAAAACGTCAATATTTGTTTCGAAAATAAATCCCTGTTTTCTTAGTTTCCCCTCTTTTGAAGACAATGATCGATCAATTTGCTTTTATTTTCCCATGCCGTCTCAGTATCCGTAATTCCCTTTGTCTCAAAATGTAAGTTTCCAGGGGCAACCTCTAAAAGAAGCTTCAAACTATGAGACACCTGGCAAACAAGCCATAAGTACAAATCCGTTATGAATAATGTAGTCAGTTTAGCTAAAAAGAAGAATAATATATGCTGGCATGTTCTTAATGATTTAGAGTGGTTGGTCTAAAATAAGGCCTCATGAGGGAGCATAATTTTTGAGAATTTTTAATTTTCCTTTTATGAACCTCATAACTCTTACATGTGACTCTTAACTTTCTCTTTGGTATGTTATGGGTATCTGTCTTCTTCGTAAATCAGCAGTGAGAATCAGCTTTTAGGCATTAGGCAATGCCCTTAACAACCCACCTCCTGATGATTTGATGTAAGGAGGAGTTTCTAGATTACATCTTTTCTGGGAAGTAAAGGTTTTAAGGAAATAGTTCATTTAGGGGCAAGGGTGGGTTGTAGTGTGATTTTCAACCCTTTAAGTCCCACTAGTGACCTAGACAGAATTTCTCCTTACATTATCTGTACAATATCAAGAAGACAAGTAATGAGAATAAAGAAAAATATCAATTAGGGGATTTTTTTGGTTGATCAAGTTCCGAATTCTCCAAACTAACTTCACATAAATTGTATGGTAGACAGAAAGGAGAATTACTCATGAAATCTTGGGAGCTAAAGGGTTAATGAATGCTCCAGCTTAGTGGCATGTTTGTAGCAGAGATCAAGACTAATTAGATAAGACAGACAAATAGTTATCGTGGGTGTGATTTGTTGTTATTGTGTTTGGTGAGAATTATAAAATCTCACCAAAGAGCACCAGCTACACCAGGGTCTTGAATTCGATCAGCTAGGGAAGGAAAGAACACTCTCACTGATGAAATTACTGATGTGTTGAACCCTCAGTTTTGGCAGGTATTGGCTCAGCTGCCCTGTTTCACATATTCATAAAATGGTAACTAGCGATTGACAAAGCAAATCAAATTGTTTTAGAGAAGGACATTACTATCAAGGAAAATAATCTCTTTCCTGTATGGGTTGTAGTTTATTTGGTAAATAACACAGATAATTTGTTGAACATCAGTGATTCTCTTGGTAATGGCACCATCTTCTTTTAATGATACCAGGTCATTAGCAAATGGAGAACGGCAAGATGTTGGGGTGTCAAGGTGATGTTAATTCTATTGTATTGTTTTAATTGCTGTTAATCAAGGATTTAGAGTTCAGATATATTTATTGTTATTATAAGCAGTATGGCAAACAAATGTGACAGCTCTCACAATTAGTCATTCTGATGATGTAACTGACATACTTCCATGTGACATTTTTCCAGACCTAAGCCAATTGCTGGAAAGCAAGGCCGATCATCGCCAACAACAAAAGACCCAAAGCAGACTAAATATAGGTTGTCACCAAACAGAAGTGATGGTCTGCTTCATGTAACATTAACTGCAAAACAAAATATACAGGAACACCAGAAAAAGATGAGAGTTATTGAGGTGAGGTTGGACGTAATGGAGCTGAAGATGCTGTCCAATTTCAATCTTGTTGTTTTGTGGTTTTTTTGGTTTGGTTTTGTTTTGTTTTTTTTTGTGTTTTTTTTCTGAGTAGGCTGGTTATTTTATTTTCTTTGATGTTCTTTGGAAACATTTCAATTAAGTATACTCTATTTACCTTTTTTGTTCTGTGACTCTTTGTATGTTTTGAGTATAAAAGTTTTCTTAAACATTTATGAAGCACAGCTGACAAGAGAAGTATTTCTTGCTTCTCGGCAATAATGTAAACCATCAGCTCTTTGGAACCTTCAAGAGTGACTTAATCACCAAATTTTCCTTACAGATTTCCCACTCAATAAAGCTGTATTAGGTCAGAATGAGTTCTTTATTGTTCCACATATCCTGTAGAGAAAAAGAGTAGGGAAAGTTTAGAGAAAAGTGTGGTGAATCTGCCCACTCATGTTAGGGTGTAAAGGATTTAGAAAGAAGTGAACAATTTCATGAAAATTATGTGTGATTCAGTAGTTTATTTGATAGGATCATATGCTGCAGCATAAACAAGAGGAAAGAGAACTGAAACGTTATGAAGGAGATGTCATTAAGAAACAGCATCATCTCAGAAGAACCATGGCAGAATATGAAAACAGTAAGTCTTGAGCAAGAGATTTATTGAACAACTACTTATTTATCTACTTGTAAATTTTAAATTTGTGGTAATTCATGCAAATTGTGCTTGCACATGTCTAGCAGTAGTCAAAGAACAAATAACTAAGAAATAAAAGCAAAAGATTGTAAGAGAAGAAATACATGTAAAATTATATCTGATATTCAAGTAATATTGGTTTTGTTTGTCATCTTTAAGAAAAACAAACAAATAGAAAATGTTATTTCAATCAGGAAAAAGTTAACCAAAGTTTCCGAAGTAATCTTAAGATAAGACCAATTTTCATGAGTGAATCAGCAGTAAAGTGTCTTGAAAGAAGACCAGGGGGAGGAAGAAAGATAATTTTCAGCTTAAATGAGCAAAGTTTCTCATTATTGTAATGAAAGATAAGACAGTAAACACACACAAAAATTCATGAAAAGAGCAAACTGATAGGAACTCTTGTTTTAAAAGCAAGTACTCCTTGATTATTAATCTGTAGTGTTAATAAAATGTTCTGCTTATTCTGATAAATTGTTTTTGATTTCACATTCTTAAAACCATTTATATTTTTATTTTAATATTCTTTGAGATGTATTTATGAATATTATTCATAACCACGTTATCATAATCTCAAACAAGTGGAAAATTAAGAAGTCAAATTGGCATTGACATATTTTAATAATTGAAAAAATAATTTAACCAAAAGTTGTGAATCTTTTTTTCTCCTTTTCAGGTATTTACAAAAAAGTGAGAGGTGAAGAAAGTAAGCTTAGTGAGAACAATCAGGGCATGGAAAGAGTTAAACAGCAACATGCCATACAGGAGGACAAAGTCAACAAGGCAAGAACTGAGAGGAACATGTCTGCTATTGTGAAATTTAAAGACAAAGATAGGAAGGAAGGATTAAACCTGTAAGTATTGTGGCAGTGATCAGGGTTTGCTGTCAGGGTTTGAACATGGGAACATTGGGAGGGGTGCCAAGTGACCCAGTAATTACAGCTTTAGCTTGAGGACAGATCTGTAAATCAGATAAAAGAGCTACATTATCAACAGTCATCACCCTTTAAATGGTGTGGCCAGGCAGCCAAAATGGTGGCTTACCACTCTATAATGTAGGTTAAAGTGCTTGGAATTCTTGACATGATACATGTACACCTAATGGCAATATTGAATTTTGTGCACTTTGTTCACTTTACTAAGCAGTGGTGATTTTTCAATTTTACCAACATTGTTTTTTTTTGGGGAGGAGGGGGGAGGGGGGGAGGTTCTCAAAGTATGCACACATAAACTGCTGAAAAGTAGTCTTCCTTTAAACATATTTGGATATTAGAATGTATTCATTAGCTGACTCCCAAGGGGTTTTAACCCCATTGCAGCTTTTCAAAGGTCGCACTTTTTAGAAAAAACCTCTGCACATGGCAGAGGTTTATGTGGAATTAATTTGGATGGTATAATCTTGTTAGACTCAGGCTCTGGTTAAGTCTGTTGTATTGTCAGTGCCAGTAATGACAAAACACTTCATGATGTCCCAATGCCTTTCTCCGCCCAGGAGCACAAAGTGGTATCTGTGAAGGGTCGTCATTACATGGGAAAATAGTTGCAGAATTAATCCCATTTAAATATTGTATGAAGACATATATTGAAGTTGATAATTTTTTCAGCTTACAATGTATGTTTGCTCCTTCAGGGGTGAAGTGGAGTTTCAGTACAGTAAAACAGCCAAGCAACTAGAGCTGACTCGTACAGAAATCTTTTCACTAACTCAGCAGTTTGAAGAGAATCTGAAAAGAATAGAGGTATAAGTTTTTTCCATGATACAAATGCATATGATTAGATTTGGATTGCTTTGGTTAATGTCAAATGTGACCTTTAATAGAATTAGTTACTCAAAAATGACTTCAGCTAACTACATCAACACAACAATGACACTTGTTCAATTTGATTAATGTTGAAAATATTGTCTATTTAGTCAGATGTGAATTGAGTTCTTATGGGATTGCCAAATGGAAAAGTGCATCTCCCAAAATCTCCACCCACTCTCGTCAGGGTTGATTTATTCCAAGTTATACCATCTAAATTTGCAATCAGGAGTACTCAGAACTGTTGTCATTTTGTGATGTCATCATCTCCTAGTTACCACAAGAAGACCTTCGTCATTCAGTTATGAAACCATACGAGATGATAAATTTAGGAATACAGAATTCAGTAGTAAATGTTTATGTAGAAACAACTTTATTTTTCAACAGGAAAGGGGATTTGAATTGAAAAAGAGTTTGGCTGAGCTTGCCATTGCAGCAAACAAGATGGCGCTGAAAAAGAGAACACAACAAACGGATGATGGCAGGTATTAGAATCACATGAAATCTGAATGATTATAGAAAACAACAAAACAAAACAAAATGAATTTAATAAAAAGCTGACAAAAACAATACTACAATAAGCGACAGAATGCTTGTTGAATATGGAAGCGATCTTTGCAGTAATGAACACCACTTAATAGGCAGTAGTGAAAATGAGGCCTGAAAAAAATTCATGTCATTCGGGGATTTGAGTCCATGATTTCTGTGATATCAGTGCAGAGCTCTACCAACTGAGCTAACAAGCCAACTAGGAGCTGGTCATTGCACTGATTCCAAATTAACCAGTTAAGTAATGAGTAACTGACTGTAAATATATGAAAGTCATACACAGTGTATGTGAACTGCGGATAAAGAAATGAATATGGAAGCGATATTCACAGTAATTAATTTTTTTCAGGCCTTATTTTCACTACTGCTCAAATATAGTGTTCATTACTGCAAAGATCACTTCCATATTCATTTCTTTATTCGCATGTCACATAATTATATGATTTTCACATATTTACTGTCAGAATACTTGTTCTTGGACCATTTTTGAAAATGGCTTGGCATGGTATCTTGATGGTTGATTGCAGAATTGTCAAATCAGTGAAAGGTTTTTTTAATTTTCAGATATGTAAAGGACACAAGCATCAAAGATATTCAGGTTTGAGATTAAAACTCTTATACCCATAGTTAGAAGAGATGCACATGTATTTTTTGTTTCAAGCATTTGTTTGGTTTGCTTGTCTCTTTCATGGTTGCTTCTTTACTTTAGGATATAAAGCACCAGATTTTTGTCATGTGTATATTTTCTTAATAGGATGACAGACGACGTAAACAAAGCTTGACAGAAAAACTCAAGTAAGTGGAAAAAAAAAAGAAAAAAAAAGAAATGAGCTGATGATTCTTGACAGTTTGGCTTACAGTTTGTAAATATATATATCATATACTCAAAGACTGAGTAGGAGGGCTGGACTGGAACATATATGGCTTTTAAAGACGAAGAAAGACTTTCTTTTTTTTCCTCTTTGTTTGAGACCCTATCAGCCCAACTTACTAGTAACCTATATATTGGTATCCCGTAATCAGCACCTGTGATTCCTCGATCAGAATAGTTTTGTTATGTTCGCACAGATATCAAGAGAAGCTTAGTATCTTCAACCTGTGTCTTGTGTGTCTCCTATCGGTCTGCGCCTCACTCCCAGAGTTCCGCGCGATGCGCTAACATGCTCTTAGTGTAGCAGAGATTCCAACCCTCCCGATTTGATCAGGAGTCTCCCGATTTGATGTCTTGCCTCCCGCTCTCCCGATTTTTACCAAATTCTCCCGATTTATCATAAAATTCTGAAAACTAGGGGAAAATTGCTAATCTTTAGAATTTTTGGCGATCTGTCACTGTGAAACACTCATATTATACTTACTTTCTTCGCGAAGAGCATTATGGTATGTTATAACTCAGGCTGGAATGATGTCAAAATTCAGGAAATGGCACTTGAGAGAACCTAAATTTGCAAAATTTCCCGGGGGCATGCCCCCTGACCCCCCCAGAAGCTCGCGCCTTTGGCACTAATAATTACTCCCTATTTTCCATCACATGGGGTTGGAATCTCTGGTGTAGTCCTCCAGCAGCCTCTCCAATTTCTTTTTCCTTTCTAAGTAACGGAAATGTATTTGTTGTTAATCAACATTTGATACTGTTCATTATATTGCAGAGGTATAGAAAACCAAGGACTTAAACATGAATACGGCAAGCGGCGTTTGAGCAGGGACTTGATGGTCTCCAAAGACATGTTGTCCTTAAAGTCAAGGGAAGGTAGGTACACATTTCTATTCTCGTTTTATGATTGAAAAGTAGATAAAAAACTAACAAACCTAGTAGTAGGTGTCTAACAAACGGTTTAGGAAACGAAGCAAAAACAAAAGTCAGGTACAACGAATTACATGTTCACTGAGCACTTTTCGATTGAGAGTCGTAAAACCCAAACCAAAGTAATCGCAACGCCAATCAGAAGAAAGGGAAATTTTTAGGAGCGATTAGAATTTGGTACACTTGTACTGCTTTAAGTTTGCAGATCGAAAAGTGTGCACGTGAGATCAGAAAATTTACCATACACTCAGAATGTCACATTTCCTCTTACCACCCAAACTGTTCCCTGTGCTGCTTAATAATCCCAGCTCACAACATTACTTTCAGCTTAATGTTGTATCTCTTTCTCTTGCTCTTGTTTCAGAGGGTAGAAAGATGACCGATATTAATCGTAGGCTTCAACACAATTCCGTCAGCCAAAAGCAAGCTAAGCAAGCGGCAGAATATCTGGAACTTGATCGACAAGGAAAAGAGATTGAGGAACGAGGCCAGGTAAGGGCATGAAAATGGCAGTACTAAATGTTCTGGCTATTGAGAATGAAACCTCACGATGCAATTATGTGTGTTTTTCTGTTTTTTTTCTCTCCTCTTGATAGTCTACACGTACCCTAAGTTTATTCGCAAGTCACGAAATGCACGAGCATTTAACGCATTGTTCTTAAATTTTTTCATCAAATCACTTACGTGTCACGACGATTTCTTTTTGTACGCCCACTTTGCACTCCACACGAATTTCTTTTTAATTTTCTTTTTAATGTGCTAGTCATACCAACCTTATTGTTTTAGCTTATTCAGACATTCATCATGGACCATTCAGGAACGAGATATTTTATGGAGTAAAGAAAACACACTTAAATGAAAAAACCTCGCGTTTTGAACGTCAACCTGTTGGCAGACTTTTATCCTATGCGGCCCATTGCTGCAGAAATGATCTCTATTTCATTAGACAGGAATAAACTCTGGTGCAGCAAGCCACTTGGCTTGAGTGCAGACTTAACCCTTTATAATTGTCAGATAAGGAGGGATTTTAAGCTTGATTTCATTATTAATTTACTCTGTCAGTTTGCCGAGGCTCGCAGAAGCCACCAGATTGAGCAGCTGACAAGGGAAAGAAGACAGCAACACTCGCAGCAGATGACTGAGTGGAAGAAACGTTACTTAGAAAAACAGAACGAGGCCACTCGGCGTGCCCATGAAGACAGCGTCAAACATCTACAGGTGACTGATATTTCTAGACCTGGTCCGTGGCATGCTTTGCATTTTTTCATGTACTTCGTCACGGTTGCTCCATCTTCAAAAATTTAGAGAGGAGAAAAAAAAGAATTTTAAAAACAGGCACCCCTTCATGTTCATGTGTATTGTGGGGATATACGCTTTAACCACCAACCATACGAGTTACTGTGTGAAGGATGATAATATGAACAAATCATCAATCCGCTCTCTCTTTCCAATTTTGTTAGCTGATTCATCATTAAAATTTGCGTATCAACTACCGGAGCCATGCTGTTTCGTACTACAAGCCTCTCCAATCTACTAATTAAATTTCAACCTCTTTGTATCTACCATGACGTTTAGAAAATTGTGAACAAGATGGAGGAAACAGAGCATGCTCTGTACAATCGAGTACGTGCCGCTGAAATGCAACGCCGAAAACAAGAACAGGACGTACAAAGAATCTTTGTCGAATTGGAGCAACTGTCCAAAGAAAACCAGAAGAAAATGAGGGTTTGTACCAGTGGTGTGCGGTGTATTGTCTGTAGCTCTAATTAGGAAAAAGTTAATCATAGTCATAGGCTTTCAAATTTCCACGTAAATATGGTGAGACAAGAATCACCTGCTGGGCTCCAAAGAAGACAGAAAAACAATTCTGTGCTGCTGTTCTGTACTTGTTCGGTGACTGTCCTGTAAACAGAATTTCACTATGAAACAAGGAAAAGATAAAGAGGAGGGCGCATGAAGGGAAAATATTTTTTATGGGAGTGAGGTTATGGAAGGAATCAGCTTTTTACATAAAAATATTTGGGCCTATAGAAGGGGGAAAGAGGTGTGTAGCATATCACCAGGAGCTTTTGGTGCGGAACAAGCTCAAATTCCCAGCTTTGCATTAGTCCCTTTTTTAACTCGTGAATTGCGCGCATGCGCAAGAGCGAGTTATAGATACGATGTGGGGAATGGCATTCGCTCGCTCGCTCGCTCGCTCGATTGGTCGATTCCTGTAAACTTTTTTTAGATTTTAGGCTTTTGAATGCATTTTATAGTTTTTGGCGAGCAATAAACAGACGAAATGGCGACCTTTGTTGCTAAGAATAGTGGTGGGGTGAAAAAGAAGCCAATGATAATCTTAAAAGAGTTTTTTTTTTTCGTTTTAGTTTCAACAAGCGGCGCCAGCGACTGGCAGGCATGCAAGGTTTCACACTGAAATAACAGAACAACCTTCGTTTTTCATAAAATTGTAATTTACAATCCTTGAACTTGAAAACAATCCGAAGATTCATTGAAAATATCACTTACTGCGAAGCGCTCGAGTTTACAGATGTTCAAAAGCTTTTTCTGTTATAGCGTGAGATTGAGGACAAAATTGATCATTACGTTTCGTCGCGTGTGTTTTTCCTGTGTGAAGCAACAAAAAGATGCCGGCGACTGACGAAATAACAAGTTAACACGAAAATCAGATAACACCTAAACAAACAATTTTAGCTACCGATTTTCAGTGAATTTTTAAAGAACAATTTTCTTTTAAGTTTCAAGACAATTTGAAGATTCAACATACATACAACGTACTAAAATGCGAAAGTTACACACCACAAAATTGATAAATAGGCCTGAAATGAAATTCTATCTTGTTATTGATCATACGTTGCCTAGCACGTGACTTAAATCTACCCAGGCGGAGATCCAAAATGACGGTGGCAGGCTTGGCTTAGTTATATCACTCAAAACTCGTTCCCGTTTGTCTCATTTGATAAAGAGGGAATCGTTAATGTTTTCATTAAGACAGTATTGCCTTGATTTTCTAATATTTACAACGAAAGACAGTAAATTTCACTTTTCACCCACATTTACTTCCAACCTTTTCTTTTGAACCAGAAACAAAAATGATAGACGTTTAAAACACATGATATCATCCACCTTGTCAAATGTAATAGCATGATCATTTCAATTGTAATGCCTTCTTATCCCAACGTTACTTTGTTTCTTTGCTACATTAGCGAACACTGAACTACTGCTCGTACTCTAGATATGACAATCAACCACAAAATTCCCTAAACCAGATAACATTAAACATAATCTAAAAAATCATGTGTCAATTCACGAGTTTGCTCACAGAGCACTTTGATTGTTTCGTTTGACGAAACATTTCTTCCTGAAAAGATTTTGCCATCCTAAGGTTTCTTGGAAAATGCTTGTGATCCTACGTCTCACAAGTTTTCATTTCAGAATGGACTTCTTGTTGTTGCTGTGTTATATGGACGAGGATCACTTTACCCGTATTTCCTTCTCTTTGACGTTCTAGATCATTTTCCTTGTGCGATCTGTCTTTGTTTTCTCTTTGTTTAGAGGTGTTAGCCAGTATTCCAAGTACGCGATCTTGTTTAATGTTCTTCCTTTCCGTTAAAATATTAGTTTTCTACTTGCAGGAAACCCAGGAACAGTTTGGCCGAAAGAAAGTTGAGTTGGAACAGAAGCTCTTACGAGAGAAAGCTGAACTAGCAAAGGTAGGTAATCTGTGCTACGTTGTTCCAAACTCGATTGACACTGATCTCAGGCTAGCTACAAACGAAAAGAATAGTAAAATAAAGTAAAATAGAAAAGGGAAAAAACGGAAAGAAAGTAAAAATAAATAATTTTTGCTTTTGATGCGTCAAGCGTCTCGAATAAGATAACAAGGGATGTATTCTTTTGGACAAACTTTTCGGATAATGTCTCCCCTACTCGTGTATGCTCGAATCAACTGTAGCTAGACGGAATGTGGACCGTGCAGATAAATTGTATATGTTATGGTGTGATTTAGCACCTTGTAGAAATATTTATTATTTTAATTCGTTTTAACATCAGTGTAATGTAATATATGACCCCCCCGTTTCTCCACCATCCTCTCTCTTTTGATAGCAGCAGTTTTCCAGCGCATCGCTCGTTTATTCGAACGAACTTGTAAGCGGTTCGTTTTATTTTTTCGTGTTCGTTTGTCGTCTTGATTTTGTTTTCGTTCCTTTTCCTTCTTAAAATTGTTACTATTATTAGAAAAAACTGCTCACATAGCAGCACTATACTTGCCCCTCGCTGATTTGCGTGACCGTGTGGCTTTTGCTCGACATTTCTAGGCCCACAATCAGCGGGAAGAAAGCATCCAAAGGTTATTACACCACAGAGCGAAGATGAACGGCGACAAATACTTGTTGTCCGAGGAAGAAAGGGTAAGTGGGTGCTATGCAAATGTAGTCTGTATGGTTTGATGGACGAGGGAATTCTCGGGGAGTGCGCTGCGTTATACTTATCAAAACGTCGGGAAAAAGTGAGATAGAGCAGATTATGACTTTAAGACAGGTGTCTGCCTCATTAACAATTGGAGTTCGAGCTCGAGATTTCTATCATATGATAGTTTATGAGGGCCAAGCCCGAATCAACTTTCACGTGATCTAGAACAAGTAATCTCACTGTTTTAGTCGAAATCTACTGATCTTTCTATGCTAAACAAGACGCACTCATTTTTCGCAACTTTTTCGCTTCTCATCCAACGCACTATTTATCACGGAATAGATAGCGAGAGGCGTAGCCAATCAGATTGCAAGATTTGTGAGGGAACTTTCGAAGATCTATACTGATTTCCGATATCAACTTTATGAACTGTCCTCTTACATATGACTCAGGTTTTTACTGTGTTCTTGCATTCTATGATCATTTGAGATCTGTTTCAGATAATCTATACCCTAATATACTAATATCATCATTTGCACTTCACACAGGAGCACGATCGTCTCGCCAAGATCGGGCAAAGAACAGACAATTTGGAGCAGGAAGTTCATTCATGAATACCACCAGTAGTCTCTGCCGAGCCTACGCAGCAGAAGCTCGCCAAGTGCGCGAGTTACACGTGAGCGAAAGAGAAGCACTCGTCGTGTACGCCATAACCTCTTTCCCGCGCGTGTCGCTCCAAATAGCTTGCGCAAGGTTGAGTCGAGTGTCTGCCACGTAGGCTAAGGTAGCGTTAGACTGATTAGCGTGATGTGTTGCTTTAATGCGCATTTGATGTTAATTTGTAGGTACTAGTTTTTAACACATGTATGAGTGATTTTGAAGATAGGCTGAAGGTATTCCTCGCAATCGGGTGGGCTATGTTAGTTTCCTTCCCTTTATAAGTATCGCTCGATACGCTCTAACGGCAGACCCTTATTTTCCTATCTAACAATCCATTAACGTTTTATTTTGTTCCAGTTTATTTCAGTATTTGTTTTTGCTTATTTGTATAAAATTTTTTGCTTATTTTTTTTTAGTCAAAGGTCTCCTAAAACTCGTCTTATATACAACAGAAGGTTGGCAATATTGACTGTATCAGGAAGCTAGAGAGGCAGTTGCTAGGTTAGTTCAGTTTAAGCGAGAGAAGATAAAGTTCTAAGTTACACTCAGAGGTAGGTATATCATGTATAACTTGTAAAATCTTTTTGTGAGCTCAAGGCAATGTTCCTGAACATTCTCAAAATAACTATATATAGTATTCATAAAATGATTGGTATCACGTTCTTATTACAGCAAGGCTTCACTTGACAATTTTCCACTTAAAAAACTTCGCTCTCGGCTTATAAGATGTGAATGCACGCTGTATGTTTCAATTTCACGTGAGTTCTGTCCCTGGTAATCATGTCAGGGTTAGGAGTCTTGAGAGAAGTGTTGGTTGACTTAAGTTAAATTATTTTTGAATTCACAACATATTATGGAAGAAACCGCATTATTTTTCTTATCTTTTGAAAAGTAAAAAGTTTCTAACTTCTTTATTTGAGATTTCAAAGATTTCGTCCAAACTTTAGAGAATATTCCTCAAACTTTTTGAAAAATTAGAATGCGGACGCCGCTATTTTTAGAGAAACTCATTGATCTGATTGTGCACACATGAAGTATTACTCATGCTTAGCCGCGTAGGCCCCAAACAGCTGCTGCACCAGCCATTGCTAAAAACAATCTTTATCTGGTTAAAAAACGCCATATGTGGGACCTAATTGTTTAAACAGATAGGAAGGTTACTTTTTTGGAATAACAAAATGCGAAATGTGCGCAAATTTCATGTGTGGTTTTAATAGCAGATTTACAGTGGCATGGTTTCTGGGGCATGTTTCTACCTTGAATAACACTATAACGCCTTACTTAGTTTGAAAAAGCATATTGATCAAATTAATAAGAAATTTATGAATTTTACAGGTGGATTAGGGCAAGTGAGTGTTTTGAATTGTCTTATGCCTTCTAAAGAAGATTTCTCTTATGTTAGCAGGTCGATTAGCTTTAATAATTTCTAAATCATTGTTGTAAAGTGAAGGGTGGCTTTCGCGCTCAGTTGTTGTTTTGACAAAAAATACCTCTGTAAGGTGAGTGCTGTGGAGAGGAAGCATAGCAATAATTTCTCAGCATTAGGCGTGAATGAAGCCTGTGATAGCGAAAGGGAACGAAGTGCACGAAGAAGATTTTTGGATTATGTACAAAAAATGAAAGCAATGTAAACAAAATTTAATTCTGAGCTTTGCACGACAGGTGTCGATTTTAGTCATGTAATGTAAGTAAGAGTTTATATTTTACTGAAAGATGTGCTAGGTTTATGCAATTAGAGCGCTTAGATTCTGATGCGATTACAACCGCGAGTTCGAGGTTTTCTAGTTTTTAAACAGTGAGCATGCGTGAACAAGTGTTTATAAAGCGGAATAATTCAATAATGAACGAATTTGTGGGAAAATGGTGTATTGTAAAAAACAAGATACAGGACACGTTAGCGGTTTTACAGTTTTACAACCTGAGAAAGGCTCAATTTCCTCCATTGATTATAGGCATGTTAGTATTTCGCTCTTCACTTGACGTCAAATCTTCTTGTAATCAAACTCTTCTTACAATCTCAAGGCCTCTAATGGTGTATGTTATGTCCTTTCTGGAAAATGGGCAGGGAAAAGGTTATGATTTTGATATCGAGTGATATTGAGTGGATTAAAATGTGTGATATTTACACACCTGTGAATATTTCAAGTAAATTATTATTGTTTTATTTTTGTAAGAAGTGGCTTGGAATCTTTATTCAAGGGGTCGGGCCAGACTGTTTTAGTGCATGGTCGTGAAATGCTTTGAAATGTCAAATCACAAATTGAGATGGAAAGAAAAAACTCCAACAGCCTGTCTCATTACAGGCTTCATTTTTGGTAAGCAAATGCTTATTACATTGGTTGATTGTCGAAGCCGCAATAATGGATTGGTAAGATCGGGGAAAGGCTAGAGCGAACTTGTCTGTTCTCATCACTACCACCCCCCTCTAGAAACCGTTTTTTCTCGCACAAGGTATTCCCTGACCTTACAGCTACGATAAAGCGGCCTGAACTCTCAATTGGACCATTCATAACCTGCGTGTCCAAAGTAACCAGTCTGGTAGCTAATACATCAATTCAAGAGAGTCTAATCTCTCTTGATCAACTACTTTAACAAAATGAGTACAGATAAGGTCTTCTTGGGCAACGAAGAAAGTTTCTCTTTATTTGAGCTCATCGTAAAGTTGTGTGGTACTGATTTGATAAGTAAAGGCGACATGAATGCTGTCTCACTGGTCAGATAAAGACATGCATCCTTTTACCTTGGTGTAATGATTACAGTTGCCTTCTGTTGATAATTTCTCTATCTTGATTGCCAAAACTTTTTCCTTAGTCCCCCCAAACTAGCTTGCGCGAGTTGACGCGACTAACTTGTCATCGTTCATACGACCGGCCATGTTTTATTTAGAGTTATAGTGGGGAGGGGGGGGGGACGGGGGAAAAACAAATCTAAGAGGACACAGATACGCCGCCCTTGCTGATATATTGGATTGTGTACAGTCTTCAAAGTAATTCTCGCACGCCCTTGTAAAACAGGAAATACTCTGATGTATGCCGGAAGGGTTGTGACGAGAGGAAATGTTGACTGAATGTGAACATCTTGAACAAGTTAAAAAGGCAAACATCAATCTTAAATCCCATCTACTTGAAGGCCGTCAACAAAAATAATCGACAAGTAACAATGGATAATTATCAGTTGCTGGAAACAGACTTTCGCATTGAAGTACCGTGCGATTTCAATAAAAAATATTAATCGTCATTGTTAGATAGCGTCTATTCAGAGGTACAATTGAAAACCGAATTTAAGACCCCTGGATATAAGGAACACTTTCACGGTTCACGAACGATATCAAAATCTGCGCACGGACACCTAGATGTAAGATTTTACGATCTATATAACCATTTGGGCACGAGAATACACACTTTATGTAACAATGATGATTTATCTAAGGTGGTTTTTATCAAAATTGAACGGTAGTTTTTTATAAGGGTCTGTTCCCAGCTACTGATTATGATCCGTAACGATAGCCTGTGAATGGGCGAAGGCTTGACTTCACAAGGACGAAAATAAGGATCGATAAACCACAGAGAAGACCATGCTGTCACCAAGAGAATAGATCTGTTGATTCTGAAGTACTCTGAACCTTTCACGCCCTTTATATTAACAGTGGAGGATGTTTTCGGCTCCAAACGCAACCGTGAATCGCAAAACCACCTTACCACTACAAACTACGCTACCGACGTAAAGATGTATTCCAACAGTGAAAGCTTAAATTTCCGAAAAGGCTCCCGTAAGCAACGTACGCGGTTTCTGTACTGAGCCACTAAGATGAAGCAATTTGAAACAATTGTCAAAATTGATAGCAATTCAAAGGATATTCAACTCCCTAGAAAAAGGAACTTCTCAATTCAGTTGTCACGATTTTGCGTGGTTGATATAGAATTTTCTTCTTTGAGTGCGTTTGAACCAGACTGATTTTCTCTGGGGTTTTGAAACCTTGAAATGCCTCAAAGTAACACTGAAGAATTTTGCATAAAGCATTGTGGTATTCAACGACTATAAAACAAAAAATTAAACGTTTCTTAAGCTTTACTTATTAAATCTGCCTCGTGCCTATACACCGTTCATGTACATATTTAGACGTGAGTATTCCGCCTCTACAGATGTCTTCAAAGCGAGGCTGAAAGGGAAAATAGGTAGAAACTAGGCGGGTATGTTTAAATTTATTCGTTTGCTTTGTGTCTTAGAAGCCTTGATTTCAAGCTAAACTCGATGAACCGGAAGTAGCCTTTTGGATACACGTGAAACGTTTTTTATTCAACTTAACAGCAGCCATCGTTTCTTATTGGAGCCATTCATAATCGGCTGAAAGAAAGAACAAGTTTAAAGACAGATGGGACATACTTAGAAGTTCCCGATAGACAAAACAATAATTTACATTAACAAGCACAAGCCATAACCTCTTGTTCTTTTCCTTTTTAGGAAAGTTTTTTCATCAATTCACTTTATTGACGGTTATCATTCTGGCTTTTTATCTGTCATTATATTCTTACATTTTAACAAAACCATACGTGTAGCAGCTGGTACATGCTCCATAGCTTCCATTGGTTCATAATGAAAAAACGATCGTTGAATACTGTCAGAATGAGACGAAAATTTTAGATCTAATGTTTTGATAAGCGCTACCGCTCATAAAGCAGTTTAAAATACGTCGAGTACCATTCGAAGCAACGAATATTTCCAGGCAATCAGCACACTCGGGACCTTAAAAATATTTTACAAAATCAGACTTACCGTCAGTTATAATCATACACAACCTGGGGTTAGGAGAGGACTTAAATCAGTCAAAATGTTTCAAACCCTGCTGGTAATTTTTTCTTTGGGTGAGTACAAACCTTCCTTTATTTGTTTTTTTTGTGGAAACATGGACGAATCCCATAGAATCCTCTAAACGGAGAAAAACCTTCGATCAGAATGCAGGTGATGCATCCATCATAACAGACATATCGCGTCGCTTAAAAGGACACAAAAACAAGTTAAAATAGGTTACAGTGTTTATTTTCACAAAACAACACCCATGCACTCCGAAATAATTCTTGCAGTTTCTCCCGAGATTTAGTATACGGAACCCGGCGACATTTCCTTGCGACCATCAAAATCAATTGGACAAACTCAGCGTGATGTATTGCGTGACGTGATTGTGCAAACTTTTCTCTTCGTCATACGACCTGTTTCGCAGATTCTACAAGTTGGAACCAAAATTAGTTAATGTAACGAATTAGAATCGAAAGTTATTAAAACTAACTGAAGAATTTTACATTGTAATGAGAATTTTATCTTTTAAAATGTTAACTTCATTTATGGAAAGCAAAGATTGGAGTGGCTTTGGGTATTTCAGCCCTGATTTGGAAAAAATAAAAACAGTTATTAAACAGTTATTGGTATGTTCTAAACATCAGAGCACCAGAGAGGACACTAGAAATGTAGTAAAAGTATTTTTTAGCATCCAGAGCAAAAAGAAGAATGTGAGGCATTGAACTCAATAAAATTTACCTGGAAGGCATTAACTTTCTTTTGTCACGAAACTCGTGGATTTTAAAACTTTGAAGCGACGCTCAATGAATCCTGAAACTGGAGTTTGAGTCCATTGGTAAACTATGCCAGCTGGTCTCATGAGCAGATCAAACTCTGACGAAATCTGACAGTTTTAAAATTTTAAGCGGATGCAAAAAATCGAGACAAAAATTTGCCATGACACAATTTGTCCTTTTATTTTGTCAAGAGAATTCTGGTTTTGTCTGCTATTGCAGATAGCCCAGATGGGCACTTACGAATCAATTTTTAGTTAAATAATAGCCTTTACTCTCGAGAAATTGCAAATATATTACCCATGTGATCCTACTACAACTTTAATTCCGAAAACTTCGAAAACATCTCCAGTCAGTCTGGCTTTCTTTTACTGCCTCACATAGTTTTTCCTTGTGTTGTGGCTGTTAACAAGTACTCTAACTGCATTTCCAATGTTTCTTAAAGTGTTCGGATGTTTAGAACATACCAATAACTTTTTTTCCATATCGTGGTCAAAATGACCGGAGCGAAACAAAATTAACTTGCAATCGAGGATTTCGCTGGATAGCTGACAGTACTTCAAATGACTCGATACGTCGTTCCGGCATTTCAGGAGAGAAATGAGGGCTGAAATACCCAAAGCCGCTCCAATCTTTGCTTTCCATGAATTAAGTAAACCTTTTTAAAAGTTAAATTCTCATTAAAATGTTATTCAGTCCATTTTAATAACTTTCGATTCTATTCGTTACACTAACTAATTTTGGTTTCAATTTGTAGAACCCGTGAAGCAGGCCAGATGGCAAGGGAAAAATTTGCACAATCACGTCACGCCATGAGCTACATTGTTGCAGTCGCTGCGCGCTGAACAAAATCTTTGAAATTTACACTTTCGATCGCTGTTGACAGGGGTGGTCTGGCCAAAAATAATTTTTTTGGCTTGTGGCGACGCAAAAAGAAGAGAATTGGATTGAAAAAAAGAGAATTGAATGTTTCCTAAACCCTTTTCATAGGCAAAAAATGGTTATTAAGGTTTTGAAAAGCATGAATGACCAGCTCCGTAAAGGCGACGAAGTCGTTTATCTCACAATTGTCTAGTTCTGCATGCCCCGTAGTGTTGCTTAAGAGGTATTTAGCTATGTTTAAGATACCCCCTGATTCCAAAGATTTTATTTTCAAGCCCATTTCTAAAGGGAAGGGCTCTTATAAGCTTGTTGCCCCTGATAAGCCAATTAGTTACTCTACTACTAGAGGGACTTTTCGCCGGGACTTGCAAAGTCTCGGAGTTGAACCGTCCAAGTTTGGTTTGCATTCCCTACGATCTGGAGGAGCCACTGTGGAAGCGAATAATGGAGTAAAGCCAAAGGTACAAGCCAAAGATACATACGTAGACGATAATCTTGAACAACGACTCGAAGTATTGCGCTTTCTTGGGCTCTGGGGGCGTTTTCGTGTTCTTTTTAGTGGTATATTATCACCTAACCTCGTGCGTCTTGCCCAATTCTTTGTCAATCTATATATGCCTCGGGTTGGTTCTCAGCAGGCTTCCCTAAATAAACTTGTTTGGTTTACACTATTGTGTTATTTGTTGTGTAGTGGAGACTAAATATGGTATTTCTGACGATTGAGTCTGCGAGTAAGGCAGAAATAAATATTTTGTCGGCACGAGATACGACAAGGCCTGGGCCTTAGCCGAGCATCATGGGTAATGATGCAGTTGTACACAAGGGGGAGTATAGCACGTGGTGTCCATCTAGGCCTCAGAACCAACCGTCCACCTCTGGCTGATGACAAATTTATTTTAGTTTGAAAACTTATTTTCTTTAACTGTGAAGCCTCGTAGGACGGGCTGCCAACTGCTCTGAGTGTGGGCCATGGTTCCTATCCAGATTTCCTGTCATATTTTTTCCCTAAATGGGGTTTTTTCTGGGAGGTTTTTTCTGGCCTCCGTATAACCGTAGTAATGTCCTTGTAAGCGGTTACCCACCTCTGTTAATCCCGACTTGGTGAGGTGTGCATGTTAGTCATGTATACCTATTTTGAATGTGTAAGGAATTGACTGTAGATCAGGAATGTATATGGTATATCAGTTGCGAATGTATGTATGTATGCACGCCTCGGGCAATATATGCCTCGGGTTGGTTCTCGGCAGGCTTTCCTAAATAAACTTATCTGGTGTACACTACTGTGTTATTTGTTGTGTAGTGGAGACTAAGTATAACGTCAAAAACAACTGTGAATGCAACCTCTGAATTCTTATGATATCCCTGTTGAGTAAGTTACATAATAAGTAGCCAGGTTGTATAGACGTAAAATAAGAAAAAAATGCTGACAGCTTTTCGCCATATGAACGCTCTTTTATAAATTTGGTTGGCACTGAATCGCTTTGCATAATTATCAATGTGCGAGTGACAGAAATTAGCCAGTGGATCATATAAGGACATGGATTCATCACAGCTGCATGCAGTCTTATTTCGTAGCCTAATTTTGCATAAAGAACACAAAATATTCCGGTGATAAGTCCAAGCCTTCTAATTAAAACGTTTTCGAAGCAAAGTTCAAAGGGATAAAAATGTTCGGGAAGAAAAGAATGAAGGTCCTTTCAATTTCCCAGTTGGCTATGGCGGCCATCTTCCTCACGATTGGTATGGTGGATCGATATAAAGTAGGGTACCGCACGAGCCTAACGTATATGCCATGTTGGATATCTAGCTTGGTAAGAAAACTTTTACCTTTTGGAATTAAATTTTGGGAAATATGTAATTTGATCATTGAGGTTTTTAGAGGATTAAGGCCAAACTAACCAAATCGAAAGCTCCAGGTCTGTGCATATTTCGGGGATGTTGTGTTGTGTTCTTGAAATATAGAATTTATATACTTTGACAGTGAGCCTATTACACAGAAAGGTGGAAAGCAGGAAATTTCGAGCGTAACTGCGATGAATTAGCATTTTTTAAAGTTGGAATAGGACTTTTGTCGCTTTGTATTACCCCAGGCGGTGTGCGCACTCTGATTACGTTGCATCATGGTCGTAAAATGAAAAATAAGTCATTTGCATCCTGTCGTGGTCGAGTGAACATCTCTGGTAGCAGCAAGATAGCACGAATAAACGTGGAATTTAATGGAAGTTCACTGTCTGTTGCCGTTCCTTCGAAAGTTAAAAAGTGTATGCGGGCCTGTGCCACTCCTGTTATTCTTCCGTGACAAATTCGTTGTTAGGAGGCAATTGAAGAGGTTCAGAAAGAATCGAAACTGCAGTCTTGCCTGAGAATCTGTTAATTTGGCAGCAGTTTCACACACAGCCGATGGCCGATGTTTTCTTCAAAAACATTCAATGATCTAACGGAAAGTATTATTCACTCTCATCGACGATTCATTCATGTATGAAGATTTACCTCTGTTCACTAAGTGAACGGCGAGGAAAGTAATTGTGAGTAAATTCAAATTTTTAATTTTGAAGTTGTGAGAGTTTGCTCGTTTGTTTGCTGCAATGGCGTGTGTAAATCTGGTCTTTCCTCCACAAAAACTGAATTCGAATGGCACACTCCAATGAGACACAAGGGGATTTAATGCGGCCTTTTTTCAATAAATTCCTTCAGTTTCTGTAGTATAATTTACGGTACAAATGTCTAAATTGAACGGACTTGGAAAGACTCACCCAGAGCGTATATTTGTTGTAAAACTGAATTTAAAACTTTGCTCGCTCTTTCACTTCGAACAAATTGTTTGGGAAAATTCAGATATTAAATGAATGAAGTTCCTTCGTTCAATTTAACTACAACCAAATACCTCACGTTTTAACTTTCTAGGTACTTTTTGTGAACGATTAAAATTAATTGCAGGCGGTTTTTAGGCCGCTAGTCAACCAACGTAATGACACTACTGCTTAAACAAATTTTTTCTGAAACCAATATTTTTCTGTCAACCACAGTGATCTGAGAGAGAGAGAGAAGAGAGGATTCATAAGTTATTTATCGGCTTGAGGTAGTGACCGACGTGTTTGCTTAAAAATACTGCCCAGCCGGGAAAACGAGATATATTTATGAAAAATAGCAACGAAATTTGAGATGTACTCGGCGACTCACGAAAGCGTTACCGTGGCCCGTGGGCAGAGATAGGAAAATACTGACCGTGTTGAGAACCAATCAGATTGCATGATTTGTTACCGTGCCCTCTGAAAATATTTAAATCTTTTGTAACACAATCTCATCCGGCTTTGCCAAACCTCAAGAACATATAGATGGGGAAATGACACGTTAAAACTAACCCTTAATATCACATCGCAAACGGAAGTCATTAAAGGATATCCTAATGACAGCTAAGCTTTCAGGTTAGAAGATTTAAAAGCGCAAGCGAATGGCAGGAGTCGCTCAAGCAATTAACACCTTTTAACAATCGACTACCTTTTGCTTTCCGGCTTACCTGGTGTGTTGCCGTGCGCATTGTAGAGTTTTTCATTGGTCAAGTGATTCTGTTCATAGCTCAAATTCAAGTGTCCTTTATTCAATGATCAATATATAGATTTACCATACAACATTCGTGATAAGTTAATTTCCTTTTACTTAGGAAAGTAGATTTACAACAAAATTGAGTGTATAATAGTAACGCTGTGTAAAGCAACAATAAGCCTTTTCTGGGCTATAATCGGTCTCAAACACCCGCACTTAAAATGCGAGAAACACATGTATCGTTTGAGAGCGTTTGGTCAAAGCTGTTAAAGAAGGATCAAAGCCGCCATCCAAATCTTTGAAAGGCTCCAAACTACGACATACATCAAATTTGACCTTCTTGAAATCCGGTCTCAAATCACATACAAAAAAACAGTGATCGCGTTTGTCCTTGAGAACCATAGAATACGCGACAAATACGAATAAAAAAATACTTTTACACGCTCATAATAAATCAAATTACATTCACCTACGGTGAAAGAAAAAAGGAACGGCCTAACTTTTACGGAATTTCCAGTCAACATCTGCCGAATTCTGCTGCTTTCACCGCCATATTGAAAATGAAGCTACCACAATGCAACGCAAACGGAGTGCGCACACCGCCTGGGTGCGAGTCAGCCGCGTTTGCAGATTGATTATTTTATCTATTATCGGATATCTCCTGTAGAGCTAATGTTTGCAACACTTTATTCTTATAAGATGCATAAATTTATAAATCGATCAGAAATTGTTCGAGAGGAAGTTGTGAAAGTGGTGACTTAATGTTTAAAAAATAGCGATTACCAGGAAGCTTTATTTTTTTCATCATGATCATGTAAGGCAACACTTGCTCGTTTGGTCCGCATTTTAGCAGTTCATATAAACATTTTAGAACAAGTTACTGGTTTCTAACTGCCAGTATGAGTCATCCTAAAAAGTTCTTAACATGACCTAACTCAAAGACAAGCTGCTGATTGTCACCACTTTTCAAAAATTGTGATTAATGGTTACGAAATTGAATGCAAATAACTTACGCCGTTTTTTTGTGTGGAAAAAAAAGGAGGTGAAACTGTATTTCAAATCCGAAAAGAAAACTTAGCAATCATCACGCCGTTAGTTACCTGTTTAATTTTTATCGAGTCAAAAGTATAATCGACAGATGCGCTGTCTTCTATTGACTTCCTTTTTTATAATATCAAAGTACACAGTACACATTATCTGATTGGTCAATTCCCTTCGAGGGGCATGCTATGTCAGGATATGAGATCCCGCAAAGATGACTGGGTCAATAATTATCGACAAATAAATACATATTAAGAAATATACTTTTGATGAAAAAAAGAAAACAATTTTTTATTACCTTGAATATCCACTGTTAAAGGCTTTGAAAAAAATTATTTCTTCTTCTTCGACCATTGTTAAAATCGAAAACATGCAATTGAAACGGAACTGGTCGCGCCTTTGAAGTTTTAAATTGTTTCTTGCGTTGAAAGTGAAGGACTTTCTTCCAAACCACTGGTGAAGAAACCAAAAATTTGACTTTTCTTTGCCTCAAGGAACTTGTAACGATGAATCGAATCTGCATTTCCTTCAAACTTTACATGGGAACGAAAACCACAAAGTGATTGTGGTCAACATCGCTTTATAATTTCAGAAATTCGTAGTTCGTGACAATTCCTTCTTCTTTCCGCGATTTAAGTGTGATTTGAAAAGTTCTTCTTGCCAAAACATTTAAACATTTTTTTGCGCTGTTGTGGTTGATTTCGATGACGCCTCATTGAAACAGCTCCAATTCAAGCTGCTTTGAACGAAACTAGTGAGGTAAAAGGGAAATAGTAATTTAATACGGCTCGGTTTGCGGCTCATAATTTGGCTGATTATCATCCATATTTGCAAGTTTTATCGCTACTGATCATTATCAGTACTAATATTTTTAATTAAATACTATCACTGTTATCATCATTATCATATTACGGTTATTTCGATCATTATAATTGTTTGGAGGTTATCATATGGTTCAATGGTAGTATTTTCTAGTTAACATAATGAAAATTTAAAAGCTATTGAAAAAACCTTTTCAAAATCTCTTTGTTTTCCTAAGGTTCTCGCCACTGGCATCATGGGACTTGCTGTAATCCACGTTCCAATCCCATCGTCCATTCTGGTAAGACACTACCAAAACAAGGATTCACGTGACCGTATTTTAAATTCCTTATACGACGTACAAACGTTCCTATTTTTGATTAAAGAAGGCCTTAAAAACAAAAACAAAAACAAAACAAACAGCGAAAAGAAAAAAAAAAACTATGCTGAGGGAGACGACTTGGAGGACAACTTGTAAATTTTAGGATAAAAATACACGATAATTAAAATCTTTAAAAAAATTCAAGTGACGGCCTGTAATTAAACTGATCAATGAATCCTCTCATTAAGGTCCCAAGGCTCCTCGCCCGTTAGAATATACTTAAAGCTTATTTAATCTCTAACACCAACCCTTTTTAACTCAGATGGATGCCCTGTGGTCAGTAAGCGTGGCTTCCATTTTACTATCTACGATAGCAGTTTACAGCTATCATTGGGATCCTCTTATTCCCAGCCCATTAGAATCTTCTTAAAGCTGCTTATTTAATCTCTAATACTACCTTTTTGTGACACAGATCGATGCACTGTGGTCAGTAAGCGTGGCTTGCATCGTACTATCTGCGATGGCAGTTTATAGCTATCATCGGGATCTGATCCGTGTCCTGATTCCCACCTACCCAAGGGACAATTATGGTTTCGTGAAAGAGGGAACAGCTACCTTCCTGAATGATGAGGAGAAGCTGATGGTTGCCGTATCTTCTCTCCTCGTGGTGTTTTTCATCTTGGAGATCATGCTCGCTGCCACACTTGTTAGAAGCACAACTCTTGCAAGCCACCAGCCCCTATCAGAGCACGAGGTAGGCATTACAAGGGAATTTTAGGACCCCAAACTATTCTAAATTATTTTGAAAATCAATGTAAAAAACTTGTTCCGAAAAAGAGAAATCCCAAACATTTTATGGCGGGCGCTGCGGGTTGGCGAAATAAAGCAAACCCTGAGTTCTGATTGGCTAACGTATCCCGGAAAAAAAGAGTTTGTACGTCCAGTTACTTCAAGGAAGCAGTCCGAAAAACGAGTCTGGTGACGAGTTACATGAGTTTACTTATATTTTCTTCTCACATTTGCAAACATGATAAATCCAATACGATCAACGTACCGTAATTATCCAATAAGGATAAGTACGTGTAAGCTATGGAGTCGCAAGACATGAAGGATTTAGTCCCTTTTTACTTCCTATTTATGAGCTACATGTAGAGCGATTTCGTAAAAAGGTAAATATTTATTCAAAACCTCTCTTGTACGTTGGAAATTGTTACAGAACCCAAGACTCGGTCAAAGACTGACGGTGCGTATAGAGACTGTCACCTTAAGATTTGTCATCAAATACCCAATTTATATCGCAAGAAACAACAAATTCATTCCTAAAAGGTAAATATTCCGCGACCTCCCAATCCAATTATGATTAAAATTCTCCTATTTTTTATATTGTCACTGATCTTTTTCAGCTGCATTGTATTCACCCACCAAGAGGAAGATCAAATACTATTCAGTCTGAGTGTGAGTGTTAGTCATCGCACCCGTTTGTGTCTGTAACATGACACTAGAATGAAAGAAAACCTTTGTCGACATACACCTTTTGACAAATAATAGCAAACTTTAATTACAAAAATGACAATAGTAAAGATAGTATGGAATAATGCAAAAATTGAGTGTGCCTGCCGTTAATAAATAAAGCTTTAATTATCACTTGTTCAGACGACTTTTAAATTTAAGCAATTACATCATTAATAAATATTACATTCTTACATATTTTGCTGATTTAATCACATATAAGTATATAAATATTTCCTTAAAACCCCTAAAAAAACTAACATATGGATTCTCATATTCCGCTTAATCCTCTCTGTATCTTTGTATTTTGGTTTTCTTGTTCCCTTTTCGAATGCAGCTTTCTGATTGGATTCATTATTGCCGCCCTTCGAGCCTATGAAGCACAAAAAAACCACCCGGTACGCAGGATACCAATACGTGGGGAGAGTCGTAATAAAATTAAAATGTTTCGTCAAAATAAACAACGTAATTACCCTCGATACCTTGAGGAACCATTGCTTTTTCTCAAATAAGAGGGCACCCAGCATTAACACTTATAAGGAAACTGAAATCCACGCGCTCCGAACGTATACGGGTATCTAAAGGCTAGTAATTTATCCGGTGAGTTGGGAAGTGCGATATTCACATCCTGGAAATAGAACCTTTTGAAAGGTACCACCCACGACATGGGAGAAGTTTCCAACGTATGATGGTATTTCAGAATGAGATTGTCCTTTGATGAAGGAGGGTAATATTTGCGTAGCATTGTTTCAGTTTTGCCAGAAATGTAATTTGAGACGTTCACTGGTTGCCATCTCATAAAATCCACAGTCACATCCCCTAATGCAACAACCAAACCATTGGCTTGCATTCCAAGCTCACGCAGTTTACGGAAAGCTTCCGGCTTCTCAGTTTCCAAAATATAAGAAATGTCGGCATCGTGATCATATGACAAGATGTCTCCCATGCGATAGGCGCCAAGCAGGGTTCCTGAATACAAAAGAATCGAACTTTATAAGTGAAGTAAATAAGAGAAAGAGATTCGATTAATTAATGAAAAAATAATTGAGTCAAGAACCAAAAAAAAAAAAACAACAACAACAACAAGAGATCGACGAATAGACAGAATGACCTTGCAAATATGAACCCTTTAACTCTGATAAGTGACCGTGACAGAACTTCTCCTTACAACATCAGTACAAAACCAAGGAGACAGGTAGTGAGTATATAGAAAAATATCAGTTTGGGGATTATTAGTTGATCCAATCCCAAATTCTCCCAACTAACATGATAAGAATTGTATGGCAGACGGTAAGAGGAATTACGGATGGCATCTTGGGAGTCGAAGAATAAGAATACACGGCACTAATAAAACAATAGAGTTTATGTTTCGGATTGAGATATGTTTTGGGCCCGACTCAGAGTCATTTTAGCCCGAGTCGTAAGGCGAGGATTTAGTTGACTCTTAGAGGGACCCAAAAATTAAATTTAGCTCAAGAACATTAACTATATTACCATTATTATCACATTAGAGGGCGTTGAAAAAAATAAGAACTAAGAAAGAATGACAAAATAGTCTGACAACCACGCGAGCATGCGAGCGGGCCCAAGTACATTTTAGCACAAAAATATCAATTTTAGCCCGCAAAATGCGCCAAGTGATAACAAAATCTAGTTTGAAAAAAAAAACATATATATTTCGTTTCGATAGAAATAAAGCCATGAGACGTTTTCTAGGTGTCTCAATACGAGTCCGTAGATTCTTAACACAATTCTTTGAAACGATGGGTTCTTTTAAAATTTGGCATTGTTTTCTTTGCGCGCGGCGACGTTACAATTATAATTAAACTTGGAAATGAATGCCAAACTCACCATAATCGAGCCAATACTTAACACCGTACTTGTCAAACACCCGTGAAATGTTCTTCACCATCATCCTTAACGTTTGACGTCTCTTCAGTGGCAAGTAACATTCCTCGTTATATCCCCCGCTCACTGATGGTAAAATTACCAGATGGAGGCTTATCAGGACAAGTAATACTATAACTGATGATATTATCAGCAGCCTGTTCGCCAGCATTCTTCTTCTTCTTCTTCTTGACGAAAAATCACAGCGAAACATTGTAAACAACTTAGCCTCCTCAAAATCAGTAAAAGCCGTCTTTCAGCGGAGGATGTCATGCAAATCTAAAGAGAGCATGGATAGGTGTGTGAGCAGTCCATGCAAATGAACTGGAAGACAATTGTTTGGTTACAAATCAAAACGTGGAATAGAAACAAAAAAGATACAAAATGAAATTGAAATCAAGTTTCGATGACTCTAATTTAGAGTCATGCTCTGATATCACTGAACCTATCATTGTATTGATTACATGTCGAAAACAACGTGCACTTTCCAAAATTAATATGAACTAAAAAGTTACCCCATAGAAAGTAAAATTTTGCCGCGTTGAATTATCTTGAGCTTCCAAATAAAAACAGCGAAGAGAATTTAATTGCTCTTCACATGGATCGTGACATTTCTCAGTGTGTAATTAAGAGTAAGAAATATTCATGAAGAAACAAATATTTGTTAAGCTCCTATTTAACAATCATGTTATACAAAAGAAACAAGACAACTCTTTTGCAGTCCAACCTGTATTAAGCAGCACCATGTTAAGCTATCACTATCACTATCACTAAGCTATGGTTTTGAAAGGACGAAATTGTTACCCCTTGGTGACTGTAATTTTCACCTCTATTAAGCGGTCGCAGTCACCCGTTACAAAGTCCCAAAGGTCTTTTTGTATCGTTCTCCACCTGTATTGCGCGGTCGCTTAAATCGGAACCAATTAACTAAGACTTAAATAATCTTTCATGTAAGACTTAATTCATTTTTATCTCCCGAAATCATGTTAGTGGTATTTTGGAGCTACTATCAACTAGTTCCCTTTAACTCAGATGATAGGTTAGGATTCGACCGCAAAATTTTTTACTCTAGTCCACGGTCAAGAATGCAGTTAACATCCCTCTTTGATAAACACTTTTTTCATTCAATTGTAGAAGGCTGTCGATGTGTTCGAGAAATTCATCCGTCGGGGTAAATTCATCGTAAGTTCTCGTGCAGGTGAAGAATTTACAATTCAAAGGGATTCGGTCTTTAAGATTGCAACAGTCTTCGAGAACTTCGCCTTAAATTACGGCAAGCGTGAGTGAGTGAGAAAACAAAGGTTCCTACAGATTAATTATCGACTGACTAATTGATTTGATGGCCTATTACTGTCTTAGATTAAGTACGTTCAAGTGACTTCTACCTCAGCGATAGAGATAAATTGCAGGACTCCATCAAAATTCCTTCCACAAATTTTGTGGAGAATGGTTTGTACAGCTTTTCCAACGCTAAAAAATGTCATAAATTTTTGCTTTCTTCACGAACTCTGAAAGTAATGAATGTCAAAATATTCTTTATGTAAAGTTACTCGAATAATTATGTGTCTGTGGAATATTTCGCGATTTACACCATTATTATCATAATCAATATCATCATTATCATTATTTTCGTTATCTCAGTTATTATCATCATTACTTTGGCCTTGTATTTTTTCTTATTAGCATCCATCGCAGTCGGGTTTTTCTACAAGGATCTCCATGAGTTGCTAAACAGAACCCACCTCAGAGGGAACAAAAATAGCCAAACAAGGTGAATTTACTGTTTCTAGTTTATTATGGATATATACATTCTTCTTTTACGCAAATTCACATCAATAGATTATGTTTAGAACGCGAGACGAAGGAGTGTCAAGAGAAATAAATAGCACGGCGCATAATTTGTTTTGTCTCTATCCATTTGAACTAAACCGTGGATAGTTAAATATTTCCGTGATTCCCTTTAACAATTCTGTCAGCAAAACAGCATTTTTTTTTAACAGATAACAGTGGCAATTGTACAGCTTCATACTGGGAAATTTAAACACCCGAATTCGTTTAGTTTTTTCAATTTTCCCAATCTTTTTAAACCTATCTTCATAATACAAAACATGTTCATCGGTTTAAAATCAACTTGTACCAATAATGGAGTTTTCCTTTAAAAAAACTGTAATAAGAATTGGGAAAAGAATTGGCTTCCCAAATAATTCCATCTAGTCCGCCTAAAGGTGGACATTCCGACAAAGCCACCCGACGGTGGTCATTATGATGATTGCATTGACGGGTGTTAATCAGAACGGCGACCACTACTACCATACCTTTTTGATAGTATGATTTGTGAATACACTGTAGATATGTGGGCACCAGGATAATGGCCGCAGCCATGATCCCAAACCGGACAAATTGCAAGATAATATCATTTTAAAGTTCAGGAATCTGAAGGTAACAGCGAGAGAAAAAATTCTCATAATATCAGTCCTTCTTGTGTTTTCAACAAAGATAAAATGTATTTTCAGTACGATAGAGGGGAGAAAAGTTGCGTGTTTTGGAATGGCTTTAGTGCAAAAAGGTAACCTTAGTACCGATTGATAACTTTGCTTTCGGAAATTTACACCTAATTCAAAAATTAATTAGAAACAGAAAAATTTGAAAGGAGATCGTGTAGTGTCATCCTTCAGGTGAGGGAAGCTCATAAGGGGAGGTAGTGACAATGAAGACAATGGGGCTTGGAAATTAATCGATTTATAAATGAACCTCCATTTTGAAAAGGATTTCGCTGGTGACTCGATGAATTTACCCCATCTAACGGCACCAGAGTCTTATCCACTTCACCCTTACAAAGAAAGGCAGCGTTAAATTATTCTTGAAAACCAGAGTAATTCGACGTTCGGGTTTATTGTAATGGTAATACAAAGTAGTTTCTGATCTCAAGTTGCCGTTTTGCAGAATTATGTCGCCCAAAAAAGCATGTGTAGGTTCCGTTTTGTGCTATTTTGTTTGTCATCAGAATTAATTGAAATAAATCATGGTTTGGCCTTCAGATTGTGTAGAGTAAACTAATGACCCTCGGGGGCGAGCTATAATTACAGAAATTGCTGGTAAGAAGTCTCCAAAATTTAGCTTCGAATACTAATTAGACGGCATCACCACTTGAGCTACTGAGCCACATGTCGCGAGTAGGGGAAGGAATAAATTATGTGATAAAGTTTGCTTTGTTTGACCTATTCATTTCATCATCAAGCCCACAAGGGTTTTCAGAGGAAGGATGCCATGTAGTTACATCGAAAAGCAACTCAGAGGAAACATTTTGCAGCTGCAGGCATTTATCTCATTTTACTGTCTTAGTCGACTACAGCGGCAGCCCATTGGTGATTGTTATTGTTATTGCCTTTTCTATCTTTCTTCCAACGTTAGCGATAAGTCCATTGGTTTAATTAACAGATAACTACTTTCTATAGCTCACCAAGATGGACGACTTTGTTTTGGAGATCATCACTTACGTAGGATTGAGCCTTTCCATCATTGGAAATCTTATGACAATAGTTGCGTATTCCCTCTTCACGTAAGTAAGGGATGCATGATGAGATGCGTCCATTACGAACAATTCGTCTTAAAGATGTTGGACATTGAAAAAAAAAAAAAAAAATTATTAGAAAAATTACACCCAGCCTTTAAAGCGAATGCGATTCAAGTGTTCCATAGTTAGGCTGTTTTGTCCTATTTGCTCGTAACCTACGAAATTTTACAAGTGAATGCTTTAATGATGATGGGAATTTATCAACTTAATGGTATTTACCGTATGGTGACAAGAACAAAATGAATAAAGAATATTTTTCATTTCACAGGCTCTCTGTGTGACAGCAGCAGCTCTTACGCAGTATTTCCTGATGGCAGCGGTCTGTTGGATATTGGTCGAAGGAATTTACCACTACTTACTTGTTGTTACAGTTTATAACATGAGCGATAAGATGACAGTATATCATGTGATTTCATGGGGTATTCTCGATTGATTATCACATGTTTTTACTGACTTTTTACATCTCGAATATTCTTACTTGCGCATGATTCACTGAGTTCCTCTGACTTTTTTCTTCCTTTCATATACAGGTTTCCCTATTATCATTATCGGCATCTCGCTCAGCATTGCTGCTATTAAAGAAGGAATACAGAGCTTTACCAGTGATAAAAAGTGGGAAATATATTTTACTCTCTTAGAATTATTCTTTTGACTCTCTTTTCTTTTGTCATTTATTTATTTTCTTATTCATATTTTTCCTCTTGTATACGACTGTTTCTCAGCTCTTTCCATCAGTTTCTTTTTCTCCTAACCATTTTCCCCTCTTGGCTTTCATCTCGTAGTTTTTTCGTGGTTGGATTGTTTGTTTTTGCTTCGGTATGATTTGCTTGTTTTATTTTGCTTTGTCTGTATCGTAATTCCTTATTATATCCAACTTTTTTATCATAATCACCATCTAAAAATTCCAATAACATTAACGATGTTTTGATGATTTCAAGCGACTTTCAATTTGCTGTAAATTTAACCTTTTTTGCAAGTTGTTGGTTGTCATCGACTACTATCTTGATCTGGATATTTGTCATATTCGTGGTGATAATTGAAGTTGTAAGTTTATGATCCTTTACTGCAGTAATCTTTTTAAGTCAGATTTTTGGACTTTTGGATTTTTTGGACCGTTGATTATCCATATTTCGACATATACTTTTCATCTCCTTTCTCTTGTAAGGTCAACATTTTGATCCTTAGACGACTTACAAGGGCGATGACCTTCTTCCAACCGGCAGGAGCCGGGCACGTTCTGCAGTTACGGTACGATAGAACATTAAAATAATAAAAGAGTGGAAACAATTTCTGAGGATTTTTCATGTGATGTAAGAAAATTACGATACAATCTTAAAAGTTACTCCGAGTCAATTAAATTTTTTTTTTCCTATCATGTTCCAGGCTTGGTATCAGAACATGTGTGGTGATAATTCCTCTGCTGGGCAGCACTTGGTTGTTTGGTCTTCTGTTACCACTACACAAAGCCTTTGCTTATTTGTTCATCTTCCTTAACTCTACTCAGGTTTGTTGCTAATCGCTTCTTTATCGAAACAAAAAATTATACATCAGAAAATGTAGAGACTGAGGAGAACATCTAACCGAACAGACAATGACTTATTAAAAAATAAGCTACTGGACAATCAACCAATTAATGAAATGATCAGTCAGCTCGTCAATTGATCAGTCAATAAATCATTTCATCAGTCAATTGATCGAGTTATCAGTCAGTCTGTCATGAGTCGGTTGATCGTTCAGCCATTTCGCTTTCCCGCTATTCAGTCATTCTGAGAGAGTCTCAATAAGGTTAACCATTAGCAGTAAAATGGCCAAAAAAAAAAAAAAGTTAGTACTTTTAACCATTAGCCGTAAAAAAATGACCCGTAAAATTTTTCTTTTAATCGCAACGGAAGGAAATGTTAACCGTTAGCCGTAAAAGCTATCACCCCACCGACACCCTCTCCTGTAAGTCATTCAATCGATCTATCCGTAAACACGAATTTAATTTTTGCTTTCCAAACTCTGTTACCCCCTATATATGCAAAGTATTTCCTCTCCAAAGTTTGCAGCAGCCTTATACTATAAAGATCACTTAGATAGTTTCTGTTTCTTTTGCACAAGAACACCCTAATCACGAATCCTGGTGCTTTTATTTTAGGGTGTCCTAATTTTTTCACAGCATTGTGTACGAAACAGTCGGGTAAGCTCGATGTTAAAAGGAACGTGGCTTGTGCGTGATGGAAAGTACGAAGTGTTTTCACTAAAATAGGGACGTGCTTGTATGCTTGCAGATCAGAGAGCGAATGACACAAAGGATGAACGCTGTTTCCCCATTTCCAAACAGAAGAAACCCAGCCGAGAGGAATACACAGGTCTATCCGAGTGTTGAAGGCGCAGTGTGTGCGATTGAATTGCAATCTTGCGGCGAAGTTGAGCACAAATAACACTATTAATAATTCCGGAAATGGTCCGACCGTCTGGGAGTAACAGTTGATCGTGAGGTGTGATTGTCTAAGCTATTGTAAATCGTCAGTTGCGATTTTAGATATTCTAGCCTCAGATAATCAAGCTTTAAGATCTAAAAACAATCCCTATTTGAAAGAATCCTGTACTTAAATCGCTCGTCCCCTAATCTAAATGTCCATTCCATTGACCATATCGACTGTCGAACCCAAGTTTTATAAGCTGCTAGCCTCAACTGGTTTTCCTTGCTACATCATTTAACTCTTTTTGTAGTTATTGACAAGCTTGTAGATAAATGCACAAAAGCAATTCTTCTGTGATAACTGGTTGATTATTTGTAAATTACTCATGATTAGTAATGTTTTGTGGCATATAAATACTGAAGTATCAATGTAGTTAACAAGTCACTTGTAAGGTGCCGAAAGCCATGGACATTTGTCGAGTAAGTTTGCGTCAACCGAGTAAACCAGCCTTCCAAAGTCTGTGGCTGAAAAAGGCCAGCAAACAAAGTCAAGGCCATTAGTTTGGTATTTGTTATTCTATATCACAATCAACAATTGGGTTCGGTCCCTTTCGTAAAAATGTAATTTACGCTCGACTTCCTCTTCCCTGTAGGTCTAGCGATCTCACACAGTGGCTTGATGTGTTCTTCTCAATTATGGCAGTAACCTTCCCTGCTGCGACTTTGAGTTCAAAATAGAAAGGGTACGACGGGTTTATCATTTTAAAACCAGGAAATGTTAGCGATTTCAATTTGTAGTTTTAAATAGAGAAGCTAGGAAACGAACTTAACGTCAAAACGCACGAGCAGAGCTGGCTTTTGTGCGCGCCTTCTGTGTTTCAGTTACCCTCTGGTTTTCTCCATTTTTTTTTATAGGGTCTCTATGGGGTGATGGCTTTTACAGCTAACGGTTAAAATTTTGGCCAATTTACGGCTAACAGTAACCTCTTTCCATTGTTGTCTTCAGAAATTTTTTTGATTAACTTTTCTTTACGACTTACGGTTAAATTTGCAAATTTTTACGCCTAAGAACCACGACTATCGGTCAATCCCATTGAGACCCTCTTAACCCTTTAACTTCCATGAGTGGCCAAGACAGAATTTACTAACAGTATCAATACATCATCAAAAAAACAAGTGAAGATAAAAGGCAATCATTAATGGACACAAAGAGGGAATTATAATTAGTACTGGAAATGGCAGTATACATCAAATTTGGAAATATTAGCCCGTTCCGTTGAAAAGGCAACCCAATAGGCGTTGGTTCAATATTGGGAAGCTGGAAACGTTCTTGCGAGTTCTTTCTTGAAGCGAAAGGAACTTAAAGGGATTCCCAGAGAGAAGCCCTGCTCCTGCACTGCGCTGAATAAGATGTCTGGGACATTCTCGACACCCTTATCGACCTGGGACCGATTCCAGAGAGAGATTATAAGTATTCAAAAGCCATAAAGTCGTTCAATGCACATTTTCCACATCAAGTCAACGTACCCGCCTAGAGACATCATTTCCGTCGCTTAAAACAGGAGGATTCAGAGACTGCAAATCAATACGAGCTCAGATTATCTTACATGTCAGAGATCTGTAGATTTGGAGAGGGCAAGGAAGAACAAATCCGTGATCAGCTAATTGACAAGTTCAGGTCGCACAATCTTCGTAGGAAATTGCTGCAGGCGACTGGAACCCTTAAGTTACACTTTAAAGAACGCAAGAGATGGCAAGGTCAAGCCTCCTGGGAACATCAGGCTTTGCTTTGGCAGGAGAAGAGCTAATCGGGCCATAAAAAGGAAGCGCCACCCCATACAGTAGATGATGCCCTCTATACCAACTCAACGGGAGTACAGTATTTAGCAAAGTGGACCTAACATGGAGCTCTTATCGAATTGAATCAAAATGACAGTCAAGAAACACAAGGGGCTGTTCAGGTATAAAAGCTTGATGTTCGGTATTAGTTCTGCATCAGAGCTATAAAAAGAGACTATCCACCTAGCATTAGCGGGATGTGCAGGCGCCTAAAATATTCACGATGACATCATAATTCACGTTCGTACGGTTCAAGAGTATGATATCGGGTTCAGAATAAACCTGTGAGTACATCCGGGAAAAGGGACTGACCATGAGCAAAGAAAAGTGTGCATTCAGCAAGTTAAAGCTGACTTTCATGGGTTATTTACTGTCTAACCAAGCCATCGGGCCAACAGAGTCACATGTAGAAGCAGTGATTGGCGTAAGAGAGGTACGAAGTTTTCTCGCGTTAGTGAACTTTAGAGAAAGGTTCACCCCACCTTTGCAAGCACTGCTGAGCCACTTCACAGGCTGACAAGGATGGACGCTCCTTTTGTTTGGGCGCAGAGTGATGCTCTCAAAAAAAGGCTAGAAAATGCAGAAAATCTAGCATATTTTAACAGCCATGCAGAACAAAGCAAGCTCATCACAGACGCTAGCCCTGTAGGGGAGGTGTGGCTGCAGTCAGAATTTATTATAAATCATTTTATTGTGACATTCCATTATATGATCAGCAGCATCTCTCACTAGGAGCGAAATTTGATAAATACACCCCTTTGGTATTTTTGTATGAGTGCACGTCTCAAAGATGCTTTAAGGGAAACCGTTCTCCCTCCATAAAATTAAGTCTCCTTCGTCGACAACAAAATTGCCATTATATCTTTGCACTCAAATCATCGTCTAATGCCTCATGCACCCTGAATCCGATCCCTACATGGCTTGTAAAGTCTTGTCTTGACGTCCTTGCGCCACCTATTACACACATGATCAATTTGTCTATTCGCCACGCCTACGTTCCCGATGATTGGAAAACCGCAATTGTGAAACCTCTGCTAAAGAAATCTGGCCTTGAGTTAACCTATAAAAATTTTCGTTCCGTAGGTAAACTACCATTTATCTCCAAGATCGTCGAAAAAGCAGTCCTTTTTTCAATTGTTTAAGCACTGTGAAGGCAATGCTCCTCTGCCGAATTTATAATCAGGATTCCGAAGATTTCATTCAGTTGAAACTGCCTTGCTTAAGGTTCAAAGTGATGTTCTTATGTCAATGGACCGTCAGGAAATTACGCTTCTTGCGCTACTGGATCTGAGCACTGCTTTTGATACAATCGATCATCAGATTCTCCTTAACGTGATTATTATCGGAATTATTGGCTCTGCCCATAAATGGTTTGCGTCTTGCCTATTATTTATCCAAAAACAACGTGTTCTCATTAACGATCGCACATCTGATGACTTTCACTTAAGCTGCGGTGTCCCACAAGGCAGCAGTATGGGACCTATTTTATTTATATTATACATATCTCGACTATATCATGTGGTAACTGACCATCTTCCCTCTGCTCATGGATATGCTGATGATACACAACTTTATCTGTCGTTTAGACCTAATGGCAGATCTTCGCAAGACCACGCCATAGCTTCTGTAGAGGCCTGCATCTCAGATGTCCGCGCATGGTTGATTTATAACCGCCTGTCAATCAACGATTCGAAAACTGAGTTCTTAGTGGTTGGTTCCTGCCATCAAGTATCGAAAATCGCAATTGATTCCATCACAGTCGGTGATTCTACCATCCAGCCTCTCGACAGTGTTCGAAACTTGGGTTCCTAGTTTGACTCCAATGTCTATGTCCATTCACATTGATAAGATCTGCAGGAAGGCTTTTCATGGCTTGCAAAAACTCGCCAAATTAGGAAATTCCTCAGTCCTCAGTCCTCGAAGACTCTTGTTCACGTATTTATGACTTCACATTTGGACTACTGTAACTCTCTTCTCTTTGGCGTCCCTAAGTACTAGACAGATCGTCTTCAGAAGGTGCTTAACGCCGCTGCTCGATTAATCTTTAGGATCCCAAAGTTTGATTACATTTCGTCCGCCTTATCTCATCTTCATTGGCTTCCTGTGACTTATCGCGTTATTTTAAGTTGTTACTCTTAGTTTATAAATCTCTTAACAATCAAGACCCACAATACATTCAAGAATATCTGCAGCCACACTCCATTTGTGGTCATCACCTACGTTTCTGTGACCAGGGCCTTCTTAAGATCCCAAGAACTAATTTTAAGACCTTTGGTGATCGCGCTTTTGCCCGTTCCAGGCCACTTCTGTGGAACAAACTGCCGCTTGAAATTCGAGACAGTCAGAGTGTAGCCATTTTTAAGTCCAATTTTTTAAGACACATCTGTTCAAGCTGGCTTACAATTTGTTTTAACATTATTAATATTTTTAACATTTTGATATTTTTTCATATTCTATCGTTTAATCGTTTTAATGTTTTTATGGAATATTTTGTAAAGCGCTTTAGAATATTTTTACAATTATTATTGTTATTGTAATTAGACGTAAATGGAATTTTTTAATATTCCAGCGGCTGATAGGGAATTTTTTGCAATGAGGAAGATTTGCTTTTGAAGAGGAGGGTGACAAATGCACGCAAAAAGACTACAAGAGAGACTTAAAATAAGATGATGCAATTAAAATGATCGTGAACCTGTGGAAATAGTTGTCAAGAACCCATGCAGTTTTTACGACTCAACATGCTTGTTAAGGTTAAGCACGGCACCTTATACCATACCGTCTTGAGTGAGTATTCCTTATAGCAACAAGAGCTAAATAGCAACTATTACAATGTTTATTTTTTTGATAGGGTACGCCTATTAAGATGACTTATCATTCCCTGAAAATTCACCTTTTCATGCGCAGGTTAAGTTCGTCAAAGAAAACCAGGAAAAAACTGGATCGCGTTGGGTCCACTCTGTGGCAGCCGGTCGATAGATTTTTAAAAAGAAAAAAATTTGCACCTAGAGTTATAATAATAGAATAAAACTATGACATGCAATTCAGAGTATAGGAAGAACATCTGTGTTACATTGGTTCGAGTTTCCGTAAGTATTCTCTGAGGAAGATATCCAAGACAGAAGAATAACGAAGGTTCTTTGTCTTTTAGAGAAGGGATGTGTTTTGGTTTCAGTGATAGAGTTTTCGTCAAAGGACTACGAGAGAGCCACAAAAACTTCCTGAGTGACTCAGGAAAAAATATTTGCATTTACCTTTGATCGTGTTTCCCACGCATGACGCGTGAGGCAAATGAAATATAACGTCAAAAACAACTGTGAATGCGACTGCTGAATTTTTATGATATCTTTGTTGAGTAAGTTACATAAAAAATTAGTCAGGTTGTTTAGACGTAATATAAGAAAAAATGCTGGAAGCTTTTCGCCATATGAACGCTTTTTAGAAATTTGGTTGGCACTGAATCGCTTCGCATAATTATCCATATGCGAGTGACAGAAATTAGCCAATGGGTCATATAAGTACATTTATTCATCACAGCTGCATGCAGTCTTACCTCGTAGCCTAATTTTGCATAAAGAACACAAACTATTATGATCGTAAGTCCAAGCCTTTCTAATTAAAACGTTTTCGAAGCAAAGTTCAAAGGGATAAAAATGTTCGGGAAGAAACGAATGAAGGTCCTTTCAATTTCCCAGTTGGCGATGGCGGCCATCTTCCTCACGATTGGTATGGTGGATCGATATAAAGTAGGATACAAAACCAGCCTAACGTATATGCCATGTTGGATATCTAGCTTGGTGAGAAAACTGATACCTATTGAAATTAAAATTTGAGAAATATGCAGTATGTTTATAGGAGGAATAGGACTTTTGCTGCTGTGTATTACCCCATAGAGTAAAGAGAGTCAGCCGGGTTTGCAGATTGACTATGTTATCGATTATCGGATATCTCCTGTAGAGCTAATGATTATAACAATTTTATTCTTACAAGATGCAAAACTTTATGATAAATAGATCAGAAATTATTTGAGAGGAAGTTATGAAAGTGGTGAATTAATGTTTAAAAATAGCGATTAACAGAACACTTTATTTTTTTCATCATGATCATGTAAGGCAAAACTCGTCTGCTCGTTTGGTCCGCATTTCAGCAGTTCATATAAAAATTTCAGAACAATTTACTGGTTTATAACCGCCAGCATGAGTCATGCTAAAACGTTCTCAACATAGCCTAACTCAAAGATAAGCTGCTCATTGCAACCAAAATTATCATTGATGGTTAGGAAATTTTTTGTTGTGGAAAAAAGGGAGGCGAAAATGTATTTCAAATCGAAAAAGAAAACTTAACAATCATCATGCCGTTAGTAACCTGTTTAAATTTTATCGAGTCAAAAGTATAATCGACAGATACGCTGTCTTCTATTTACTTCCTTTTTTATAATTTAAAAGTACATAGTACGCATTATCTGATTGGTCAACTCCCTTCAAGGGCCATGCTATGTCAGGCCATGAGATCCCGCGAAGATGACTGGGTCAATAATTATCGACAAATACATGCATATTGAGAAATATACTTAATATCCCCTGTTAAAAAATTATTTCTTTTTCTTCCACCATTGCTAAAATCTTAAACATGCATTTAAAACGGAACTGGTTGCGCCTGTGAAGGTCTTTTTTCTAAAGCGCTGGTGAAGAAACCAAAAATTTTACTTTTCTTTGCTTCAAGGAACTTGTAACGATGAATTGAATCTGCATTTCCTTCAAACTTTACAAAGGAACGAAAAACACAAAATGATTGTGATCAACATAGATTTATAATTTTAGAAACTCGCAGTTCGTGACAATTCCTTCTACTTTCCGCGATTTAAGTGTGTTTTTGAAAGTTCTTCTTGCCAAGTTTAAACATTTTTTTGCGCTCATTGCCTCATTGAAAGTTCTAATTGAAGCTGCGTTAGACGAAACTATTCAGGTAAAAAAGGAAATAGTAAATAAATACGGCTCGGGTTGCGGCGCACAGTTTGGCTGATTACCATCCATATTTGCAGGTTTTATTGCTACTGATCATTGTCAGTACTAATATTTTAAATTAAATATCATCACTGTTATCATCATTATCTTATTGCGGTTATTGTCATCATCATTATTATTTTCATAATTGTAGGCAGGTTATCATGTGGTTTAATGGTAGTATTTACTAGTTGACATGACGAAAATTTAAAATCTATCTAAAAAATTTTTTATTTTCCTAAGGTTCTCGCGACTGGCACCATGGGACTTGCTGTAATCCGCGCTCCAATCCCATCGTCCATTCTGGTAAGACACTACCAAAACAAGGATTCACGTGACCGTATTTTTTCAATTCCTTATGCGACGTACAAACGTTCCTATTTTTGATTAAAGGAGGTCTTAAAAAACAAACAAATAAACAAACAACGAAAATAAAATTGAGGGAGACGACTTGGAGCACAACTTGTAAATTATAGGATAAAAATACACGGTAATTAAAATCCTTAAAAAGTTGAAGAGACGGTCTGAAATTAAACTGAAGCTGCAATGAATCCTCGCATTAAGGTCCTAGGGCTCCTCGCCCGTTAGAATCTACTTAAAGCCTATTTAATCTCTAACACCAACCCTTTTTTACTCAAATGGGTACCCTGTGGTCAGTAAGCGAGGCTCGCATCGTACTATCTACGATGGCAGTTTACAGCTATCATTGGGATCCTTTCATTCCTAGTTCATTAGAATCTTCTTAAAGCTGATTATTTAATCTCTAATACTACCTATTGGTGACACAGATCGATGCGCTGTGGTCAGTAAGCGTGGCTTGCATCGTACTATCTGCGATAGCAGTTTACAGCTATCATCGGGGTCTGATCCATTGCCTGATTAACACCTACCGATGGGAAAATTATGATTTCGTGGTAGAGGGGACAACTACCTTCCTGACTGATAAGGAGAAGCTGATGGTTGCCATATCATCTCTCCTCGTGGCGTTTTTCATCTTGGAGATCATGCTCGCTGCTACACTTGTTAGAAGCACAACCCTTGCAAGCCTCCAGCCCCCATCAGAGCACGAGGTAAGCATTACAAGGAGTTTTTTGGGACCGCAAACTATTCTAAATTATTTTGAAAATCATTGTGAAAAACTTCTTTCAAAAAAGAAAAATCCCAAACGTTTTAAGGCGGGTGCTGCGAGTGTCGAAATAAAGCAAACCCTGAGTTCTGATTGGCTAACGTATCCCGGAAAAAAAAATTTGTACATCCGGTTACTTCAAGGAAGCAGTCCGAAAAACGAATCTGGTGACGAGTTACATGAGTTTACTTGTATTTTTCTTCTCACATTTGCAAACATGATAAATCCAATATGATCAACCGTAATTATCCAATAAGGATAGGTACGTGTAAGCTATGGAGACGCAAGATATGAAGGATTTAGACCCTTTTTACTCCCTGTTTATAAGCTACGCGTAGAGCGATTTCGTAAAAAAGGTAAATATTTATTCAAAACCTCTCTTGCATGTTGGAAATTGTTACAGAACCCAAGACTCGGCCAATTTTGACACATACCCATTTAAGACTGACGGTGCGTATGGAGAGTGTCACCCTATGATTTAGCATCAAATTCCCAATTTATATCCCAAGAAACAACAAACTCATTCCTAAAAGGTAAATATTCCGCGACCTCCCAATCCAATTATGATCGAAATTCTCCTATTTTTATGTTGTGACTGATCTTTTTCAGCTGCATTGTATTCACCCACCAAGAGGAAGATCAAATACTATTCAGTCTGAGTGTGAGTCTTAGTCATCGCGCCCGTTTGTAACATGACACTAGAATGAAAGAAAACCTTTGTCAACATACATCTTTTGACAAATAATAGCAAACTTTAATTACAAAATTTACAATAGTAAAGATAGTATAAAACAATACAAAAATTGAGTGTGCCTGCTGTTAATAAAACTTTAATTATTATTTGCTCAGACGACTTTTAAATTTAAGCGATTACATCATTAATAAATATTACATTCTTAAATATTTTGCTGATTTAATCACATAAAAGTATATAAATATTTCCTTAAAACCTCTAAAAAATTAACATATGGATTCTCATATTCCACTTGATCCTCTCTGCATCTTCGTACTTTGGTTTTCTTCCTGCAACCCTGTGATTGGATTCATTATTGCCGCCCCTTGAGCCTGCGTTAGCAGCGGTTTTGTGTGCGCTATGATGCACAAAAAAGGCTACTAATACGTGGGGAGAGTCGTAGTGAAATTCAAATGTTTCGCCAAAATAAACAACGTAATTACCTTCCCAACGCTCAGGACAGTGCGCTCTAACCTTGTGGATAACTGCATTCCGGATAGTGCTTCACTTTTCTTGCGTATGCCAACGGATGCATTTACGCATTTAGGCGTTATTGCGTTGTCGTATTTATCAAGCGTATGAATAAAAGGTGTATGTTTCCTAAGAAACTGTGGTGTTGCGTCGGTGTGAGAGTATAACAGGGTAATTTGATATTATTAACTGAGTTGATGACGTAAATTAGTCACCGTAAAATGTTTAAAACCTGACGTTTCGAGCGTTAGCCCTTCGTTAGAGCGATGGACAATTTAACTAGCGTAGTAGCACAGTGCACATTTTCGGTTTTAATTCATTGGATACCTTTAGCAGCCATTGCTTTTTCTCAAATAACAGGGCACCCAGCATTTCCACTTATAAGGAAACGGTAATCCAAGCGTTCCGAACGTATACGGGTATCTAAAGGCTAGTAATTTATCCGGTGAGTTGGGAAGTGCGACGTTCACTTCCTGGAAATAGAACTTTTTGAATGGTACCACCCACGACATGGGAGAAGTTTCCAACGTATGATGGTATTTCAGAATGAGATTGTCCTTTGATGAAGGAGGATAATATTTGCGTAGCATTGTTTCAGTTTTTCCAGAAATGTAACTTGAGACGTTCACTGGTTGCCATCTCATAAAATCCACAGTCACATCCCCTAATACTGCAACCAAACCATTAGCTTGCATTCCAAGCTCACGCAGTTCACGGAAAGCTTCCGGCTTCTCGGTTTCCAAAATATAAGAAATGTCGGCATCGTGATCATATGGCAAGATGTCTCCTATGCGATAGGCGCCAAGCAGGGTTCCTGAATACAAAAGAATCGAAGTTTTATAAGTGAAGTAAATAAGAGAAAGAGATTCGATTAATTAATGAAAAAATGATTGAGTCAATAACCAAAAAAACAACAACAACAACAAGAGATCGACGAATAGACGGAATGACCTTGCAAATATGGACCCTTTAACTCTGATAAGTGACCGTGACAGAACTTCTCCTTACAACATCAGTACAAAACCAAGCAGACTGGTAGTGAGTATAAAAAAAATATATCAGTTTGGGGATTATTAGTTGATCCAATCACATATTCTCCCAACTAACATCACAAGAGTTGTATGGCAAACGGTAAGAGGAATTACGAATGACACATTGGGAGTCGAAGGGTTAAGAATACACGGCACCAATAAAACAAAAACGAGTTTATGTTCTCTGGTTAAGATATGTTTTGGGCCCGTCTCAGAGTCATTTTAGCCCGATTTGAGTAGTATAGGGGGTCTGTAGGACTGGCATGAAAGTGAGGCTCTAAGAAAAAAGTGGTCACGCAAGCTACCAATGTCACACGCCAGGAGAGGACAGCATGCGACAGGAAAAAATGTTTTCTTACACGCGTTTGTGTGGTAAGTAACTCATGGCGGCGGGAGATATTATCAGCATGCTTTTTTCTATAAATAAAATGGTATGAGTAGATGTCTATCATTTTACGATGGATCGTCTTCGATTTTGGCGGAAAGAGTTATCAATTCATCTATTATTCGTTTGACGGGAAAACACGTTATACGTCTGAAGTGCCTAACCATCGCTCAAAATGTCTGATGGGTTCTTCCAAGACGTTTCAATTCGGTCATTGTCGTTACACCGCTGAATCTGTCTTGTCAATGATGTGTTGTCCAAAATGTAAATATGCAGCTGTATCTGTTTACACACGAGTTTCGCTTTATTGAGATAGGAAAAAGATACGTTCGTGTGGGCATGATTTTGAAGAGGTCATGCATGCGTATGACAATTGGAAGAGGAAGAGGAAAAATGTGACAGATTTGATCGGTCAAATAGAAGCGTTGATGCTGGTCAAATATTCGCCTCGATGGTATAATATTGTGGAAAGAAACAGGAGACACACATTGGACAACTAGTTGTGTATGTGTCAAGACATGGCGGGACCTTCTTGTATGAAAAAAATTCGTCGCTTGAAAGAAAGATCCGTTTGCAAGCTTCGGAGCATGCTCAAGACATTGAAAAATACTAAGCTAAGATTGACGAGATAAAGTTACGCGAGAGACATCGAGAACTTGTATTTTATGCGGCTTTAAATCATATTCACGAGCCGTTAGGGATGAGAAATGGATGGGTCTGTGGCGATACTTGGGATAAAGAAATCGCAGCTGGTTTGGATTCTACATGATAAAGTAGCTTTGCTGAAAGCAGGATGTCAGAAATTTGTCCAAGAATTCAAGGACATTTCCCAGTTTGACCCTGACGAAAAATGTATTACGATTGCCTCAGCTTGTAACCGGTATTGGCGAAAATGTCATCTCTCACCTGAGACCGTAGCCGTAGAACCTCCTCGTGGTTGGAAAGGCGCCAGAGTCAACCGATCAAGAGTAGCCTTAGAATGGTTATTGTGGTGTGAACATCAGTTGCCCTCATCGTCTTGTGATATACCTCGTATTCAGCACGTACGTAATGGTGGAGAACAACGGGTTTCAGAAAACACACCTGACATCCTGCTTTCAGTAAAGCTACATCCGACTTGCAGTAAGCAATCAATTCTTCTTTCAAAGTAAAGTTCACTTCTTCTTGAAGTTGGGTGGCGTACCAGGTTTCAAATTCTTGTCTTTTCTTGGCTGACATGCCTTCTGGATCATAGTACGCTATGTCTAGGATAGGTCCTACATACTCTTGATGGTCTTACATATTGAAAAGATGAGGAAAGAACCCCTTTTTTTCCATTCAGAAATACCAAAGGTGGTAGAAAAAGAAGAGAGCCACAGGTAAGAAACAAAGCTAACCTTTAAAAAAAATAGGCCCCACACAAAACGAAAGGGCTTTAGTACCGGTTTTCACCATGTCTTCCATACGTCTTCCTTCTTTTTGCAGTTGATGTTGTAAAAACACTGAACCGTACCCTTTCAGGTCATGAAAGATACATATGACATCTCGATCTTCACCATACTCATTCACCGTCAATTCGGTGAGAAAGGCTAAGAAATCTGCCGTACAATCTGACCAATAGAAAGAACGAATAGTATCGGAGAGAGTCGTGGCAGCACACACGAGAATAGGTAGATGTATTGACAGATGTTATCTTACATGTCAACCCCAATAGACATCTGTCACATCATAGGGATGGGGAAAGGGGAGGGGGGTATGGGTATGTAATTCCTGACGTCACTCTATATTATAAAATGAAGTAAGACTGCGAACTCGTCCTCATTGATTATCATAGTATTACTAAGTGAACAAGAAGACAAGAGAGAGCAATACTGTCACGCTGTCACGCTATAGAGTAAGTATGTATTTGATCTGTGTCTGTCTGTGACCTTGATAACAATTTGTCTTTTTTTAAAGATGCCTCCTGTACGACGATCAAGACGTTTAGCTCAACAAGAGGTGGAAGTGGATGATACGCCCTACGCCTGTTTTTTATGCCTCGTCATGATCGATGTGACGATACGTGGTGCAAAACCGACTCTATGTTGTAGTCGACGAATTCACCGTACCTGTCGTCAACATCATGTGAACTCGCACGATTGTTATGGAAATTGTCGAACCCCTTTTGCTGCTACCGATCCTGTCCGTGTACCTGATAGAGAACAACAGCGTCAACAAGCCCTTAGAGATTTGGAAGCCTTGTTGGAACCAGGCGCTATTGAAGACCGAATTACTCAAGTAGGTGGATTAGGTGTGTTTCTTCTGATCTTTAAGTATCATTCGCTCAAGTGTCAGCTGGAATGAATGAATATCACCTCACTCTAAGAATGAAAATTTTTTATTTTTTGAGGATGAAGATATTGATGAAATGGTTTGGTGTCCTATTTGGAGTTGTGGGTGGCTGGTTTCTTAGTTGATTGAAGAACAGGTCGATTATTGTTGTGAACGTGTGACTCCATTAAATCTGCCTATTTACTTCTGACTCTGATCGTAATTTTTTTATTTTTAACTTTCAGTACATGCAAAATTTTCCCGATTCCATGCCATATATGATGCTACGTATTTATACTTTTGAACCTCACTTCAATTTACCTACAAAACGGTTTTCGCTAATAACTTTCATGAAACATATATTATTACAAAATGATGTTGAAGAAATGCATCTATTGTGTTATTATAGCATCTTTTGTAAATATAGTTTAGAGGCTATTTCATATTTATTTCTTCCACTTTCCATGTTTGATTTTTTTCGTTTCGAATTTTAGATGATTATAATGACTATCTAAGACTAAGACCCACTTTTTCTATTCATCTTTAGATGCCTGATCTCTTAGAAGCCACCTATTTTATACTAGAACATGATTTCATGTATAATTACATGCTACAATTAATCGATGATGTGCGAACCGCCATGACATATCGCAACATTTCACATGACGATCTCATTCTCGTTGAAATTTATAAACATTTTGAATTTGATGGATATTTTAATGCCTGGTTTGAACACAGTTAACCTGAGAATACACGATCATTATTTCGTAGCAGACAATTTCCGTTTGCTTCATTTTTAAGACACTTTTTTAATGCTTCTCTATTTTTTCCTTTCGTAAGATTCAAATTACAACATTCTGTTATTTCTAGTCGAGAAACACTTCGGTATACCAATAGCATTTATCATATTCGTCACTTTTTCTTACACGCAGCTTAATTTTTTTTTTATGAGATCAGATCCTACACGCCTGAAAATGATTTACGAGCTGTAAACTGGATGTGTTGTTATGTACTGAATCATCGATTTGTCAAGAATGCCATTCAAAGTCTCATCTACGCTAAAAAGTTACACTTACATCAAAATATTTTTATTATTAGTACATGTCAAATTTTGTGATCAGTTTCAAAACAATTTTTAGAAACCTGTGATACAAATCCTGAAACCGCCTTTCGTGATTTAGGTTTTGTTCATCTAGTATCACCTACCATCAATGAGTTTCTTGGATTATATTCACAATATCATCGAGGAATGCGATGTTATTCTCATGTAAACTTTTTTATGGAAGTACGGTTATTTGCACTCGATAGATATTATCTTCATCAATATAAATAATTTTTTCTTTTAGATCAGTAAAAAGATAAGAAGGAGAGGCATGAATCTAGCCTTTCAATTTAATAAGGTACAGTTTTATATCAAAGTGAATCGTGTCTATGCTTTAAACGAATTGTTTCACTGTTTTTTTCATGATGATGTAAGATTATCTTTAGGATATAACACGATATTAGAATTCATTTTACATGTAACTAATGTAGTAACCATTTGCACTTTGACTTTTTTAGATGAATATAAACCACTTTACCGCCCTGAGGAAATTGGAGATCTTTACGCATTTTTCCGTTTGATTGTAACTGAATTAAGAACAGAAGGATTCAATCTAGCTTTTCAATTTGAAAATATCGATTTTCTAAGAAATGTACTTCGTGTGTATGATTCGTATACATGGTTTCGTTGCTTTCATGAAGGTAGACATAGACGCACCGAGTATTATTGGCTAACTACCACCTTTTTACTTGTAGGCAAAACAGTAACGATCTTCATTTTTTAATTTTTCTAGATCGAACATTTCCAGTATGAACCCGATGAAATGAAAGATATTTACACATCATTTCATTTGATTTTACGTTATTTACCATCAGAAGACATGAACTTAGTGATTCAATTTGATGATGAAATGTTTTATATGTTAGTAAATAGTGTCTATACTTTGAGCGAACACTTTCACTGTTTAACCTTTTCAAATGATGAAGAAATACAGATAATGGAATATCGTGGATCAGACAAAATTTTTTACCTACGGGTGGTACTATAAGAATTTACACGAGTGATTAATTTTTATTTTTCAGATTGAATTTCCCGTAGAAGATTTTAGTCAATCCTTTTATGCGTTACATGCATTTTTAATGAGTGAACATGAAGACCTCTATTTACTGTTTATCAATGTCAACTTTTCACTTATATCAATGCTTATAAGATTAATCTTTCTATAATTTCTGTATCCCAAGTAGCGCCATCGATCCATCCATCTCTCATCCCTGTCGGTTCGTGAATATGATGTAAAGCCGCTTAAAATACAAGTTCACGATGTCTCTCACGTAACTTCATCTCGTCAATCATAGCTTTGTATTTTTCAATGTCTTGAGCATGCTCCGAAGCTTGCAAACGGATCTTTCTTTTCAAGCGACGAATTTTTTTCACACAAGAGGATCCCACCATGTCTTGACACATACACAACTAGTTGTCCAATGTGTCTCCTGTTTCTTTCCACAATATTATACCATCGAGGCGAATATTTAACCACTATCAACGCTTCCATTTGACCGATCAAATCTGTCACATCTTTCCTCGGGTTCCTCCAATTGTCATAGGCATGCATGGCCTCTTCAAAATCATGCCCACACGCACGTATCTTTTTTCTTCTCTCAATAAAGTGAAACTCGTGTGTAAACAGACACAGCTGCATGTTTACATTTTGGACACCACATCACTGACAAGACAGATTCAGCGGTGTAAGGGCAATGACTAAATCGAAACGTCTTGGAAGAACCCATTAAAAATTTTGAGTGATGGTGAGGCACTTCAGACGTATAACGTGTTTTCTCGTCAAACGAATAATAAATGAATTGATAACTCGGCGGAGAAAGAGACGATTGTTTGCGCCAATTTCGAAGACGATCCATCATAAAATGATAGACATCTAATCGTACTATTTTGTTTATAGAAAAAAAGCATGCTGATAATATCTCCCGCCGACATGAGTTACTTACCACACAAACGCGTGCAGGAAAACATTTTTTCCTGTCGCATGCTGTCCTCTCCTGGCGCGTGACATTGGTAGTTTGCGTGACCAATTTTTTCTTAGAGCCTCACTTTCATGCCAGTCCAACAGACCCCCTATACTAGTCATACTACTGATTCGTAAGGCGAGGATTAACTTGACTCTTAGAGAGACCCAAAAATTGAATTTAGCTCAGGAACATCAACCATATTACTATTATTATCACATGAGAGGGCATTGAGAAAAATAAGAACTAAAAAAGAATGACAAATTAGTCTGAACAACCACGCGAGCATGCGAGCGGGCCTAAGTACATTTTAGCACAAAAATATCCATTGTAGCCCGCAAAATGCGCCACAAAGTGATAGCGATGGAAATAAAGGCACGATACGTTTTCTAGGTGTCTCAATACGAGTCCGTAGATTCTTAACACAATTCTTTGAAACGATGCGTCCTTTTAAAATTTGGCGTTGGTTTTTTTGCGCGCGGTGACGTTACAATTATATTTAAACTTGGAAATGAATGCGAAACTCACCATAATCGAGCCAATACTGAACACCGTACTTGTCAAACACCCGTGAAATGTTCTTCACCATCATCCTTAACGTTTGACGTCTCTCCAGTGGCAAGTAACATTCCTCGTTATATCCCCCGCTCACTGATGGTAAAATTACCAGATGGAGGCTTATCAGGACAAGTAATACTATAACTGATGATATTATCAGCAGCCTGTTCGCCAGCATTCTTCTTCTTCTTGATGAAAAATCACAGCAAAACATTTTTAACTTAGCCTCCTCAAAATCAGTAAAAGCCGTCTTTCAGCGGAGGATGTCATGCAAATCTAAAGAGAGCATAGAAACGTGTGTGAGCAGTCCATGCAAATGAACTGGAAGACAATTGTTTGGTTACAAATCAAAACGTGGAATAGAAACAAAAAAAGATACAAAATGAAATTGAAATCAAGTTTCGATGACTCTAATTTAGAGTCAAGCTCTGATATCACTGAACCTGTCATTGTATTGATTACATGTCGAAAACAATGTGTACTTCCCAAAATTAATATGACCTAAAAAGTTGCCCCATAGAAAGTAAAATTTTGCTGCGTTGAATTATCGCAACGCTTCAATTGCTGCTTTCCCACGCAACGCTTTCATTTGCGGCTTTCCCACGGGGTAAAGTCTACCCGACTAAATAGACAATGCCGCTACCTTTCCTCCAGAGGTCATTTGCACTTCCTGACAACTGAAAATGTTGAAACTCATATGTGATTACCTCAGTTGGGGGAATACAAAACTTTTGTTTATGCCAGTATCCGCAAAACTTTTCGAAGTGTTCAGGCAAAGTGATGTTTTTCTCGCACGTTACACAAATGCTGTATATATACCTGATGAACAATTTTCCTCATTGCTCGGATTCTCGTCGCCCTCACAAGACTCGAACAAAAATGTTACATAATATCCGTGCGTTTTATATTATAATTACATCAATCCACTGATAAGGCTATTTTACCCCATATAAAGCGTTTTACGTGCATTTAATGTTACCTTGGTGAAAGAGCTTTCAAATAAGAACAGCGAAGAGAATTTAATTGCTCTTGACATGGATCGTGACATTTCTCAGTGTGTAATCAAGAGTAGGAAATATTCATGAAGAAACAAATATTTGTTAAACGCCTACCTATCAATCATGTTATACAAAAGAAACAAGACAACTCTTTACAGTCCAACCCAGGCAGTGTGCGCGCTCTGATTACGTTGCATCATGGTCGTAAAACGAAAAGTGAGTCATTTGCATCCTGTCGCTGTCGCGGTCGAGTGAACATCCCTTGTGGCAGCGAGATAGCGTGAATAAACGTGGAATGTAATGGGGATTCACTGTCTGTTGCCGTTCCTTCGAAAGTTAAAAAGCGTTATTCATCCGTGACAAATTCGTTATCAGTTACACTCACAGCTGATGGCTGTGTGAATATCAAATTCGCGAAATATTTAATGGGAAATCGACCCTTGACATGCAAACGCATTATATTACAAAGAGATAGCGGCCCCCCTAATACAGGAACTACTTTTCACGTCATACAGTTAAAGGCGCAAATACGGGATTCCTAAAAAGAGAAGGCTTACGCCTCCTAAGACCAAATTCGTCACGCTCAACGTTTAATAAAAACGTACAGAGTTTCAAATATGCTTAAAGAATAAAGAATACCGAGAATAAGGTTTTGAGAAACGTATCTCTGGAGTTATTTTATGCGGGAGAGACAGTATACCTGAAAACGAAAAAAATAGCGCGCACAAATGAAAATATTACCTCTGGTAACATAATCTAATCTGGCTTTGCCAATCCTCAAGAAGACCAAGAACATACAGATGGAGAAATGACAACTGAAAACTAACCTTTACTATCACATCGTAAACAAAAGTCATTAAAAGATATCGTAATAACAGCTTAGCTTTCAGGTCAGAAGATTTAAAAGCGTAAGCGAATGGCCGGAGTCGCACAAGCCTACCAACCTTGATGCAATGCGGTCGTTTGTTTTTGTTTTGAATCGCCGCTTTTGTTTGAATAGCGCCTCTGATTGGTCGGTTATTTTTACCTTGTCACGTTGCTCGAAGTACTTTCTGCGTTTTCTCCGATGAATTTGAAGAGCTTGTCAAAATAATTCTGTTCAAAACAGTTCTATACGTTTTAATCGGGCATGGAATCAGATGAATCCATTGATTTCGTAGATTCTGAGGCAGTAAATGCTTACGGATCGGTTGTTGCTAAAGAGGAACACGAAAATCTTTGCGAGCATTTCGAAGAAGGTGAAAATGTTGATCCACCACGTTTTCATCCATTCATCAATTTTTTTAAATTGAAGTTTGCCATCCTTGTTAAATAGGACCAAGGGTCAGTTAAAATTTCCTGCCCGTGGAGAGGAGCTTGCGCTCGAAAGAGTGGTCGAGGTTGTTGTCCAAGCAAAGTAGCAAATAAGAATGGTAACGCAAACTGTCAGTGTCGCTGACGTTCCTGTAATGAAGTGACTAAACTTAAAATAGTTAAACGTCCGGCAGTCCAATATTTTTTCGTATTTCTCTTCGAAATCCAAAGAATATTTATACGAAAATGTTCTACCTTTATTTACAATCCTCAAGCGCTTCCAGGCAGCCTAAAATTTCGAACTTGATGTTTTTCGCTAACCCTGTATATAGAGTACGAAGCCATCCAAAGGCTTGACACTTAGAAACTTTTCAATATGATGACACGGCTCGACACGGTCCACAAATAACTCCATATTTCTCTGAAATATACCAATTTTTCGTAGGAAAATATTCTACCTTCATTTACAATCCTTAAGCGCTTCTAGAAAGTGAAAAAATCCCAACATTGTCCGTTTCGCTGACCTTGTACACACAGTGCGAAGATATCCAAGCGTGACACTAAGAAAATTTTCACCGGACACGGTCTTTGAATAACTAAACGTCCGGCAGTCTGATATTTTTCCATATTCCTCTTTGAAAAATACCAATTTCTATTGGAAATATTTTATCTTCATTTAGAATCCTCAAGCACTTCTAGAAAGTGAAAAAATTTGAACGTTGTCCTTTTCGCCGACTCTGTTCACAGAGTACGACGAGATCCAAGCGTAACACGCTTGTGCATATGCTATATTCACATGATATTTCTAAATTATCCCGAGTCTCGGCATGAGATTACGTCTCTGACTTCTGGTGCAATTTCAAAACACGACGCCGCTTTTGGCGACTGCCGGAGTGAACAGAAAACTTTCAGCGGCTTTAACTTCATCTCTTTAAATTTTTACTGACCTCATATCCTTAAAGGGTAACTGACGGCTAACAGGTCACTTTTTCGGAATACCGTCTAAATGCCTCGGCTAACACATTGAAACAGATACAAGGTGCTTCGAATGCCTCTTTGTGCCTTTTTTCGCCGGGAAAACTGTCCAAGATGCAGCTTCGTGAGTCATCCGCCATATACGCTTCGATTTTGATCACGTGACTTGACACGTCACACGTGTGTACATTAAGCAAAGTAAATAAGGCGGAAGTAATTCTATTTCGGGGTCTGATTATTCGGATTTTGAGGCTTCGATGGAAGGCGAACAGATTGGAAAAGTTTATAAATCTGTTGGTAAAATCAGGCCCTGGCAATTTGAACCGCCAAGACGAACGTAACCTAAAATAGAGCGCAAGAGTTAGAGGAGGATCCATGGCCCGCGCTCCGCGGCCGCCTCAATCAAGAAAGCGAGAATGGTGAGCGCATTTACGATTATAAATAAATTATTTGAGAATCAGTCGCTTATTAAACGTTGGAGCGATCAAGTAAAGAAAACCTAATGTGCAGACTCTTGAATACCATGGGAGCGAAGTGTTTTTTTATGCTACACGGACGCAACTTCCGAAGCTAAGGTTTCACTGACTGAAAATATAAACATACACGCTTGTGGAGGTGAATTGGCTGGATTATACACGTTCACACGCGATTGAATCGGTTTTAAGTTTTCCTGTGTTGAATTTTACGAACGATTGAAGATTTCTCGGCTTTTACTTTAAAACACGATGCAGCAAAAAATAGCATTCGTACATGTAGTAGTAGTAGTAGGCAGTCGTCGGACCATGTCCATGACTAGCGCAATTGCGACAAATACTTTCTCTCGTGGCTGAAAAGCCCAATTCTAGAACGGTAGACACGGCCGCATCCACTGCACACAAAGACACATGCCACTGGAACACACGTTGCTTTGTTCATTTCTGCTCTTCTCTTAGCTCTTCTATCAACGGCTTCAGCTTTCAGCCTTTCCTCTCCCGCCTGGAGAGCCAGACTGCACACAGACCTCCAATCACTCCGATCTGCAGCATGTAGCTCCCAGTTATCTGTTGGCAGGCCAGTGGCGAGCATATCTCTCTTGCATACGTCCTTGAAACGCAGCTTAGGTCTGCCAATAGGCCTCGAACCGGATTCCAACTCGCCATACAGCAGATCCTTAGGGATTCGCCCATCCTCCATCCGGTACACATGACCGAGCCACCTCAATCTGCGCTGTCCTAGCAGGGTGAACATCGAGGGGATATTGGCTCTTGCAAGTACCTCATTGTTAGAGACCTTATCTGTCCATGAGATGGAGAGGATGCGACGAAGACATCTCATATGGAAGATGTTCAAGCGCTTCTCCTGACTAGCGTAGGTAGTCCAAGACTCGCTACCAAACAATAAGGTGTTCACGATGCAGGCACGATACACAGCAACTTAAGTTTGGGTAGTTAGCTTCTTGTTCTTCCAGACACGGACAGACAGATTAGCTATGTTGGTTGCAGCCTTGCCAATTCTCTTTCCAATCTCCACTTCAAGGCAGTTGTTGTTGGAGGTGGTGGAGCCGAGATAGGTAAACTGTGTGACGGCTTCCAAGGTGTAATCTTTGATTGTTACGGCAGGCGTGGCTGCATTTGCCTGGCACATGACTTTCGTCTTCTTTAGGCTGATTGTAAGTCTGAAGGCCTCACATGCGTCAGAAAACTGATTGAGGATTGGAGGATGTTACAGTGGACAGTTGCAGGAAGAAGCCAGATGTATTGTCCAGCATCCAGGGTTTGCGGGAACTGGTGAAGGCTGACTCCGTCTGCATTTGTTTTGTTACAAAACATCACTACACAGCGCTTCCCTGGTTTTCGTTTTCTTTGTTTTAGATCCTGTTGTTTTCCGTCCTTATTGTAAATGTCAACGCAGCTTAGAGTAGTACAGTTTTGGATAACTTGAGCGTGAATATATATATATATATATATATTTTTTTTTTAAGTTCAATTCGTAATTTGAGAAACAATACGTGCTTGTTATTTCCGTAGCACGAGTTTTTTTTTTTTTTTTTTTTTTTTACCAAAGCACTGCGTTTTAAACGGTGGGTACAAGATAGTCCCATGACTTGTGCTTTAATGGTTTCCTCTATCAGGCTGCAGGCTTGTTTTATTTACGATAAACGTGCGCGAGTAATCTACTGTTCACTCAGCTGACATTGGTACATTTTTGAAACGAGTAACCTTTCGGACAGGATTGATTTCATCATGTTTCCGGTCGCAAATGAGAAACATTACGCTTGAATATGGCGCTCATAACAAGGCGATTCTTGTAACATCCGTTTACAGCATGGTTCTGTTATTATACACTTCCATTAGAAGTTAATTAAACTTAGGCACACGAATGTGCTATATATGCTGCTCAATGTTAGTTGTAATCATTCCTGAAAAACTCTTAGTTAGAGACCGAACGCATCGAAAGAAATAAACAAAAAGTTACAACAGTGGGAAGTCATCTTTTGTGTTGCTCACTAGTCTCATTAAAAAATTTTAAAAAAGGATAAATCTTGCCCATTTCCGGACCGTGGAAGAAGACTTTCGAAACCAGATGACGACCTCCCATAATACGTGACAATACTTTGCGTTTAGTCACGCTCACTCCTGAACCGATGGGCCTGAGGTCACAGTGATACACACCAGACAAAATCTAAAGACAAATACTTTTCGGCTTAGAATTAAAAAACATTTCTTTAAGTATAGAACTCGATAATAATTAAGAGGAAAAATTATGGGAACATATATATTTTTACAGCTGTTTGGAAAGGCGTGCAAATTATATGTGTCTCTGAATACAGACATGCGATCCGTCGCGTTTCGATTATTCAGCCTTCGTTATTTTATTTCTCACTTCGTATTTCGTAGTCTCTAAATGGTGACCTATATCAGAATCGAACAAATGTTACTTTTATTCCACTCGTAAATTTCGGCAGCAACTGAACATCCGGGACGAATTTGTTACTCCCAGATCTTGACATAACACTTTCTACCGCCTTACACACGTGTGACTTATCACATCACGTGACCTGAATCAAACCGTTTTCAAAATGGCCGTCGATTAGGCGTCAAAAAAATTTGTAGAAAACTTAATTCTGCACAATATATCGTTAATTTGCTCATTTTGGATTCTTTAACCCAAGAGGAATGTATTGGGACAAAAAAAAAAGGAGAAAAATTTGGCGTCAGTCACCCTTTAAAGGAAAAGCAGATGGAATGCATCTGAAGAATCAATCGCTTAGAAGGAGACGTTTTAGTCGTTTTTACGACGGGATTTGACAAGAGACACGATTCGGAAAGTGATAAAATTGTATCACCCCACTGAGTTCCATGTATACTCCAGGGGATTCACAACAACAGGCAACAAGTCGAAAATCTCAAGAACACACACTGGAGAACTGAATCAGTTCTTAATCTAAGGTGATTTTTTTTTAAAAAGAAAGTACCTGACGACTAACGAGGAAGAATTGTTTTTTCTTTTTTTTGTCTCCAGAAAGCACAGCAGGTAAAAAATTTAGACCCACACTTTTGATCACTTCCGACAAAATAAAGGACCTTGACGTTCGCCGATTCTCTGTTTCTCGATAGCTTTAACAGGGGAACCGCACCAACGGTTAAGCATGGTGTGCAAAAGCAGAAGTGCTAAAAAATCTGCAAGCATTTTCGTTGTCACTAGCGGGAGATGACGACAAATCCGTATTCACAGTATTTTCAGTAAACAAAGTGCTCGAGTCAGAAAGATAATAGCCACAGGAATTGTTTCGAACCTCAGCGCTGCAAACAAATGACGTCACAGATTTTCACTCAGACGTGCGAACGACTCGCAGCCGGTTGTCTGTTTGGTGTCTGTAAACTCGTAGACGTGACTTTTTTTAACCACTTTTTCGCGAGCAGATGAAATATCCTGCTCAATGTCAAGGAGAAAACCTGGGAATTATTTGTTAGATCGACTAATGCTTGGGTGAAAATGCAAAGAATTGGAAAATAATGGCGATTTTGTCGTCCATTGGCCGTGTCTACAATGTCTCTGTGCAGAAGAAAGGTTTGTGTGAATGCCAAAAAGAAGGTTATCTTTCCATTTCTCTAGTGAAAGAATAAAATTACAGTCGTTTGCTTTGACTATCAATAAAAATCTCCGAAAACTACACCGGAATCAAGAATAGACAGCTTCTTATCTAACTTGCGGTCAAGCGTTCTTGGGAGTAGCGTGAAAGTCGGCAGACGGGGGAAGGGCTTAAAAACAACGCCTGACTGTCAACAGAGAGACATCTTGACCAGGCGGTGTGCGCACTCCAATTGCGTTGCATTGTGGTAGCTTCATTTTCAATAAGGCGGTGAAAGCAGCAGATTTCGGCAGATTTTGACTAATTATTCCGTTAAAGTTAGGCCGTTCCTTTTTCCTTTCACCACAGACGAATGTAATTTGATTTATTCTGAATGTGTAAAAGTATTTTTTGTTCGTATTTGTTGCGTATTCTATGGGTTCTCAAGGACAAACGCGATCACTGTTTTTTTGTATGTAATTTGAGACCGGATTTCAAGAAGGTCAAATTTGATGTACGTCGTAGTTTGGAGCCTTTCAAAGATTTGGATGGCTGCTTTGATCCTTCTTTAACAGCTCTGACCAAACGCTCTCAAACCCTCTCCAACGATACATGTGATTCTCGCATTTTAAGTGCGGGTGTTTGAGACCGATTATGGCCGAGAAAAGGCTTGTTGCGTTACACAGCGTTGCTATTATATAAAGCTACTTTCCTAAGTAAAAGGAAATTAACCATCGCCAGAAATCAAGGACATTTCGAGCCCGCTAACAATTATCAGCGGTATATCGTATTACACTCCGGAACAATAGAATATCAAGAGAATTCAATATGGCGGCGATCACGGCTCGATCTGCAAAGAAGAGTGTTTCGTACCATGACTTATACAATTTGAGCGCCGCAGATCTTCTATTTGATGAAAAGAAAAAGAAAAGAAGACCTGCAAGTAAATCTTTGGGATTTTACGAGGCAGAGCGATGACATGATGTCAGAATTTTGATTGGCTTTAATTTAATTTTCGCGCTAAGACAACTGAATTTGCATTCAATGCCTGGTATATTTTTATTCCGAAAAGGACCGAGAACTAATTTATTTCCCTGCAAGAACATAAAAAAAATATGGCCGACGATTTGAAGATCAGCGTTGCTCGTGTGTAACTATTTCAGTCATAGTTTTCAACATGGCGTCTCGTCACTTACTCAACATGGAAAATAAGGTATATTCTGGTGCGTTGGGAACTTTTTTGATGGGAGGAAATGGCAATTTTACAGGATATTTGAACGCTTCGAACTCTGTAGCAGTCAATTCGATCGAGAGCAGTTGACTTTATTGATGCACTTTCCTGTAATAGGCGAGTGTTTGGGATGGAGAACGACGGATTTTGAAGAATTGTAGACTTAGGTCAATAATCAATGACAAAAGAACTGGCTCGGGAAGTAAGTGGTTTTTATTTATCGAGTCCCTATGAGGTTTGATGAATAGCAGAATCAGTACTGAATGTGTCTCGATCGAGAGCAGACGGGACCATGAGCTCCTGATTGTTATATTTTAGAAATTTTACAAATTTCCACACAGTTTCTTATATTATTTGGACGCCATTATGGACGAAATGCGCAAGCGCGGCCGCCATCTTGTCCAATATTTCTGCCGATGTTATCGCGAGTGTTGTATGGTAAATCTACTATCTTGATCATTGAATGAAGGACAGTTGAATTTGAGCTAATAACGGAATCATTTGACCAATGATCAACTCTACAATGCGCACGGCGACACACCAGGTAGGCCGGAAAGCAAAAGGTAGTCGATCGTTAAAAGGTGTTGGTAGGCTTGAGCGACTCCTGCCATTCGCTTGCGCTTTTAAATCTTCTAACCTGAAAGCTTAGCTGTCATTAGGATATCCTTTAATGACTTCCATTTGCGATGTGATATTCAGGGTTAGTTTTAAGGTATCATTTCCCCATCTGTACGTTCTTGAGGTTTGGCAATGCCGGGAGTTACTACATCACGGGCGATGAGTGGGGAATGAGGAAAAGACCGAAATACGAGTGGCCAGCAGGGAAACAAATTTAGTACTTCATATAGAGACATATCAGTTATAGTTGCGGAAAACAATAGTTTTGTAAAGCCGAAATATCAACAGTATACTTCGCTAAATAAAATGTTAAGCAATTTTTCAAAAGTGTTGATGGCACATATATCTTTTACTGCTGTAATAAACAATAGAGGCATCGGAAAAGGCATCGGTGGTATCCAGAAAGGCACCAAG